GGGAGGAGGCGATTTCGCGACGGATACGGGAGGAGAGTTTGCACCCTTTTCCGTTGGTTGTGATGCCGATTTGGAGGGGGCCGTCGGTGTGCGTGGAGAGGAGGGAGAAGGTGCACAGGGAGGGGGCGTCGAGGACGTTGATGGGAACGCGGTGGCGTTTGCAGTGGGTGGATATGTGGAGGCCTGGAAGGGGGGGTTAGTATTTGGGGGGTGGGGGGGAGGGGAGACGAACTCAGAGGATCTTGAGGGCTAAGTGTGACAAAAACAGCGTCGACGTAGCCATCCAGTTCTGGCCTTCCTAAGGTAGAGATATCATCGTCGTGGTAGGGCTTAGCTAGCCACTTCACCTCCTTGTCGTCGATGCGCTGCTGCATCGCGGGGTGAACCTCATGTTCACACTCATCCGGGTGGAAGATGACGATGGGCGTGGCGCCCACTTCGAGGGATTTCGCGCACCGGGATGCGGCGAGGGCATTGGTGCCGATTATGAGGTGGATGTGTGATGTGGCATCGATCGAGGTGAGGAGGGATGTCCGCATTGTAGCATCCAGTGCTGCGAGGAGCGGATATCGGAGGTGAAAATGAGGGGTGAGAAAGGTGGCAGCTATGACGGGCGCTTTTGATATAGCTGGTGTATCGCTCTCCAAGAAGGGAAATGGTATCCTAAATACAGAATATAAGATGCCAATGCCTTTACCAATACAGTGAAATAAGAATTAGAGCTCCGCGATAAAAAATGAATGAGTCTGATCCCTCGGAAATGCTGCTCCTACATTTTGACATCCCGCTTTGAATCCGCGATAGCCCAGATAAACTTTGGGAGGGCCATCAGAGCTTATCGGACCAATGATAAGGCTTCGATATGCAAGGCTGTCAGTTGAAAATGGCGGGCACGTACCGGCCGTTGAGCACGCAATCGCCAATATGTCACGTGGGATATTTCTTTTGCAGTTCCATTTCCAAGCTGCTGGATTTGAGCGTTTTATCATCACGTGAGATATTTCTTTTCCAGATCCATTTCAAGCTTCCGATCATTTTGGTATGTGGACGTTTCAACACTCACGTGAAATATCTCCTCTCAGCTCCATTTCTAGCTCCTTACCGTTTCGGACAATTTAACACTCACGTGCACCTCTGATAGATTGTAACATGCTCTCCGCGTCCGTTCAAGGCCATATGAGGGATTTCATTGTATCCTCTCTCCATGAAAGTGCAATCAGCGCGACCAGCAACGCGTCACATTCATCCATCGCATTACTCCAGACACTCTCCCGAGTTGTCGCTGTAATTATCCCGCAGAAGAGCTGAAGAGCTAAAGAGCTGAAAAGTCTCAGCTCAGGGAATATTGATATATAGTACTCTCATCATTCAGTACGGTCCAGACCACCGTACCTGCAGCCAGGAGAAACATCGGTCTCGCCCTCATCTCGCGATTCTCACTCACCTCACTCACTCACTCAACTCACTCACTTCCCTGCCGTAATAAATGACGGACGGGCCACCCCCCCCCCCCCCCCTCTCCCCTGGCGTTGTAGCAGACGCCTGTCTCGCGGCCCCTTTACCAAAGCGTAGCGAGATTCCCATTGCGAAAGGGCCCGCGAAGATGCCCCATCTCATTTCCCGTCGATCTGTGGAGGAGGCTAGGAAAAGGCTTGGTAGTGTGTTAGGCATAGTATCTAACTTACAGTGGTATTGAAATACTGGTGGAAGTGTGGTAAGGGTGGTAACGTGGTGAGGGGAGAGTGGGAATTGAGTGTATCTCATGTCCGATGGATGGAGATGGATGGAGGGGCGTGGATTGTGAGATTGCGTGTAATCTAGTTTTAGTGGTGGGTAGGCGCGTGTAATCTGCGGTGCTGTGCTGTGCTTCACTTACCCCGCGTGCGTGCGAATGATGTGCCGGCTGCCGGGTGTGCACTGTTCGGCGTTGTTCTGTGCAGGAGGGGAGAGAGTTTGAGTGGTTACTCTACGGAGTACTGTCTGTGGTGCTGTGCTGCTGTGGTAAGGGGAGCAAGGGGAGAGATGAAAGGTGGTTTGTGCGGGTGTTTCTGTGGGTTTTGTGTGGGTTTATGCGGCGCTGGTTTGGCAGGTGCGAGGGAGGAGAGTACAAGCAAGAAGGAAGGAAGGGAGGAAGGAGCAGGAGGGGGAAGGAGCGAGTGAGGAGTGGGATGGTTAGAGGAAGGGAAGGAAGGAGCGAGGCAGATGGCGGATAGCGGCAGGCACGCGACAGAGGGGTGATGCTGATGGTGAAGCTATAACCGTCCGCTCCTGCTCCTTCCCCTCTAACAACAGCTTGTTACGAATATAGCATATACAGCACATGCAGTTCTTTATTGTCCTGTGTGTCTCATACTCTGTTCTGCCGTCTAACCTCTGTCATATACTCTCTACTCCCTCTGTCGCATCACATGAACTCAGACCTCACTCCCAAGTGTCTCTCTCTCCATCCATCCCCATATACCACCGGGGCACCCTTACCATCTTAAGACAAACCTCATCTTCTGGTCCTCTGGTCAACAGTCGCAATCTCAGTTAGCCTCCGTAGCGCTCTCCACAACTCACAACATCCGCTTTACCACTAAAGCACGACTCCCGCCAACTCCCGCCAAGGGGCCTTTTAGCGAGCACACAGCAGCAGCAGCACAGGTGCACCAGGCACCTCACACCACACAACGCCCAGAGTGACAGCACCACTACAATCAACACCGTAACTGACGCTAATTCCACCACTCCCCTCCCACTAACCCCCATCCCAGCCTAGCGCCAGGAACACGCCCGCACCGCCCGTTTCTGCCGCGGCCAATTGAAACGCGCCTCGTCTCGCCCGCTTGCCACTTGAGCAAAACTACAAAATCCACATCCCTGCTAGCGTACTCAGAATAAGATTTGATGCGACGGGTCCCCCTGCGTGTGTTGGCAATGGCTGGTTGGTGGGCAAGGCGACAGAGGTGAGTAACAGACCTGACCTTTCTCCCAGGCCACAGACGCGCGCGTTGATCACTTGTTCTGGCTGTGAAAGGGTTGGTCTTGGGGAGGGAGACCGGCAGTGTTTATTACCTCTTTCTTTTGCTGGGCTATTGGACTATTGGCTTGTTGATCAGCAGTTGCAATACGATGCAATACGATGAGTGGAAGGCGTGTGTTCAGGAGTTAGAGTGCGCAAGATGAGGAGTGTGAGATGAGCAAGTTGCACCAAGCAGATTTCACGACTCACACAGCAGCAGTGCTAATTAATAGCTCAGGCTCACACTCAATGCCACAGAGATTGAACTGTGAACTGCTGTAACTTACCACAGACAGCCCACAAGCCACAGAACAGACCAGGCCAGCTTAGCCATGCTCTCGTGATACTCTGGCTCGATGTTAGCCGTTTTGCCACGGAAGAGCCTGTTAGAGCGTGTAAAAGCCTTCAACAAAAGCGACAGGGAAGGGAGACGGGGGGGCCAAGAGTGAAAGTGAAGTGGCAAGCCCAGTAATTGTCAGAAATCGTCTTTTCCTCTGACAGCTCGGAGTACCTCTATGAACAAATCCATGTATCCCCGTACCTCGCAGGAATCAGTCGCCCTACTCAACTTGCCGCTAACCCTCGTCAGCCACTTAAATTGCTCCCTGCGAACCCCTGTTCAATTCCCCTGTCAACCACTTTCGCGCCCAGAAATGGCAGAAATGACTGTGGTGCCGTTTGAAATCCACTTGAAATTCACTTTTGCAAGTGTAAGACATGTACCATCGTACCGTTTGTACCCTCGTACACATGGTACACATGGGCAGCAAAGTACTCAAATTCACTTCGCCTGCCAATTCGCTCCTAATCCACCAAATCCACCCCCCCTCCACCCCCAAGCACCCAGTCTGCCCGCCCAACAACGCCCACCACCCACACTCCACCCACTCTCCCGTTCTCTCCCCCCAGACACCCAGACAGCCTTCAAAACACTTCTCGTCGCTCCTTCACACACTTCTCCTCTTCTTTCTTCTTCACCCATCCACTCTCTCACATATACAGACTTCGTTGGCAAAGTCATTCTCGTTTTATACAAAACCTTCTCAATCAAACACACACTGTTCGAAACAGAAAACACCACACTCTCTCAAATTTCAAATTCCGGTCGCAAGTCGTACCCAATATCAACAACAGTCACTCCCTCACGCGCAACGCAAAAGCAAGTTCTCAGAACAACAAGAAGCCAGAGGTTGAATCTCGACTTACACAACACTACAACCACATAACAAACCTACCAAACCAAACCTCACCAACCACCTCAATCAATTCAAGATGCAACTCATCAACTTCACCCTCGCGGCCCTCCTCCCCCTCCTCGCCCTCGCGCAGGACACCACCGTCGCAACCACCACCTCCACCGCGACCATCACGCGCACCATCCACGTCTCCCAGGTCAGCACCGTGACCCTGACCTCCTCCTCCTCCATCGCCCCAAACACCACCTCGAGCTACATCCTGCCTGCCACCGCTATCGCCCAGAACGCCACTACTCCCATCGGCACCGGCACCGGCGGCGTCGTCGTTCCCACTTCCACTGATTCCGGTGCTAAGCCCAGCAGCTCTGTTGGCGCGGCACCGGTCGTGTCGGCTTCCAACGCTGGACTTCTCGGTTTCATTGCCGTTGCTGTTGCGGCTTTGTTGTAAGCGCGTCGAGCGCGGTGCAATATTCGAAATCGTTCGATGCGATCATCTACTCTTGTTATCAACGCATTCACGCCCTGCATGTGCCTCCGACATCTTTGAAAGCGACTCTGCCCTCGCCCAAGAGGCTGATGCATTACTTGTTACTTACTTTTTGTTCCCCGACTTTGGGGCTTCTTTGTCATCTTATGGCTTTTGGGAGAGGGGGAGGGAGGAATGGAGTTAGGAGGGGGGGTTTTGGGGCAAACATTTGCATCATCTCACTACTCCTTTTAATTCATATCCTTCTTCTCTCTCGTCTTCCCATTTTACGCTTCTCGAATACCCACCTTTACAATCTTGTTATTTTGTGAAGTACCTCTTCGTCGTTCTTGCAATCGAGCTAGACACCAAACCTGGTTTTCTTTCACTCATGTGCGCGCCGCGGGCTGTGCCTCCTGGGGTCTAGCCGATTGCATCAACTCCTCTTTTTAACTACTACTTTTTTTTTGTTCGTGTGTCAGGGGAAGGGATCTCTCGGGTGTGTTTGGGGGTTTATTCTAATTGTTGTGGCAAAGGGGGACGGGGAGATCCAGTGTGTTTGTTGTTGGGGTGATGTGGCAAGGGGACGTGACGGTCTGGGTACCATCACCGATGCATTCCGTTACTTCGCTCGTTCCGCCGGCTGGTGGGATGGCGCTTGAGGTTTGCTGGTGGGAGCTGATGTTTGGGAAATCTTACTTCTTCGTTGATCCCACTTGTGGGGAGTGGATTTTTGACACAGATGGCTTGGTGTTTGGTGGCTTGGTGGATGGATGGGGTGTTGGAGTTCATGTAGGGGATGTGGAGGGCATGTAGCGAGCGGATGTGGAAAGGGAATGCATTTTGTGTTCGATATATGTTTTGGTGGCTTTGAGTGATGCTGCTTGACTGTTGTGTGATTTGTGATCTGTGACACTTCGATGCCGTAAATGAAGATTGGTAGCGCGCGCTACTTTTCTTTCGTTTTGTAGTTTATCTGCTGTTATGTGACCTTTTACCTTTCTGGGAATTGATCGAGGGTGCGGTTTAAACTCTAAATCTTTGGTCGTTTGGAGTAGGATCTGCGGGTTTATTCTGGATTTTTCCGAGTTGCCGGGATGGATGCTGGATCTACAATGGTATTTACACCTACATGCCAGAATATTACTCTAGGACTTCACTTTTTTATAATTAGCAACTGTAGGTGTGTGTTTTCTAAGTGCGTGTATTTATTTATTTGATAGATTATATATTGTAATGGGTTTCATACAGTAGAAATAGGCCAATGAGCTTTGTTTAGGTATAGATATTATATTTCTTAGAAGGAATAAATCTGTACGTGTGAATGAATATATTTTGGTTACTCCTTGAACTGCCTCGAAACCTCCGACCAAGAATACCAAATAAAGCGTCTTGTGTAAAACACCACATCGATAAATACTACATATAAAACAAGTTATTCTTACCACTTCATAGAACAGTCATCCAGCTCCATCCATCGACGTCGTCTGCCCCCAAGTCACGTGCCTCAACACAAAACTTGCACGGACATCCGCCTCCGCCAGTACCCGTCGTCGAATTTCTCAGCCTGGTCCTGCGTGCTTCACCCATCTCCGGGGGCCTCACAAAATAATTTGTCGCCCATTACCACCATCATCACATCACCACCAGACCTCCAAACAATCCAATTGCACGACCGACCTCACAATGTACGCCATGGCGTCCTCCAGCACGCGTTTCAGATGCCTGAACGCACCGCCTCTCCGCAACGCAGCAAAGGCGGTTTATATCAACTCCTCCTCAGTCCGCGGCCTTGCAACGCCCGCTGGCGAAGCAAACCCCTCAGACACAACCACCACCGCCGACGCCTCCGCAGCGAAGCCAACCAAAGGTCGCCCAACCTACTTCAAAGACACCCCCGTCCCCACCCTGCACGAATACCTCGACATCGACCAACCCCTCACCCCCGCCGAAATGCTCGCCCTGCGCCCCCGAACCGCAAAGGTGGGAAAAAAAGAAATCACCCGCCTCCCGTCCTGGCTCAAGACCTCCATCCCCTCCCCCAACACCTCTGCGGGCTTCAAAGCTATTAAAGCCGATCTCCGCGGACTGGGGCTGCATACAGTGTGTGAAGAGGCGCGGTGTCCCAATATCGGGGAATGTTGGGGAGGCTCGGATAAGGCGTCTGCGACGGCTACTATTATGTTGATGGGGGATACGTGCACGAGGGGGTGTAGGTTTTGTTCTGTGAAGACGGCACGTAAGGCGAAGGGGGCGTGGGATCTGGCCCCGTTGGATCCGCATGAGCCTGAGAACACGGCTGAGGCGCTGAGGAGGTGGGGACTGGGGTATGTGGTGTTGACCAGCGTTGACCGCGATGATCTGCTCGATGGCGGGGCAGCGCATTTCGCGGAGACGATTGCGAAGATTAAGTCGAAGAGTCGGGAGGGCGGGGGGAGGGAGATAATGGTTGAAGCGCTGACGGGGGATTTCGGCGGGAAGTTGGAGATGGTTGATAAAGTCGCTCTGTCGGGACTGGATGTTTACGCGCATAATGTCGAGACGGTGGATGAGCTTACCCCTCAAGTCAGGGATAGGCGCGCGACGTTCGCGCAGTCTTTGAAGGTGCTGGGGAGGGCGAAGGAGACGGTGCCGAGTTTGATTACGAAGACGAGTATTATGCTGGGCTTGGGAGAGACGGAGCCGCAGCTTATGGACGCCCTGAGGAGGCTGAGGGAGGTGAATGTTGATGTGGTTACGTTTGGACAGTATATGAGGCCCACGAAGAGACATATGCAGGTTGAGGAGTACATCTCACCGCAGGTGTTTGACGCGTGGAAGAAGAGGGCGTTGGAGATGGGGTTTTTGTATTGTGCGGCTGGGCCACTGGTGAGGAGTAGTTATAAGGCCGGGGAGGCGTTTATTGAGAATGTGTTGAAGAAGAGGAGGGGGGTGGAGGGGGAGGGGAAGGGGGAGAAAGAGGTGGTTGTGGAGGTTTAGGGGGTGAGTGGGTGAGAGGGTGAGAGGGTGAGAAGGGGGGGGGAGTGTACGATGAGTGGGATGGCGTTGGGGTGCTGGGGTGCTGGGATGGGTGTTTTTTTATAGATGGATATTGGGTCCGAAGGGGACATGTGCATAGCTGAATTGATACAGCAATTTAAGCTAATATAATATATCTCCTTGCCTCTACTTTTGAGTAAATTTGTTCGCTGAAAAGGCTATGTTATGGTCCGTAATATTGGAGGCAGTGCTATCACCATATGTATGCAAGGAGATGGATGGTCCCCTATTGGGGAAAAACAAAACAGGAGTCGCTTTTCGGCAAACCACATGACGAAGTACTTCAACGTCCAACGTTATATACCAGATTTGGTTCTGGTCTTCTTCGTAGCCTCACTAATATTTAACGTCTAATACTGTTTCGGTCCCCCGCTCGTATTAATACCACCCTAGAGCTGCAAAACAGAGACATATTAACCTTAGCGATGAGGCTGGTAGTGGAGGAGGAGAGATGCTTCGCGCCTGTATCATCGCCGGTCTAGGAAGATTCGATAATCAATGTAAGCCTCTTTTTTAAAAGGGGGTTTAAATATATTTCCATGCTCATATCTAATGCCTATATAGCCATCCGAGCCATTCGATGAAGGGTCTAGTCGAGACAACGACCCGTCCCGCGAATATGTCGGACCAGGATAGCGATAACCAAACACCCAAGGAGGAGGCCCTTGGATGTTTCGAGAGTCTCGAGTGGGCAGTCTCTAAATATGTGCAACATGTTCCAACAACACTAGACGGCTTCTTGCAGCTTGATGTCATTCTTACATGAAGGAACAGCGCATTCGAAGCGAAGTCACGCTCAGTTCCTCGAGACATTTCGCCGTACGTTTAGTGTACCCAGCGGAGCTTCAATCACCAGTGTGGTATAGTGAAGGTTCGACTCCTGTTCAGTGGATTCGTGCAGTAGTTTGCACTTTGTTCGATGAATTCGCAGTCCATTGTGGGGTTTTATTCGATGATACTACCGCACTAAAGAGGTTGCTGGCGAAACATAAATCTATAGAAATAAAACAAAAAAGAAACACGGAGTATGTATTAATGATAGCGCCAAGACCTGAACTTATCACTAGCAGAATCGTTCATCAGATATGTTCACGTTGCAACTTGGGAAGAACGTCCACCAATATTCGTTAGGCGCCGCAACGCTTTGATGAAATCTAGACCAGAAAATTTAAGGGCGGTCATGTCCTCAACAGCTTAAACTTGAATGGCAGATTATGGATATCGCAACAAAGCTCCATGTAGCGATTTTGGCCTCTAGGGGGGAGTTAGCTACCTTTAGGCTAGAAATTGGTGACCCGTTTAATGAGAAATATCACACTAAGGACGACTCATCTCAGTCAGGACAGTCGATCCTAGCGACCACAATGCTAGGCATCAAGCACCGGCGGGGATTAGATGGCTGGGAAGTGTGGCTACCAGCAGTTGTATTACTTACGGAAACCCCTCCAGTTTCGCCAGACAAGTTGGATTCAAATGACGGCGCCAATTCTACGGCCCAGAGTACCGAAACTAGCCCCCAAGCAACTTGCCTAGCTGTTGGCGAAAAGGCCGATGAGATCATTCCAGCCATGGACGATGGGATCACTGCAGCAATAGATGACGAGATCATTCCAGCCATGGACGATGGGATCACTGCAGCAATAGATGACGAGATCATTCCAGCCGTGGACGACGAGATCATTCCAGCCATGGACGAGGAGATCACCCTAGCCATGGACGAGGAGATCACTGAGGGCGTGCAAATACAGAATGAATCGGATTCAAACATTAGCGGCAACTCTACAGCCAACCTTACGAGGAGATCGACTAGAAATTATGCTCCCCAGGTCCCAGCAGCTCTCACAGCTAACCCCCCAAAAAAGAGATTACTCAGACCCCGCCAATCACCACTGCAAAACAGAACAGAAATAAAACCAGCCGGGCCTTAGTAACCGCCACGATTGAATCGAATGGAAGTGAAACTGCCCCGGTTGTAGCAGCTACCACAGCGAAGCCGAACTGAAATGGACCTACCCCGGAACTAGCAACCACTAATAATGATAAGGGGGGTGCGGCTTTAAGACGTAGCGGATGCAGCTAACCTACAAAACGCAAGATTAACGATGAGGCGTTGTTAAAAAAAGATCACGGCACAAACAGGTTGCAGTCGAGGGTAAGTCGTACTTGGTGTGTATATGAGTATTCCACAACAGCTCACCTAGATTCAGGTATATCTACAGTTTCACCTTCAAGGCGTATACGAGTACAAGAGTCTATAGGTTTGTCTTGTTTAATCCTTCGATGGGGCTTACTAATTATCCTACTAGGTTCTAATCTACTACTAACAACCTCGAAGCTAATACGCAGATGTCACCCTACGAAGTCCCATCGGAATCCAAGGGGCTCCCATACCTAAACATTGTATCATTAAAAAGTATGCACCCACGTTGGAATCTCCTCGAGAAGCTTCGCCCTGAGAATGGGTACACTATTGGACAGAATGTTAGGATGGATGTCAAAGATGGTCCGACTTGTGGCAAAATTATTCAAATGCGCAAGCCGCTAAGAGGAGAGGGTATACAAGTTCTCATAGCAAAGCTCTGGGGAAGATGGCGGATCATCCAAGACGCAGAGGGCTTGGAAACGTTCCAAAAGAAACTTGACACGCGTTGGCCAGCTGAGGAGTGCTCGTTCCAATACGTACTGGGCACAGAGTATATGGTGATATCTTGTAGAGATATTAAAGCTGAGGCGCAGATCTCGCTTTCTCCCGATTTAATTTATCACAGACCGTATGGCCCGGTAGACTTGGATATTCATTTAAGAAGTGCTATAAAAAAGCACTTCTCCAAGGACGGAGTTTTCTATGGCATCAAGTTGGTGTAAGAATCCGCATTTTTGATAACACCGACTGTTCTTAGACAGATGGGCAAATTGGCATTACAATGAGGATTACGATTGCAGCTATTAATATCACAGTTTTGGAAAACTAGGCCTCCATTCGATTTACATATGCACACTGTGCCGGGAAACTTACAAACGAGAACTTAAAACAATTCAAGTTTCCCCGGCATGTAGATCATTAGAATTTGGATTAATACCTTGCCTGCTCTCTTCATATAGGCTGTTACTATTATCTGATCTAGGATTATGCGACTATTGGCGACATACTGTATCCCCTCGTTGTTCTCATGTTGGACTGGTATGGAGGAAACATCCTTGATTGATTGTACAGAGGACCAGTTGCCGCCACAGATCATCACATCGACCGCGGAGAAGTTTAACATTGGAATTGTTAGTGAGAATTTTACCTAGATATATTGCTCCAGGCCATGTTGCCATGCATCGAAGTAAAGAACACCAAAACTGAATCGAATAAGTTGCCACAAACTCGCCGGTTGACCCCAAAAGCCGCTGCGATAGATAGATAGAGAGCCATGGGCTGCCAGAAGCTTGGGGTGGAAATAGAAATGCTTAAAGATGCGTCGCGATGGGACCCATTGGCTCCTTCCTTCCTGCCGCTCCTGCCGCTCCAGGTCGCTCTTTCCTTCCGGCCACAGCTGGTCGCTCCCTCCTGTCATTGTTTATTTTTGCTGTCGTTTGCTCCTTCCTGCCGTTGCTCCTTCTTGCCACTACCCTAACCGTCCTTCCTGCCGACGCCTAACGCAGTCTCTGCTTCGATAGCTACACATTGATATCCCCACCTATAAAAGACAAGTAAGGGTAGGAGGATGACCTTAGCGTCCTTTCGCTGGTTGTTTTGGAGTCTCGTCACCCCTTATATGGGGGTTACGCCTTGGGCCTTAGGCCGAAAGCCGAGAGCCCGAAAGCCGCGTAAATAACGGGACAGAAAATCAGGTATGATTATGTAAGCGACTCCAAACAGCTTGGTACAAAGTTGACGTTCTCACTTTGGCACCAGCGATAACGCGTCATATACCACACCGGGAACCAGTCCTTCCGTTGCTCCAACAGTATAAAGCCCCCAAACCCACCCCGCTTCACTCCGTCCTTCTCTTCTCCTATAAGTTGCAACAACCTAATAAGCACCTCACTACCAAAATCCTCTCAATAGCAACAATGGCTGCTCTCACCCCCAACTCCGCCCGCCTCCTCCAGACCATCGGCCTAACAACTACCGCCTTCCTCGCCGGCACCTCCGCCTCTTTCTCGCTATACGCCGTCCCACGTATCCTCGAATCCCCCACGCCCCTCCTCCTTAAGCAATTCAAGCACATGTACACCGCAGGCCACGACTCCCTCCCGGCCGGCACGGTCATCGCCGCCACCTCGCTCCTCTACCTCGCCTACGACAGCCGCGCCGCTGGCACAACCGCCTGGCGCGGATATGTGACTGCCGCGGTGTTAGCAGTGGGAATTGTTCCGTATACGCTGGCTGTGATGATGGGCACGAATAACGTGTTGTTAGGTAAGGCGGAGGAGGAGGAGGAGAAGGTGGAGGCGCAGGCGGCGTCGGTGAAGCAGCTAGTGGATCAGTGGGCGATGATGAACTTAGGGAGGTCTGTGTTGTTGACTTCTGCGGCGGTCACGGCGACCTGGACGGCGCTAGGACAGGGGTTGTGAAGGGGCTGCGTGTGTGTAATGGTATACATGGATGAATTGATTGGTATTAATGGGATATATTGTAGGATAGCGCTAGAGTCGATTTATAAACTTAGATTTCTAACATACATCCCATTCTTTCTATGTACATCGCTCTAATATTCATTATCCACTAATTAGGCATCTCTTGCCCTTTGGCGACAACAAGAAAAACACCTGAGGATCCATATCCCCATCGTTCATACCCTCAATTGTGGAAACCTTAGCACTAGGAAACTCACGGAAGAAAACTGCAGTGGCAAGGCGGAGCTCTATTTCAGCCAAGTGCTGTCCTAAGCAGACTATAATTGTAACTGTTAGCGCGCTGAATCAATCTAAAACAATAAGAACAGGGAAGACCAACCTCGTGACCCACCGCCAAAAGGCATGTATGCGTCTTTCATGTCCTTCGTAGGCGCCGTCCATCTGCTTGGATCGAAGGTTTCTGGATCTGGGAAGATATCTGCATTGCGATGTAAGGTGTAGGCCTGCGTAGATACAGTCGTCCCTCCTGGCAATCTGTGACCAGAGAACACAACGCCCTCTGCCGGCACTATACGGGGCAAGGCGGATGGTGCAGCGCAGTATAATCGCAAGGTTTCTTTGACAACGTTGTTCAGCCTTGGCAGACTACGGAGATCTTGCTCGCTGAACCCTTCTGGTAGAGAGCGGAGCTCTTCTACCAAGGCATCTCTTACTTCAGGGTGTTTACACAAAGCCCACGTTAGGTATGTTAAGGTGTTAGCCGTAGTATCGCTTCCGGCGATGATGAACGCCATTGCGTTGTTTACAATGTCCCTATCGGACAGTCCGTTGTCATCGGCGCGAAACAGTTTCTTAAGAAGCATGGGATAAGACTCGTCCTCCGCAGCCACTCGTTTCGATCGCTCAATTGACTGTTCCGCGTAGTGCCGTAGGCGCTTCGCAGATTCAACTGCCGCCTTGAAAATAGGGATTGGGATCACTTTTGACACTTTTACCATAAATGGGAAGGTGCCACGAATACCCCCGGCAAGCCCGTTTGTTTCGATATCAATAATGTATTGGTTTTTCTGGGACATTTATTTTAACACAAGTTCTGCTAGATCGACGGTTTTACATAACCTCATAGGAAGGACTAGCACTTACCTTGCCAGACTCCAGCATCTTGAAGGATTCACCAAAACTGAGTTCCCCAATCACATCTGTCGCCATGAACATCCACCACTTGAAAACGTCCGCAGCACCTCGTTCTGATATCTCCTCGGAAATTCCTTTGACGGCTAGGTCTATGTTCCGGCGAATGTACACTTCGACAAGCTTCAGCGACGACTCTGACATGGGCGATGAAAGCAGCCGTCGAAGATTTCGGTGAAGCTCAATGTCGCTGGTATTGAACACATTCAGGACCGTCGGAGGCGTGAACGACTTATACCAAGACGATTTTTTGAATGAACTTTTGACATTGTGAATCTGTTTTGTTGCAGCGACGTCGGAAACATGGACTTCCGTCGGACTGACTCTAACAAGCGTACCTTCATCGATTAGCAACGTAAACGGATAATTTAACGTGGTTTGATTGTTTGCGTGAGGGCTTACCGTATTTGTTGTGGAGGTCGTGGACATACAAGGCTCTATTTCCTTTAATAATATTATACTTGAGGACAATGGACGTCCATTTCGTATACCAAGGACCCGGTAGCCGAGCTAAGGGATTACTGAAAACAGTGTAAAGGATGATCTAGCTGGTGTATGAGTACAGATATAGTTAAATCAACCTTGGGGGTGAAGAGTTGATCAGCCACAAGTGGCTGAGGAGGCACACAGTGGTGACGTACAGTAATGATTAGAACAGCCACATAGACTACGACCTTGCCATTGTCGACGGCCAGAAACAAATTGTTGAGTAGCATGATCAATCAACACTTTGTGCTTCTGTTTGGCGGCGGGATCGGAACACATATGTAATTCGGAGACAGAAGGACTTTGGTGCTGGAAAAACCTTGTATTTTTCATTTTCTACTCCTATATTTCCCCGGTACCATCCACCACGCGGCAACTAACGCGAGTGCCGAATGCTTCTGCACTCGCGTTTGACACATTATCCGAAGCCCGAACAAAGGATCTTCAGCCTAAGATGGTGCAGTACATACAGGACTTGGTGTCCACTTTCCGCCTCCACCTCCGGCCCACCCCCCCACCCAAGCTTGTTTGGACTCTGGGCTTCCATCCCCCATCCAACCTCCACGTCGACACCCCTGAAGATCCGGGGATAGGTCGGGTGGAAAGCCGTGGCACCGTGCCGCAACATCACCTTCGCCCTTTCAGTCTTCAATAATTTCCGCGGGATTGGTGCAAAATGCCTTCGATAAGGGATGCAAGCGACATTGTGGAGAAAGGTACTGTTAGACGCAGAATCCAGATCTCACCACCTCGTCCGTTCTCCCCGTGTTAACCCCTCCCCTTTGTTACTTATGGTTCAGCGGCCTAGTGGCAGTGTTAATGCCTAACCAAGCTCTTTCATCTCTTCTTCGCCCAACACTAAACAGCTAACGACAATACACACAAATTACTTTGATATGCTCAGCACGACAGAGCTTCCGAAGGCAATGTTGGCCGCGCGTGCGCATGAGGGCTCCACGGAAGTCCATCTAGATACAATCCCCGTTCCCGAAATTGGCCCTGTGGATGTTCTCATCAAAGTTGCTGCGGCTGGTTTGAACTTGGGGATATTTGCTAATGTGGAAACCCAACGGTATAAGCACACCCCCACTGTTCTTGGACACGAGGTTGCAGGCACTATTGTCGCCATAGGTGAAGATGTCTCCTCTGCTAGCCTGGGGGACCGGGTGCGACTACATCCCAACCTCTCTTGCCGACAGTGCAAGTTCTGTGTCAGCGATCGGGAACAGATGTGTCCCGACGCGGCCATGATGGGCTTCCTCGGATTTGGAAAGGGGAAACAGCCTCTGTTTGAGAAGTACCACAACGGCGGGCTAGCAGAATACGTTAAAGCACCATACTGGCTGATTGACACCATTCCGGAAAATGTGAGCTTCGACGTTGCTGCAAAGGTGCAGGACCTTGCATGCGCAGTACGAGCACTCAAGTGTGCAGATCTCCAACCCAGGTCGACCGTCATTGTTACGGCAGCGACAGGATCCATGGGGGTGGCTACTCTTAAGCTTGCCGAGTTCTTCCCTATAGATCGTCTCATCCTCGTGGCCCGGTCCGCTGAACGTCTCAAAGACGTTCAGAGGCTGTCTAAGGTCCCGACAGAAGTTATTGCGCTCGATGAACTTGGCGACTGGCCCATAACAAACAGCCTAGTGCGCAGACTAAGAGAAATCGCCCCTGCCGGAGCTGACGCTATCATCGACTACATGCCCACCTCCATTGGCACCGATATCTGGCAAGTCATGGGGGGATTGGGCTATGGCGGATATCTCGTACACATGGGAGGAAACGGCACCTCGCTGCCGCTGCCTGTGGTGGCCTTAATGGTCCACTGCTGGAAGATTGTTGGTACAAGAGGAAATACAAGGAGTGACACAAAGTTTGTTCTAGATAAATTGTCGGACGGAACCTTAAACGTGGATGAATTGGTTAGTCACCGATTTGCGCTGAGTGATTTAAAGCAGGTGGTGTTGTCGGTGACGCACCGGTCTCCGCCTATGTGGATGGGTGTGGTTCATCCATGAATTAGCTAGATATTTTTGAAATATCTATGTATAAAGTCATGTTTTTGAGCTTTTATATTTGGATTCAACTCCCTAGTGACCTATCGGATGTATATCGCAAATACCAGACAACCCCTTTATAGTGCTCCATGTCGCCTTGACCCTAGACTCTAAGCAACCATTGCTTGCTAAGAGCTGTCGTATCGAGTCCTTTAAGATTCCCCTTTCCTCATGTGACTTCATGCGACTCTCAACGTCGCTGAAGTCACAATGATTTTGCTCTCTTTGGTCTAGCATGGACCGACAAGTTGGGCATTACGGGAGTAAGTCAACAAGTGCCCTCCTCTCTTTTTAGGCGAAAGCTAATTAGTTCCGCAGATGTTCCACGGCGGTAAGAATTTAATCGTATTTAAAGTAGCTTTGGTATTGTCCCGTGGATCCACATGAACGGTATTGCTGCTGTTTTCGGGATCCTCCCGCTCTCATCATTGTCATGGATCTTGGATGGGTGATATTCTCTGTTTTTGGAATACACCTCAGTCAGTTAGACATAAAGAAGACCATCTTTTCTTTCTACGAGCTCTAGAAGCTACTTCTCTGCCTCAAGGTGTATACTTAGGGGCTAGATTTACCAATATATATATTGGAACAAAACATAGATGCTAATGGCTGCGAAAACTTCTTAATCTCTTTCTCTAAAATGTACTAGTACGTTGAATATGATTTTTACCTCAGCATTGATATTACTTTTGATATTTGGTCTTCATGAGGTAACTAGTTAATGTATACTAAAGAAATACCACAATGTTTCACTTCCAGTTGATTACGAGTTTATTTTGGGACTAATAATGTATAGGTTACACTCGATATGAATAATTATACAGGGACAAAAAGTTCTGTTAATGAAGGCTTTTGTTTAATCAAGCCCTGGTTGAATAAATACCTCACTAGTGTCTCAAGAGTTTTCCGGTTTTCCTCTAGGCCATATGGCCAAGGATCATCACCAAAGACCTCCTTAATCTCCTCCAGCTCTGTTGGGAGCCATGGTAACATATACCGCAACGCGCTCAAGAAGCGCATCCGGTCCAGAGCGATGTTTTTCGACTCGTTCAAAGCGTCGAACAGATTCTTGGCGACATGCTTATTCTTCTCCCAGATGTCTCTTTGGATGACTACTAGATGCATGATGGGAAATATACCATGCTTTAAGTAGTATTGCTTCTCTTCCTTCTTTACATCAGGAAACAAGCGCTGGATATGTGCCACCTTTCCAAGACTCGGAGGAGTCTCGGCCCCAATCACAGCATCGATGGATCCTTCTACTAGCAGCTCATCCAGAGATTTGCCACTAGTGTTTGTGACGATCGAAACCCCTGGAAGCACAGATGCCTTTCCATAAGACGTGGCTGAAGAGAGTGACCCCTCAATCCACTCGATACTATTAGTGTCGACACCCAACTCTTCTTCCAAAAGACCTCGTATCCAAACAGCAGCAGTCATCGTGTAGAGCTGGACGCCAAACTTTGCTCCATTCAGATCACGTGGGGTTTTGATCTTGTTCGTGTTGACCACAATGAATCCGTGTCTGAAGAGTCGCGACGGGAACACCGGGATCGCGACCCATGTCCGGTCACCAGCCGCATATCTCGTTATATATTCCGAAGCAGACAGCTCCGAGGAATCATATGCTGGCCCTCCAGATTTAGACTGATTATCGAAGAGAACCCGTGGATGATTCACTACGACGAAGTCCAAGTCGATTCCCGCTGCTTTTATTTCTCCCGTATAGAGCGCGTTAACGCGGTCGTAAAGGCCGCATGCGAAGGACAAAGAAACCTCAGCCATTGTTGGTTTTGATATGATACTAACTGAGTGCGAATTGGAAACGACATTCGTACCCTTTTCAATTTTTACCTATTCATACATGATAAGTTACCTACTGTAATAAGTGTGTCGGAAGGGAGACAACCGGCATGGAGCTTATTGCACTAATTAGGTGGGGATCTTAAAGTTATCGGGGAAGCATCGGCTTTAACTTGACCCATGAGAAGATAATTCGTCACCTGCAGTAGAGACATCTCTTCAACGGGCTCGCTTGGATGGCATCGGCCGAGAAAAGAAATATAGCACTTGCTGCTTGGAAGAAAGTTTGGCATTGAAGCTTATGAATCGGAATGGGTGCAATACTTGCATTAGATCTACAAGCTTGATCTAGGAGAATGTCAAGTTTTCAGCAAGCTGGAAAGGAAGAGGTTCTGTGCACAAGGAGTCTCTACAAGTATGTTTCATATTTTGATGATATATGGCATGTTATTCAGATAACGCTACTATAAATATCCTGCTTCCTCATAATACCGTTCTGCTCCAGGATGAAGTGGAACAGGTGTTTTAGCCATATTAGAAGGAATAAGAGGGTAACTCAGAGGGCTTCGCTCAGATGGTATGTGAGCGTACTGCCGCTCGATGTCGGCTCTAGTCTCGACCAAGCACCAGGTGAGCAGATGTGCAACGTCATCCGGCATATCGTCGCGTACAAAGACGACGAAATCCGAAAATTCAACTGCTAGAGTTTCTTCATTGACCCCATCCCAGAAGCCTCCTCGAATCGAAGCAGGTTCAAACCCAGGCTGACCCGATAGCGTCTTCAAAGCCTCCATCTCGGCTTGGATTGGGACCATTTTCTGCTTTTCCATAGCTTCTCTCCACCATGGGGTCATGATAGCTTCTTGTAAGACTGCGTCAGATTCACCAGCTTTTAAGGAAAATAGTGCATGTTCTGGTCTATGGTTCAAGACCAAAGAACCACCCCATGATTTCAAAGTCTCCTCGTCGATCCCATGCGCTTTCAGTAATCGCATGGCTACATAACCAATGAAATTCGTCCCGTCATCAATCGATGTTGCTAGGCGGAGAGGTGGTTTCACACGACGTATATCTTCCCATGTCTTGACACCGAATTTAGGATGCACAGCTAGCATCAGTCGATCCCGTTGCGGTAACACCGCTAAAGCCCTAAGACCTGGCATTGGGCCATGTGCGGCGAAAATACCTGTCCCAGTCCTGGCGGTTGCCATCAGCCCCGCTGGAGTCGCAATGCACAAATCAACCTCGCCATCATGGAGTTGATACAATGCCTCAATTCCTCCAGAGCGAATACTCCAGATGCCTACTCGACTGCGTGGACCGGCCCGGTCACAGAATGCCTGTGTGAGCCAGGAGCAGATACGGTGAAAATTGGCTTGCCCCCAGTCTCCGACGAAGTGTAACGTGATAGAGCGTTCGATTGAGGGTTCTGAATTCTTTTGTGAGCTGCTAACAACCTCTGGCACAACGATTGGCGAGGAAGGCATTAGTAATCCAGTTGAAGACACCCCTTTGCATTTGTTTTGGGACTTAATCGGATCCCTTCTATCGTTCCTTGACGAATATGAGAGCCGAGAGCTGATGTAACAAGTCAGTTTGGTTATGGTTATGTACAAGACGTACGGTAAAAGGTATCAACTGCTAGACTATAGCTAAATATACAAGCCCTTGCAGCTATGCCAGTAGTATCGTGGGACCCCTCGTCCGCTATATCCCCGGCCCGCAAAAGCGCGGGTTCAGCGAGGTCGACTTGTTAATTCGGCCTTTCGGGGTCAACGGTCAACACTTCCCGAAGCCCCGAAGGCCGAATCAGTAAGTCCACCTACAAATACAATAAATGTGGCTCAAACCAAACCAAACTTATCTCCGACTGTAATCAAGCACAATTGATTGCAAGAGCCCCACTATCTCTATAGCCCTACCTTCCGAACCGCCACCCTTGAAACGCGGGCCCCAGTTTCGCCATCCATTATCAAATCAACATGGGCGTGGTTACCGAGTATCTAGACGCATATCCCATCGCGGACGAAGCTCCGATCGAGCTCCAACGTGATGAGGAGTTGCTCTTTGGAAAAGCTCAAGTTGGTCCAATCCGACTTTTACAGCACGAGTTACTCGGCGCCGTCCACTTCCCTGTGGAATTCGTCCCTGCCAGATTTTCACCTCCGCGAGGCATCTATGAGTGTGACCATATCCGACTAGAATGGCAGCAGATGGGCAACTTCCGACAGCCCTTCTATCACCGTAATGCCGATGTCGACGAGGTGTCCTACCAGATCTTTGGAGATCGCACACTTATGACCGAACATGGCACCGTCGAGATAAGACCGGGAGACTATTCACGGATCCCAGTTGGTGTTGGACATGATAACTATGGAAGAAATGAAATTCATCTGCTCTTTTATATCCCTGCCTCTGTGACAGAGTGTGGACCATTTGCGAAGAAGGCAAGCCATACCATTCCCCCATTTGAGGGATGGGAGAGCAAAGTGGTCGCTGAGGTCATGACGGAATGTTTGGGCGGACCAGAATGTGACATTGCTTCCTTCCAGGTTGATGAGACGCTACTCCTAAATCATGCAAAGGGTCTTCCTGAGGACAAGCTCATATCTATCCTACGACCAACGGAGGCATCGAAGGGGGACATCGAATGGAAGTATAAGTCAAAGCATGTCTGGATCGGGCATACAGAATTATCGAAATCAACTGGTACTCCAAAGTATCGACGCCATCGTCGAGCCGAAGAGATCCAATGCCAGATTTCCGGTACGCGCACTGTGATCACACAGCGGGGAATTATCACTCTTGAGCCAGGAGATTTCATCAGCATTCCAAACGGAGTTGCCTTCACAGACCATGTCACAGACAATAGCACCCATATTACAGTTCTCACGTTCAATGAAGCCGAAGCCAAGGGTGACATCGTTAAGCGTGCTAAACCAGCTACCACGGAAGCGATTGCGGAACTTCGACACGTCTGAGCATCTTATATGATCCTCATCAGTATTAGGTACTTAGTACAATAAAGACGGGCTATAAATGTAATATACGGTCTGTGAAGGACATTTTGACTGAGCTTTGCATTCTGATAAACCCTGCGACTCACCTGTCACGGTAAAGACTGCCTCTGCTGATTACACAGAGTGTAGACCACCTCCTAATACGAGATAATGGTGACATAATACAAGTGGACGCTTTGTGGTTCACACTTATTTGGCTATTGCATCTAAAAGAGGCTAAAATCCGAGTGTACAGTAACGACCCTACTAGCTAGACGTGTGATCGCGTCAGGACTTATTGGGAGTGACGAGGGCGAAATGCTATACCAAAACCATACTTCCTCAATATATTTTCATGTAGTGACCAGATAATAGAAGTCATCTGCGCTGGTAAGTCATTGCATAGTTTGCCTTCTCTCTTTTAAGGTTTTCTAATGATATCACGTTGAACAGTTTTAGTTCAGATTCCATGGTATTGATCATAAGATCAGTAGACTACGGGGATTATTGCTCGACAGTTTGAATAGTATTTTATATGAAGCTATTATTTTCGTAGGGTTTAAAGCTTCAGCTTTTCCAAGCACTTCTAGATGCCCGCAATCGAAGTCTCACAAATATGCTGCGAAGAATTCAAGCAACATTTTGTAGCCCCTTTCGTACTCCTCCCGGCTGCGCTCCGCCTCGAGATCCGCACGAGCTGTCATAAAACCATGTATCTGGTCGTCAAAGGTCTCGACACGCTTCTCGACTTTTAGATTTTCTGCGAATTTCGCGTGATCTTCAGCCGACTCATCTTTAGATGCGATAGACAGGAAAGGGACTACGACGCTCGTTGCGTCGTCGGGATTCAACATCGCCGGGTGAGCTTGTGCGGCGGCCTTCCAAGTCGTGCCCTCTTTGGACGTCAGGGTTGCGACCTTGCCACCCCAGCAAAACTACGTGAAATCGTTAGAAACATATGTGACACCGCGAGGTGGGATTAAGAACGCCGAATGAGACTTACGCCGATACATCCCCATTTATCAATCTTATTGTATGATTTATTGAGAGAGTTTAGGGTGTCAGGCATCTGCTTGATCGCCGTTGGAGGACCATGGGACTTAAGCCAGTTTGGAAGGTGCACTTTCTTGCCTTCGTCGTCTGCAAACCATTCTTTTTGCGCGTACTCACCGAGTAAGAAGTCAGGTATAAACACCTTGTATTCGTGGTGTTTGTCTGAAGTGGCAAGAATGTCGGCACCCTGGAGAGTTTGGCTGGCGAAGCCAAAGATATCGTAAATCAGGAGAATACCAGTTGTAGCGGTTTCCGAACCAGTGACATCTATTAATGAGTCAATCATCAGTCTTCCGGGTGCTTATAAGGGCTTAAGTTTACAGGTCTTTAGCCCGCCAATAGTCTCATATTTGCCGTGTGGTTGATAACCTTTAGCCACAATGGGGGGGATTGAGCAGCAAGCTGCAGAGTAATCATGTGATGCAGCCATAATTTAGGTATGAAATTTTTGTTGGGTCCGAAATATGAACCGTCTTGTAATCATAGGGAAACGAGTTGAGGATGAGATGCTTGATGAAGGAACCCGGAAGCCTTAAACAGAGCTTAATACAAAGGCACTATATTTTCAGCTAACGACGTGGAGGGCACGGTTGAAGATAATATAGGTTAGACCCAGATAGACTGTGCCGACACAGAGGAAATGTTTCCCCGAGCCGGGGAATGGACGGGGACGCGGATACAACCCAAGTATAGGGGAATATCTAGGATTCAATAGTCCACAAATCTGATATTCCCCTATACTTGGGTTGTATCTGCGTCCCCGCAAACTCGTTTTGATTGGGCAGTTTTGTGGAGACCATTTTAAGGGTCATTGTGTCCCGTAGGGTGAGACTCTCTCCCACTGTTTGTGCTAGTCAATGTGACCGAGCCCCAACTAACCTCTGTTATTGACCGAATGCTGTCAATGTCGGTTGCTAACACATCAGAACTAATTAGTAAACCTATGAGCGTAAACTGTGTAATGTAGGGTGGTTTTACTAACGAGCACAGATCTAGTCTATCGCATATACACTCGTCCATGACCGTTATTGCCCCACAGTTGGCTGTACACATTTAATAAAACGCGGAGATTGATATCGTGATACATATGCAATACAAGATAATCGTCGTTACGACGATTACACTTTGCAAGCAAAATTCGTAGTTTGATTCATTTACCATTTCTGAATCTTCAAGGATTTACTTAACCCAGTTGAAATCACACTGAGTTCTCAATTTTCATTTTTGGTCTCAGTTAAAGATATATTGAAAGGAATAAGTCACATTCATTCCCTCTGCAGGTTATGTCTTGTTTTTTTTTACACGTGAGCAGTTGCTAGACCCTCACTGTCAGTATCCTTCGTCCTGTAAAACCCAAGTGCATTCAACATGGGCTTGTCGTCAAAGCGGTACAAATAGACTGTCTCCTTCTCATCCGCGAAGTGCTCATAAGTGTACCAAGCTGGTATACAGAAAGTGTCACTCTTCTTCCAGGTAATTTTCTCGCCATTGATCCGCGAGTAACCAGATCCTTCAATGATGTGGTACACAGAGGAAGCAGTTTCCTGGACCGCAGGTGAACTCTTTCCGGGGTTCAAGCGCTCCGCACATCCACCCAATGACTTGGACACTTCGCTGCCGTCACCCCTCAAATATCTCTTAATAACGTAGTATCCCTGTTCAGAATCGAGAGCTGCCTTCATTCTGGGCCATGGAAATACAATCGGGCTTTCACTAGTGTCCACATTCTCTGCTGGATATCGGCTCTCCTTGTAATGCTCCACAAAATGAACGGGGAAGTGAACGAAAGAAGGTAGATCTAAGCCGTCGAGCCAGATCATTGGTCCTGATCCGTCCTTTCCGTGATCGTGCCAGTTCCATGTTGGAGTCAAAATCACATCTCCACGGGTCATGTTGATTCGCCGGCCGTGGACAGCCGTAAACCCGCCAGTGCCCTCGATGATAAAGCGCATTGCAAAGGCTCTGTGACGATGTGCAGGTGCGGTCTCATTTGGCATGACGAGCTGGAGGCCCGCATAGAGGGTGTCCGTTGTATATGGCGCCACTTGAAGCTCGTCAGTAACGAATCCCTTACATAGATTTCCCCTTGTGATGACGAGAAAATCGGACTAAAACGTAGAACAAACCTCTTTCAGGATTGACCAACATAAGCACTCTTCTCTCCGCTTGCTTCTCGGTTATCTGCTCGCCCGCGCGAAGAAGATGGGGCCTGATTTTCTCAAAGTTCCAGAGATGAGGTTTCGCGGTAGGATTTGGGAGGGGCGGATTCAGTTTGCTCATCTGCGCCCACAATGGCTTTGTATTCTGCTTCTCAAGGTCGCTGAGCAGATTGTCCGTCACCCCCGCAGAATTAGAAGTGTCATTGTTCTCCATGATTGCTGGTGTTCAAGTTGTGATTGATACTGACTTGTGACAGCCGATATCAGGAGTCTATGGGAGCATTTATCTTCATTATTAGAAGGCAACTTTAGCAACTGTAGCAATACCCCATGCTGTCATTTGCCGCTAAGCGGTTGGGTTGTGCTTGTTGGGGACAGAGCGGAGAGCAGGTATATACCGGGGGTATATCGGATGTCCTCGGGGAGCAGGAAATCGGCGCCTCAATCATCATTATTTGTAGGTATGTGCTATGGCCGGGGGTTTACAGGAAGGCTCCAGCGAATCAACCCCACTACTGTCGAGCGGGGTCGATTAAAGCACCAGATAATATCGCGGCCAGAAACGCATCAACGATAAAGTCGACGCTCGATCGACGCCGAATTCAGGTCGAAATTCACGACACCACTGATACCCAACAAGACAACATAAACTATAAGCGCAATGTCACAAACCTTAGAAGAACAGCTACTGGTCAATGGCACCAATCATCAGCTAGCCAAGCGCATTCAAATACCCCTGAATATGCCAAAACATCCAACTCGATCACTGCAGTTTCTGGACGAATTGAACAGTCAACCGACTAAAGTGACGGTCCCACTGGAAGCTAAAGTAAAACTTAAGATAATCGTCGTAGGCGCAGGCTTAGGGGGGTTGGCATGCACAATTGCATTGGCTCGACGAGGACACGAAGTTGTAGTCTATGAACAAACGGCGGTACTTGGAGAAGTACGTTCACCTCATTTGGCGTATTGAATAATGAGCTGATAAAATCTAGGTTGGAGCAGGAATACAAATACCATCTAACTCCGCCCGCCTGCTACATTCCTGGGGCGTGGGAACTTTCCTCGAACCTCACGTTGTAGAACCGAATGGGATGACATTTAGACGATGGGAGGATGGAAGCACAATAGGGTATACGAAATTGGTACCTGACTTCCGAAAGAACTTTAAAGCCCCATACTATGTTGTGCATCGCGCACACTTCCATGATGCACTCTATCAGAGAGCATTAGAGCTTGGCGTTGAAGTAAGACTAGCAAGTCGAGTTGAAAATTATGATTTGAGCAAGCCGAGTCTCACACTTCGGTCTGGAGAGGTAATCTTTGCAGATCTAATCGTTGCTGCTGATGGTACGTCGATGTTATGTGTGCGCTACTACACAGTTCGTTGACGAGTAATAGGAGTCAAATCGGCAGCAAGAAAATTAGTCCTTGAAGGGGAGGATAAACCACCACAGCCGACAGGCTTTGCCGCCTACAGAGCGACTGTTGACGTTGAAAAGATGAGGTCGGATCCGGCTATCTCGTGGCTACTTGAAAAGCCATCTTTGAACATATGGATTGGAGAGGATCGCCATGTCATGACGTATACTATTGCTGCAGGAAAATCATTCAACATGGTCCTTTCACATGTAGACCTCACGGATCCCTCAACTTGGAAGCCAGAAACCGCGATTTGTGACATGAGAAAAGAGTTCTCGGGATGGGACCCAAGGCTGGTCAAGATTATCAACCTAGTTGAAAGCACTCTCAAGTGGCCGCTGATGATGGGCACTGAACTGAAGACCTGGATCGCACCGAGCAAGAAAGTTCTGATTATGGGCGATGCTGCGCACCCAATGGTACCATACATGTCGCAGGGCGCAGCGATGGCTGTTGAAGACGGCGGGGCTCTTGCTACTGTCTTGTCACTTATCAGCGATCCTGAAGAAATTCCCCGTGCTCTTGAAGTCTTCGAGGCAGAGCGTATGAAGCGTTCTGTCCAGATGCAACAAGCCAGCTTATTGAACGGAACGTTGTGGCACTTTCCAGATGGACCTGAGCAACGGCTTAGGGATGAATCTATGAAACCAGAGGTCGAAGGCAGAAGTTTCAGCTGGAGCGCGAACCAGTGGAGTGACCCTGTAACGCAGTGGTGGGCATATGGCTACGATGCGGAAGAAGCGGTAGAGGCAGCCTGGAATGATAGAAATGCCAGTAAGGATCCATAGATAAATCTAAAAAACAGTCAAGGCATATTAATTAGAAGGATTATTCTTTGGCGTGTGATTCCTGTAAAGCTACGAATATTATTTACAAATGATTGGAGTACAGAACACTGCCCATCTAAAATCATTGTATTAAGTAGACTTGCAGACTGGCGGACTAATCCCACTAGTAATCCTTATTTCAAATCCAACTCTACATATGGCTCTAAGGAGTTTATGACTGGATTATAATCCGTGGTCGGCTATTGCGGGCTCCGCCAGACTATCTATGGCACCGAAGAGACGACTTTATACTCCGGCAAAAGGATTCAATTCTTAATTGTGGTCGATTCTGGACGTAAGGTGGATCGGAAATGGAGTATAAGAGAATGGTTTATCTATAGAGTGTATAGACGCTGGTCATGTGCTCAAGGTGTATTGGTTCTTAACCTCAAATTGCAGTGGCTTATTCACGTCCATGTTAGGATAAGATGCGGCAACGTCGTATTCTTGATCATGATAATATAGATAATGGTACTTATTATCACGCGAACTTGACACCATTCTTCAATGTACCAATTTCAGATATTTCCACTTCCATCACGTTTCCAGGAACAAGATACTTGGGGGGATTGAGACCTGCCCCAACCCCTCCTGGAGTTCCCGTCATAATCACACTGCCTTTCTGTAGCGTTGTTCCAGAACTCAAGTACGAGATCAAATATGGAACGCCAAAGAGCAAATCTCCTACACTTTCGTCCTGCCTCACTTCTCCGTTAATAATGGTTTTCAGGTGGAGCTTGGCAGGATCTTTGATTAAATCTGCGTTCACCAAAACCGGACCCAGTGGAGCGAATGTGTCGAATCCTTTACTGAACCCCCATTGAGGGATGCGACCAGCAAATGCAGGATCTCTTTGCAATTTTCTGGAGGAGATGTCGTTTCCACACGTGTATGCTCCAACATACGACAGTGCATCCGCTTCAGAGACATCTTTACAATCGCGGTTGAGTACGAGGCACTAGGGACTCAGTCAGACGAGGGATGCTAGGAGCATCTTGGAGGAAAGAGCATAAAGACATACCAGTTCGCCCTCATAGTCTGCTTGGTCGTCTTGGCAAATTTTAGGAATAATTACATCTTCGTTGTGGCCAATGACAGAAGGCACTGGTTTAAAAAAGATGAACGGGAATGGAGGTGGCGAGCGGCCAGCCTCCTTGACTGTATCTGTTAGTATTGTCTCGATCGAATCTTGGTGTTTATAGCTTACTATGTTTTGCATAATTCAGTCCAACACATCTGAGGATCGGGATATCTTCTTGAGCTAGAGGTCCGAGCAATTCGTCCACAGTGACTACTTCGTCCGACACCTTGGTTAATCCAGTCGTATCGTAAATATCTTCACCAGTGATAACTTTCGCCTGAAGCTTGGTCTCGGCTGTTGTCTTGCCAAGATCAAAGTCGGCTGATGGCAATATTGGCTCTCCCCGGAGCACGCGCCCGTCAGTGGCTACAAATCGGATCAAGCGCTTCCAGACAACCATTGCAAATATTTTGATTTTATTAAAAGCCCTGAGTGTCTTTTTTTAATGATGTGGTATTATAATGCAGCTCTTGCTTACGTACTGGTGTCTTGCTAGGTGTCCATGGCATCCGGGGAGTCGTCGGGACTACCGGTTGGCGCTATTTCTGGCAAAGCAACAGCTTACAACAGCCCCACAACAGAATTTCCAATGCCCCATTGTTAGGCTAATTTGGAAGAATAATGGACATAGTGGGCCTCTGAACCGTCCTTTATGCTCATTCCATGTACACAGTAACTCAAATCGGGAGTTTTACTACAGCTCGTCCGCTAATCCCATTGATTCGCAACTTCTCCAATACTTCACCGAGCTCTTGGAAGTCAAAGACATCTACAATAGCTTTTATCTTTCCTTCAGAGGCCATTTCCAATAAACTCTTCATCTCTTGCTCAGTTCCGACAGAAGAACCAAATACGCTAATACCTCGCACAATCATCATGAATGGACTGATGGGTAGCTCCTCCATCGCGAGTCCAACACAAACTAAAACGCCTGTATTGCGAAGTTGAGCTATTGCTTGCGCGTATCCGGCCTTGTTGCCAGCCAAGCAAACTGCGCCGTGGACTCCGTACCCGTTGGTCAACTCCTTTACTGTTTTATCAACGTCATCTACTTTGAAGTCGAGAAAGCGAGTCGCACCAAGCTCTAGGCACAATTTGCGCTTAGACTCGCCACTATCAACAGCAATAACTTTCAAACCTAGCGCATGGGCAATTTGTACGCCACTTTTCGAGTTTTTACGTTAGCTTCGGTTTTTGCTATCACAGGCAGTCAAGCTTACAGATGTCCAAGACCGCCGCCGGCTCCTGGCAAGAGCAGCCACTCGCCAGGCTTCAAACGCAGTTTTAGGATGGCAGAGTAAATAGTAATGCCAGCTATTGACTAGTGAGTTTGATATCATAGTAACAAAAAATATGACTTACCACACAGCAGAGGGGCAGCAAGCTCAGAGCTGATACCATCAGGAATGAAAGTCAATGGTTTAGCCATAGAACAAATGTATTCTACCGAAAGTAAGCGTTGTTCTTTAGGCAAACACAAAGTTAAAGAATAGCTACGTTGAAATGTTCCTAGAACGTTCTATGATATGGTAAGTACCTGATTTTTCTATAGACTTAGACAGCTTTAGTGCTTACCCTGCCTGGATTCTTTTGATTCGGACAGTATGTTACATCTTTGGAACATATCTCGCAGTCATCACAGTACTTGTAAAGCCACCTGTGACATGGTTAGTTGTATATGGAATTAAATTGCATAGAAAATGCGTACTTGATACCAACTCGTTTGCCAATGAGATCCTGAGAAACATTTGAGCCAGCTACAACAGTTAAATCGGTAACATTGACGGTGTAAAGCCATTTGGAGGTAGGATAAATGCGCAAACCGCGTTGAGACCTACCCTTAATAATGTGTCCAATGCCTTCATGGCCGGCAATATTGACTTTCATTGGCGTCTTGCCTGTAATGCTGTACAGGTCTGAATGGCTTAAAGAATTGTTAACATTTGTGGTCATTGTATACCATTATCACACGGTACTAATTAGTTCTAGAAGACTCACCAGACACCTGTACAGTCCAACTTAATGAGAACCTCTTCTGCCGATGGACTAGGAATTGGAAGGTCATCCCGAATCACTACACGGGCATCTGGACCAGGGTTTTCCACCCATGCTCCTATCTGATGTTCTGTGCGTACAGCCATACTTGGTTGCTACGATTGCACGATTGAAGAGGACAAAACACTTTACATCCAGGTCATCAAAGATGAGGAGTGTAGTTCCGTTCATAACATAGACGATTTGCGAGTTGTCGGCGGCCGCGTATATATCGGGATGCGAGCAAACAACTCCGAAGTGCGGTCTTGGCTATTTGCGACCACCTAAAGGTACGCCCACTTTAACAATACGAATATATTATATGATTAATTTGCAACATACAATAACAGGTCACCTGCTATCATAATAAGTTTCTTCTCCGACATTGAGACTTCTGAACGTATTACTAGGAAAATGGGTTCTGAATCACAAATAAGTGTACCTTTGAGCTACATCTTTGTAGTTGCACATCAATTTCGAGGACAGTATTCTCATGACTGAAGAAGCTGCATCGCTCACCACCTCTCCAACTCTCTCCGGAACCATACCAGCCTCTCAAAATCTAGAGTCGCAGGTTCTGATTCTTACAGAACCATTGGGTGTTATACTTAGGATTGCTCCCTGGAATTCCCCTCTCATACTTGGTTTACGCAGCGTCCTTCCGGCCATTGCAGCCGGAAAGATAGCAATTCTTAACGGTACCGAGTTGTCACCACGTGTTCATTGCTTCATCGCAGCATTGTTTCGCGAAGCTAGTTTCCCATCTGGTGTCTGCAATTTCCTTCTTCACCGAGCAGAGGACGCAGTCCAAGTATTTGATACGATCATCGAGAGACCGGAAATCCGAAAATGTAATTTCAGTGGAAGTACTGCAATCGGAAGATCTATTGCAAGCAATGCATCAAGGGCATTAAAGCCGTGCTTGCTAGAGTTAGGGGGTAAAAACTTTGCTATTGTTTTGGAAGATGCAGATCATGAAAAGGCTACAAACTTGGTTGCAGAAGGCGCCTTCTTAAATGTAAGAAACATACACATAAGATCAAATACTTATCCGAAGCTTACTTGACATTCACAGAACGGGCAGATCTGTATGTCGACGGATACCTGCTTGATTGCCACTCAGGTGTTTTCTAAGTTCCGGGAAGCTCTGATCTCTCACCTTCAAAAACCAGGTCCCACATCACAAATGACAAATCTAATAACAACGACGGCCTCCTCTCGCATTGGGCATTCGATGACCGATGCAGCTGCCAAGGGTGCAACTCCCAGCAGTATTTGAGCACGATGCCAGAAGCAAAAACCCAAAGCACAGAGCCAATGTGCTGACCGTGGTTGAAGGTGTGACTCCTGACATGGACATATATTCCCACGAGAGTTTCGGGCCGTTGATATCACTAATTCCTATTGAGACAACAGATGAAGCTGTTGCTGTTGCTATTGTCAACGAATGCAGGTATGGTCTCTCGGCTGCTGTTCACTCAAAGGATGACTACAGGGCACTATCCTTAGCCAAGGAATTACAGGTTGGGGCTGTACACATCAACGGGGCAACGGTGCATGATGAGAGCACATTGCTACATGGAGGTTATAGGGACAGCGGTTGGGGCAGGTTTGGAGCCGGGTGGGGTTTAGCCGAGCTCGTACAGACGAAGACAATGGTGATGAATAAATAAGTGGATTTTTAAGTCATGAGTTTTAAGAACGACGTAATCATCAAAAAGGCCAGGGAACCAAAAGCAGCGCGTTAGAGATGTCTTTTGTCTCTGAATGTATGGGGACCGGCCGTGCGGGTCTGGCCTGGGAGTGAATCTCCACCTTCATAATATGTGGAGCAGCGGGACAACTAGCGCCCCGCTCAACATGCTTCGTAATTCCGTTATATACGCGGCCTATCCCCGCAAACTGCTACGCACGACATTATTCATTTTCGCTCGATATCTATGATCTTTTCTTCTCCCCGGATTTTCACCTGATTGTACCAGCACAGTTTCATCCCCACCAAACCGAATGTTGATACCGGCACTTTAACCGTATGCCTGCATCGTGGACAGAATGCGAGGGTGGGGCAGAGACATCAGGGCCCAAACGACGGAGGATTTCCCTAGCCTGTAGTGCATGCAGAGCTAGAAAGTCACGTGTAAGCCTACAAGCTTTGCTTTTGATACACTTGCAAGCCATTTGTCCAATGGGTTCATGTTCAACATATGCATGTATCCTAGCTGTAGTGGCGCTTTCCATACCATACATCCGCTCGTTAGGCACGAAGCAACATGACCCTTTCCTAAGCTTTTGTGACTGATGTGAATTAGTGCGATGGTGCGAGGCCAAAGTGTTCGGCATGCAACGAGCTGAGCTTCGATTGCGTGTACATTCAATCAGCATCGAGTTCAAATGTAATTGTTGGAAAGGAATACCTTACTAGCCTTGAAGAACGGCTGAAAGCTGCGGAGGAGAATATATTATCTCTCCAAACATCTCAGTCTCGACAACAGCAGCATTTGCGCTTCGAAGACGTTGACGAACTTGTACCGAACGATGCCCATGGTGGAAATACAAATAAGGAGTTATTACCTCTTACCGATAATACCCGACCTGCTGATGGGTCAGAGGCTACTCATGTCATCACTCTAGAGGATGAAACCAATGAGCTGGGAACTGTCATTTTCAGCGTCGAAGAGAATTGTGGCTTTTTTGGTAAGTATTGTCGGGCTCCACACGTAACTCTTCTGACCGAAATTAGGACCATCATCAAATATTGCCCTCAACCGTCACGTGTCTCGTGCTGTCTTAAGGCTCTCTCGGACCCACCAAACCTTCTCCAATACTACTGATAACGAAAGCCAAAGACTGCATGCAGAGATGGGAATCATGAGCGCCTCAAGGCCATCATCCCCCAGCCCTCGCTCTCTTAGACTAGCAAACAGTACTGGAGACGAAACCGCTGTCAACATATACAGGCTTCCAACCGAAGAGCGAACTTGTGAGCTTATTTCTCGCTATTTCAGCGATACTGGACTTCTCTTTCCCTATATCCACGAAGAGACCTTTTGGGAATCGTACAACGAAATGAAAAGCAGCAATTTCACACGAACAAGAAGATCGTGGCTGGGCTTGCTTAACATTATTATGGCATTAGCAACCAGTACAACCATTGACACAGGCTCTAGCGCGGAAGAGAGGCTTCGAGAGTGTGATATTTACTACCAAAGAGCGATGGGATTATGTGAAAAGCAGATGATGCGCGGTACTAGTTTTGAAATTGGTTAGTAGATCAAAGTATCTTTCTTGTCTCATTGCTGACTTCATGGTTAGTACAATTTCTTCTCGTTATGGGCCAGTACCTTCAAGGTACTCAAAGGTCGGTAGAAACCTGGTCAATTCATGGTCTCGCTGTCAAAGCTGCCATGCAGCTTGGCTTACATTGCCCCAAAGTGTCGGGACATCTCTCTCCACTAATGCAGGAGTACAGAAAGCGAACATGGTATGGGTGTGTAGTACTTGACCGTACACTTAGCATGACCTTCGGAAGGCCATCAGCAATCCCAGGCGACTATGTAGTGCTCGACCTTCCGTGCAATGTTGGGATGAGCAATCCACCGGGCGTGATTGCCCCAAGAACAGAGGCCAGCTTGGGCTTTTTCAACGCGACTATGTTAGAAATCTGCAAGTCTTCTATATTCATTGTTCAACATTACTGACATCCCCTAGCACACTATACATGATAATGTGGAACGTGATACAAACGGCTTATGGCAGCAACCTCGGTTCTGAGAGTAATGTTGGGGTCGTTGAGAGGATCACTCGTATCTTTCCCATAGAACAGCAGCTCGTGGACTGGAAAAGACGTCTTCCGCCGACGCTGGCTTTACAGCAAGCAGCTAACGTTGCTCCCTCCCCATCTGTGATGGTCGATTCCCAGGATTTCTTCCTTGAAAAATTTCGTGTTATTCTTACACTACGACACCATAACCTACGAGTTCTTCTTCACCGTCCTATTCTCGTTAGCTTTCTTGACCTGGCGGGAAATAATTCGCCGCAGGACGATCCGGAAACCTCTAGATATCTGGAACAGTTTGGCGGTAACAGCGTCCAGTAAGTAATCCAAACTTTTTTTTCTACTTGCCCAAATTTAAACCACGAGAGCGGAAGCCTAATATGAGTTTCAATCGCAGAATATGTGTCCAATCCTCCATTGAGATTATCTCACTCATTAGCACAATTGTAGCCTCTACAGGCCTACGCCGAACCTGGCTGGGAGCCTGGTGGTTCACCTTATACTACACCTTTAATGCTGCTCTCGTACTCTTCGCAGCCCTGCTTGTTGTGCAAAGTCAGCACTCCGGTTCGACGGGTGGGATTCCGCTACTGGTATCACCAGCGGAGATGCACCGTGCTATGTTGGAAGCGAGCGTTGTACTACGTCGCCTCGACACAGAGAATCGAACGATTAAGAAGTGTGCTGAGTATGTTGAAAAGTTGATTGAGATATTTAAAACACTGGGTATGGATGACCTTCTCTCCAGCCTCTTCTGGATTTTTCAATTTGCTGTGTTTGTTTTTACCCCCCTGTGGCTAACGTATCTACCTTTGCAGCAGCAACATCGAACTCATTCATGCCTCTCCCGCTCAATCTAGACCCTTTATCCAGTGAAAAATTTCACTTTGGCAATAACGGTAACGAAACGTTCGCATGTCTTCCCGACCCTAGCGTTTCTAACACGTCGCCGTTGGGTATGGAACTCGGAGAATTTATTCTAGAAGAGGATCTAGAGTTTATAAATCAGCTGTTTTCTTTAGGTGCGACGACAGGAAATACACCAAGATCGGTATCAAGAGCGGCACCAGAAATGGCGCCAGGGCTTGATTTAAGGCTGGCTGCTGCAAGCCCTACCATAAATGGTGAATAATTAGGGACAGCATATCATTGTTGAATGCCATCGTCCCCCCTGCACCACCTATAGGCCTCGCGCTACCTGGGTCTTGAGTCAAGCTTCCACCCTTATAAAATTCAAAACTCGCTCACGCGATTTTTTTTATCAACATCGTGCACGACAAAGCTCCTGTTCCTGACGAACGTGGTGGCACAGCGGCACAGAGGGGATGGAAGATGTTGTGGCTTCGATAATTTCCGCGGGATTGGTGCAAAAATGCCTTCGATAAGGGATCGCAAGCGGCATTGTGGAGACAGGTACTGTTAGACGCAGCATCTAGATCTCGCCGTGTTAACCCCTCCCCTTTGTTACTTATGCTGTCGTTTGCTCCTTCCTGTCGTTGCTCCTTCTTGCCACTACCCTAACCTCCTTCTTGCCGGCGCCTAACGATGTCTCTGCTTCTATACCTACACATTGACGTCCCAACCTATCACCCCTTATATTGTGCCAAACTCAAAGAACAATCACATACGACCATAGACTCAAGAGAATTGGGCATTTCTGCCGGAGATGGTCGCTGAATGCAACAACTTTGAGACTTCTGTTGATGGAAACTTGATAACCAATTGCTGTATCGCGTGAACGGTTCTGAGGCCAATGCTGCTTTTATCTGACAACACCACCGCACGAAACGGCCAAACGTACACGGCCATCGCAAAACGGGAAGATGTACGAGCTAGCGCTTTGCAAGGTAGACAACTACTGTAGTAAGTATTACAATTATCGTATAAAGTCCTCTGTTTTCCAATGTTGGAAGTCGTCTTTCCAAATCCCGGAAACGGTAAATCGGCTGTCTAGAAGTTGATTGTCCAGAGAGGTGTCAGTCAGTTGGATTATCACGTTATCACGTGGACTTGGATATCATCCTTGTCTGTTGGTGGGAGGACCGGAATACGGGGACCACACACGAATTCTACAGATCAATTGAATTACAACCTAATCTACGGGCCTACGTACGCTACTTGTAGTCCTGGGGGAAACCCCCAAATCCCTGATAAACTGGGCTTTCCGGGCTCAGCTGGGCTTTGGATCAGTGTCTTCCAATAGTATGGCGCCACTGTCTCACTCGCAAGCCAACTGGGAACTGGACGGTCCCACGGGGATAACCCGTCATTTGGGCGTAAAAACCGACCGTATCCCACGCGGATTTCTGTTGTAATAAAACCGACTATAAGAACTACAGCAGAAGTGGATTGATTCACTTTTGCTAGTTCAACAATTTCCGTTTCCCCCAACAATCCTGCACGTGAAGGCGTCCTCACGTGACGCCCCTTTACAACATCCAATTGAACAGACACGAACTCAACCACAGCGTTAGCACCCGCGGCCTTAGACATGAACAATGGAACACAGCAATAGCTATTCTGTAAAATCTGTGTACAAATTTGCCAATAAAGATATTACTACGTTTCAGGCATAAATAGCATGGTAAATCGTCAGAATCGCAACGAACAAACGCGGCTTAACTACCTCCTCCACACCCACCGCCCCCACAACCACCACCACAACCTCCGCCACAGCCTCCCCCACAGCCTCCCCCACAGCCTCCACCACATCCACTCCCGCAGCCAGTTCCACAGCCAAAACCACAACCAAAACCAAAAGCACCTCCATCTCCGCCAGAACTGTGACCAGCATGCGTGTGCATGTGGCTTGGGCTCATAATGGGGAAATTATTGTGCTGCACCTCGGATGGCACGATAGAACACCATGATCCGTTATACCGATCTTTGGGGTCTTTGGGATGTCCAATGGCCAATGTCTCTCGATCCAAACTGGCCTGAAGCGACTTTTCCAACGTACCTCGTCTCTCCTTCACGACCTCCCACTCCTTCTGGCAGCGTTCTTGTTCTGGAAGTGTGGAATCCCAGATGATATTATCGAGCCTCTCAATCTCCTGCTGCCTGAGTCTATAGTCTTCCTTCAGCCGACGGCACGTACCCTCGTGCCGTTGCACCTGGAATCGCAGTAGCCCACGGTAGTAACGCCGCTTAAACAGTCGTATTGTCGGTTTGACGGCATCTCGGGCTTCCTCGGCGGCAGTAAGTTCCGATTGTATAGCGCGTGCCGTTCCTCGTACCTTACGCAATTCAGATTCTTCTTGCACTATGCTGCTGTAGGCGTTGTCTAGCGCATCTTTTATATGCTTGTTGTTTTTGTCGAAAGCGGCCAGCGCCTTTACATTGTCGAGCTTCTTCTGCTTGCATGCATCCCTTTGCTGTTGGATATCAGCCATTTTCGCATCATTTCCCGGAGCAAAGTATGACTCGTTGTATTTCATGGTCCAGAGATGGGCCGTCATGTCTTGTGCCGTAGAACGCATCCCCGTGCGGATTGTGTCATCATGGTTAATGCGCTGTCCTATGTGCCTCTTGCAGTAGGCGTGGTAGGCAGCCGGCGAGAGTTGGTGGGTGTGCCAGAAAAGGTCAATGTCGAGCGTCGGTACCAGTATGGATTGCTTCTCCTTCATGAGCTGCAAGAAGTTCAGGTAGCGGGAGACGGTAGATGGCGCCAGGATATAAGTTTCGTCTAAGTCTAGGATGCGGTCCACAAAGCCTGACTTGCAAAACTGTCGTTGTGGGCTCTCCCATAAGTTGAAGACTGGGTATCCAAACTCCTCGCGGGAATACCGCACCACCCTGTCTTGCAGATTGCGTCCATATCTAGAGAAGCTCGTTCTACAGCCTGGACATGTGAGGCTAGTCTGTGCGACTCTGTATCTGGCCCAGTCTGCCATGGGGATCGCATAGGTCTTTTTCTTGTTGCACCTCCATGAGCGGCATATGTAGCCTTGTATGTCCATGTTGTTCTTCGAAGTAACGTATGTTTGGCTGCCTCCATCACGGAACGCGATGATATCGTAAGGAATTTTGGGGTACTCTTTCATCCATGCGCGTTTGCTGGCCTCGTCTGTGTTGGACGATGCCATCCTTGCCAATGGAAATTCAATCTCTGCCTGCCAGAGCTTTGGGAAATTTGATTCTATGTCGCGCTGAAAGTTGAATGGTGAAAGAAGATGCGCATAGAATATGATGGCCACGTCCCTGCCATAGGAGAATAAGCAAAAACTCCAATATGAATACATATAGAAGTAGTTCTGGAATCCGGATCAATCTTACCATGGTGGGAGCGGCCACTCATCCTTAGTTGCAGTGCCGTGAGCGGTTACCCATTTTTCTAAAAGTTGCAAATACATCGGGTAGCGGATTTCGGCGCTCATCAAAAGGCATTGTGCTCTCCACCCAGCGTTCTTTTCCAGTCCTAAATCGCCGGGCGGAGGTGCTGGGTAAAGAGCCTCGTTTGCGCCGGCTTTCTCTGTGTCGTCAAAGATACCCTTGAACTTTCGCATCACTCTAAAGTGATCCTAACATATCACAAAACAACTATTAACACTCTGGGCACAAGTCGGATTAACCCAAGATAAAGATGCAGCATACCAGAATTCGCTCCTTTGGGTCGAACTCGGGGCTAACCGGGAATGTCAATTCTGAAGTGGTTGTCATGGCTGACCTTGCCATCTCACTGATGTGTTCGTGAGAAAATGTACATGCGCTGTGAACTTATCAAGATGTTGCACTTGACCGCCGCTGGCAGTGGGCGAGCCAAAGTACTTATGTAGGTAGCATAACGCTCTGCAACTGCTTCAGTTCTATAGAGAACTAGCGTGCACTTCGGTGAGGCGAAAGTGTAAAACGTAAAAGTAAGGCGAACTGCAAGGCAAGGCATATCGACGAAAATAGCTGCACTTGTCAGGCAGATTGACGGCTGTTTAGCGCCATGGCCTCAGACATGTTGTTGTCACACCTAGTCCTGACTTTGAGACAGTCCGACAGATTTTGTCAGGAGTGTAGACTCTTAGCTACGTATAATCGTGGTAAAACTTAGAGAATGAAGAAGTTTAGAGAACTAATCTTAGATGAGATCAAGCTGAGTCGATAGTATGAACAAGTCAACGGTTTTCGCGCTTGTCGGGTTGCTGTCGGTTACGAGGCTCTAGTGTCAGATCAGAGGTTACATAGACTCTAGGCCTTGGATAGTTTTCAGAACTAGATGAGCAGTACAAGAAAAAGCATCGAAGCACAGTCAACCATCCCCCGTTGCCACGAAGCCGCTGTCGTGATCGGATACACAGGATGCGGCCTTTCGAGAGGCCCGAGGCAGATTTCGGAATTAGCCAACCGTTTCGCGTTTTTAATCGCTCTTAGGTCGCTTAGGGGGTCGCCACAGGAAAGATGGACGTGCCTAGTGGCAGTGCAAGTAAAATGCAGCAATGGTCTAAGAGCGGGAACACGGAAGCGGGAGGCTGACAACGGGGGACGGTTTTAGTGGTGGTCTTAGCGCGGGTGCGATCACAGACGGCAGAGAATTGGGCATCCCGTCCGCTCTGCCATACACAAGCTTGCGTATCCTCTAGCTAATAGTCCCAATCGTGCTAATAGGCATAGCGTGGAATCGCTGCCCCTTGCCGCCTGAAGGGTGAGGCGAGGGGTGAGCAGGGTGAGCCGGGTGGTGAGCAGGGTGAGTGGGGTGAGCGGGGTGAGTGAGGCCAAGCAACATTTTCCTGTCAGTTTGGCGTCAATTTCGCTTTCGCGTCATTTTCGTATCAACACCGAAGTTTGGCCAAAACCCTGATAAGTTGGGCTTTCGAGGCTCAGTTGGGTTTTGGATGTGTGGCGCCATACCATTAGAAGCCACTGTCTCAAATGGGAAGTTGGACGGTCCCACGGGGATAACCCGTTATCTTGGGCGTAAAAGCCCACCGTATCCCACGGGAATGTCCGTTTCCCGCAACAAATTGAGCGACAGCTGAGCGACGACTGAGAGACACCAGCGAAGGCAGCGACGACTGAGCGAGGGCTGAGCGATTGGACAGCGACGTTTTAGTAAATTCGGGCGATTGGACAGCGACATAATATTCACCGCTATGGCAATAATAACGGTTGTGACAGTTACGTACTCAGATTGTAATTGCAGTGAGCACTACACAGAACCTCGCGACGATTGTCCCCTAATACCCAGCCCTCCTCTTCCCAAACCTCTCGTACGCTGTGGCTTAGGAGCGTAGCACTTATCTTCGCAGAGCCGGAACATGACCACCGGCTCGAAGCACGGCATGTCTCTCAATCCCCCCGCGACCCACGGATGCTCCTCGTTTGGCACACGCGTCCTCATACCGCCCAACCCAGGCCCCGGCCTCATATAATGTGAAAAGGGACCCGAATCGCCTTTTGGAATAATCCTCCCCTCATTGTTCCTCGGCGCACGCCAGACCCCCTGGTGGTCTTGGATGCTCCCAAGTTCGTTCGCCTCCTCCGCTTTCGCCCAGCAGTGATTCATCCACGTTGTTAGTAGCCTCCGCCTCCACTGCGCCACTCGGGGTAGCCACTCGGATTCGTGCCTACTCACGGCCAAGTCAAAAAACTGCTCCGGCTCGCGATCCTCGACCGGCCCCGCGGCCCAGAGGTTGTAATACGCCTTCAGCGCGGCCTTATCGCCCACCTTAATGAGCTTCACGCGCTCCTCTCCCAAGCGCCCAAACAACATCCCCCCATCCTTCCACAGCGCAGATTCTAAACCGACGTGCAGGCTAACCACGCACAGGGTGGTCAAGTATGGCCCGCCACCTTCGGCGAGCAAGTCGAAATTCTTGTCGAATCCGAACAAATACTCGGCGCCCTCGGTATCGCCAAATCCCACTAGTAACGACGCAACAATAGACATGCGCATGTGGTAACGGCGGGCTAACCATATCAGAAACTCCACCGGGTTGCCGCTCCAATGGTAATAGCCATCGTAAGCGCCATAGTAGTTGAGGTGCAGCACGTCAGTGGGCGGGGATGCCCAGAGATCCCGGATGTCGTTCATGGCCTCCCATTCTGGGGTGTCGCTGCGCTGGAAGTCGTCGTCGTATAGCTCCGTGGCGCCAGCGAGAAAGGCAACGCTGCGCGATTCCCTACAAATCCGGGTGGCTAGCGAGGCGCGACTGTTGATCTGCGACGTCTGCTGTAGGCTGCACGACGTGGGAACTATGTCGGTGCCTTGCAGGTCCAGCTCAACAATGCGCGCGGGTAGGCACAGCTCCCAGATGCGGCGCTGCAGCTCGACAGGAAGCCGGGGGAATAGGGGAAATGATTGTACAGGCAGCTGCTGTTGTGTGGAGCTAATCGTAGTCATCACCCCGGGTGCTGGTGAGTGTAAGTTGGCGTGTAGCAGAAAGAGACGACGGTACTCTAATTCTGGTTAATTATGTGATACTTTTAGAAATAGCCTAGTGATATTGTCGCCGTCGTGAATGTTAAAGAAGGAAGGATGAGACCTGGGGACAAACGGTAGGCGGGGTTAAGTGGAGCAATCACTAACTTAGAGACCCAAGATTGGATCACCACCACCATTACGACTTTGAATATTTATCTTCACTTTTCTTCTAATCTTTCTTCTAATCTAGCACCGGAATTATTACTCCACCTCGTCTACCGATATGTTCGCGTTCAAGCTTATAGTTTTGGTTTCAATTAAGCCAACGGCGCCGATCTAGAAATGAAAGTATCACTAGACGGCGACAGCGCCTCCCTCAAATCATCCACATAATATAATTACACTATGATCTACTATATGGATCCCTGTACGAAACTTTGAATCCCGTCTATACCTCCAATATTCACCCGTTTTCAAGTGCTACACACCTTAGGGTCGTCAAACACCCAGATAATGAAGCCTTAAGTGGCTTGGATGGCGTTGAGATGGCTGGCGCCCTTGTCTACCTTTGTTTCCAGCGAGTTATAGCTATGATAGTTTTATGGTTAGTTGATACAGAATAGTAAACCCTAGTCTATGACTTGTTCGGTTAAGACGTATGAGGGAGGACAGGGGCCTTACTATGCGGGGAACCCAGAAATCAAACCCTTGATATTTTGCGTGATGCTCGGGTTACTTTTTACCATCTTTTCTGGATCTATAACCTGGTATTTATGGCCGTCTAGGGCCGTGTGCTCCGAAAACTCGTTGGTGAATGTAAGCCCCAGCTTAGCCTTGAACCCGTTGAATGCCTCGAGCATTTGGCCTCTATGTTCCTCCAGTCAGCCATCTAAGACCCCTTTCACTGCAATACGCAAAGTCAGTCACAGCCACAGTCACCGTCACTATCACTGTCACAGCCGCCATCTTCTCTAAGGAGAAGAGAGGAGACAAATATTGAGAGTGTGAAGACTTATAGGCAACCTGTATATTGGCAAGCTGTATACTTCCTGTCTCGTCCTTCATGGCCAGGCGCGTAGCGTCGATGTTGTTCATAATAGGTCCCATCATCTTTTGGAAGTTTGGTGAGTCGGCAATGTTGAAGTTATCTGGGAGCAGCTTTCCAGGCTCAAGCTGGTTCTTGTAACCGGCCGCGTTGAGCTTTTTCACCGTGTCCAGAACATCGGGGGTCAGGTTCATGCCTACACTAGTGCTTCCCTAGAATCCAGTTTTTTTTCCTGTTCTCTCGATATACTTGATAAATTCATTAAACTCTTAAGTAGGTTTATCAGCCTCTATTTCTTTTGCAACATTATAGGCAAGGTAGAACAATGCAGCGGGGTACAGCAAAATGCCTATATGTTCATCTTTTTCTCTTCTCCTCTTAGGGGGCATCTTAGGGGGCATGGATAACATACGTAGCAACCTCCCCCAGCCGCTGACCCTTTGCAGCCCTTGACAGTAAGAGTTGATTTAGGTCCATACTGAAGCACTTCCAACTAATAGGCATGCCAGAAAAAGACAGTTTAGTAGAGGCCGGCAAGGGTGGACGCGAGGCCTAGAGTAACAAGGAACAGGATATTCAAGAGATACAGTAGCTTCATGGTGGGCGTGCTGAGAGTTCGTCTCTCGAGTGTCTCTCAAGGGGAGGCTACTATTGACTATAGAACAGAGGGGAGGAGTGGGGGAGATGGTTGAGATAAGGGGGAGAGAGTGAGAGGCGGACAGAAGTGAGAAACAGTTGAGCGGAGAGGGGGGAGGCAAGGCAGGCACATCTTTCCTCTTCTCTTTCGTGCAAATAAGATGCCGTTGCTCGTAACCCTTTGAACCAACACTCTCCGTTCCCTTCTCCTTCCTATTTCTTTCTCTCTAATTTCGAGTATATACCTATGTAAAACTCGTAAGTCGGCTTAAAAGCAGCATTACGTCGGGCATATCTACTATTTAAGCTCTCAGTGATCCTTTGTGATCCTATCAGTCCCACCTGATGTGGGCTTAACCTTCTAAGTAGACTAGCCTAAGCTGTTGGCAATCTTGGGCCCTTGTAATCTGTTGGCCCGAGAGTGGATTAGCTCACGCGATGGACGATCGTGGCCCCTGACGTTTCCGTCACTGTTGGGTCTAGAGTGGATAGCTCCAAACACTTGGCAATCTTGGCTTTTTAAGGTTAGCTGGTCCCTCATGCCTTAGGACTAGCGTAGAATATCCCAGTTCGACCAACTGGACGCCTGGAGATCCTGTCACAATGAAAACGCTTGCAAAAACATTATGCTGGGTTAAAGAATCAGGGCCACCAATCACTCTAATGTGGTAAAGCCATACAAGAAGGTGGGGCCGGCCGAGAATAGTACTTTGCGACTGATAGTAGCAAGCATTAAGCACTACACTACTATACTAAGCAATTCGGCGTGCTGTGCCTCCGGGCCCGAAGTCTCTTTTACAATTAGTACTACAGAACACATGTCAATTCTTTATTCCGCGACAGAACGATCTATTGTTGGAGTGTGGTGCAGTCGGAGTTATATCCTACCTAGGCAGCTGCTCAAGGCACTTCACCGTCTCGATTGTGGCAAAGTTATCACTTTGTATAACAAATAGGTAGAGGTTACGTCGTATTCTGTTCTGTTCGCGCGATAATAATGTAATAAGTGGTCTAAAAGTCGGCTAGGAACTGCAGACAGGGACAAGCACCTTGTGAGAACAGTAGAGCAGACTTAGACTACTTTGCCCCCAACAGCGACAGCAAGTAACAGCAACTACCAATCAAATGTCTATCTGTGGGTAACGAAGTTTATATAGGCGTTCATTTATTAGTATGTACAAAGCCACTCCCCTCCTACCAGGCAGATCTGAAGACAATTTCTTTGACCTACACACTCTAAACTCATTCTTATAATAATCTGTCGTCCCCTCATCTCGGATTGTGGGAGTAGACTTCATTTTGTTTTACAACTATAGGGTCTCAATCACTTTTTGCGAACCCCTATAGGCGGATAACATCCTGCCTGGCGGTCTTGTCCGTGGTCTTCCTGTCCGGCTCAGCGCACGGCCAGACATTTGATGCCCAGCGGTCTCGCTGTCCCTTACCATGTAGTAAATCAGGGCCAAATCCGGGCAACTGGACCTACTACCACAACACAAGGGTCTTGACCCGCTGTGACGAGAGGTTCCTGCTAGACCTCAACGTCCACAACCCAGTGGATGATGCCAATACCCACCTCACCTTCCGGGCCTGTTCGAATCCCGAAGCTGCAGTGGCGGCTCGGGGTGGACAGCTCACTTCAAGACAGCAGCTCTCCTACAATACCACCTCCAATGACGACAAGTTCCACACGGTTTCCGCTGTAACCACGCCATGCGGCAATAGTGTACTGCAGACTAGGGTCAACGTCCAGCTGGGATGGTGGGACAGCGAAGGACCCTCTGAGGACGCTGCTACCGCTAGGGATGTCGCTGCAGCCGCCGAGCAGTTGAGCCACTATCTCAGCAGCGACGCAACGTGCGGAGGGCGCATAATTCTATCTTCTTACAGAGGAGCCATCGTGGGTGTCCACGTTGGCTCACAGGTGGAGAAGGAAAGTGCTGCAAGCCTCATCGACAAGTTCGCCAAAGATACCAGCTCCAGACCCCCAAATGCTCGTGACCGCTCTGCTGCCCAGTTATGCGGTGGTGAAGCGTCTTCCTCAGCTATCGATATCTTTGGTGTATTTGCAGATGCTACCTGGGAGTCTCTCGGCCGTGCAAGAAGCTCTGAAAAGCTGGAGCCGAGCTCAGTGTCTCGATGGCTTTGACAGGAGCTCTACGTGGCCCGACGTGTCTCTCAGCACGATCCCGGGCTCCAATATCAAAATTACGCCTGCGCCCTCAGATGGTGAAAGCGAAACTAACAGTGGCCTCGTCGCACGCGCAACCTGCAAGTATACACAGGCAGGGGCTGGGGACGGTTGCTATGCGTTGGCCGCACGCTGCGCAATCACCCAGGCCCAACTGGAGAGCTACAATGGCGGGGCATCGTTCTGCACCAAGCCTATCATTCTTAACCAGTACGTATGCTGCTCAACCGGGACCCTGCCAGATTTCTCGCCCAAGCCGGGCGCAGACGGCTCTTGCTTCTCCTACACAATCTTGCAACACGATATCTGCAACACTATCGCCACTGCCCACCATACTACGACAGCCAATATCGAGGCTGTCAACAAAAATACATGGGGTTGGATGGGCTGTGGCGACCTCCAGCTTGGTCAGCACATATGTCTTAGCACAGGAACTCCGCCTATGCCGGCGCCTGTTGCTGGCACCATTTGCGGGCCTCAAGTCCCTGGGACCAAAGCCCCGGCGAAAGGGACTACACTAGCCAGTCTGAACCCTGTCCACTGAACTCCTGCTGCGATATATGGGGACAGTGCGGGACAACGCCAGAGTTCTGCACTATAACCAACTCGACAACAAAGGCCCCTGGAACAGCTGCCGTAGGGACCTATGGGTGTATCTCTGACTGCGGCGTCGACATTATTGAAGGCGCCTCTTCAGATGTCGCATACAGGAGGATTGCATACTTTGAGGCGTTTAGCGCCGACCGGGCCTGCCTTCATATGAACCCGTCTGATATCGACACCAGCATCTACAACTACGTCCACTATGCCTTCGGTTCTATTACTGCAGACTTTCAAGTAGATGTCAGCACTTACCCAGAGAAATTTGCCAACTTTGTCGCTCTTAAAGGCACTAAGCGTATCATGTCCTTCGGCGGCTGGTCTTTTTCAACTGATGCCGATACGTCCCCAATCTTCCATGCGGGCGTTACGGATGCTCAACGAGCCACATTTGTCAAAAGTCTGCTTGAGTTTCTTAACAAGTATAACCTTGACGGTCTAGATTTCGACTGGGAGTACCCTGGTGCGACTGATATCAAGGGAGCCGAACCGGGAACTCCTCAAGATGGCGTCAACTACCTCGCGTTCCTAAAGTCCGTGAAGGCGGCGCTGCCTGCGGGTAGGACGGTAAGCATCGCGGCGCCGGCGTCGTACTGGTATCTGCGGAATTTCCCTATTGCTTCTATAAGCAAAGTTGTCGATTACATTGTCTACATGACATACGATCTTCATGGGCAATGGGACTATGCCAACAAATTCGTCAACGAGGACTGCGAGAATGGCAACTGTCTGCGGTCACACACCAACTCCACTGAGACCTACTACGCCATTTCTATGATCACCAAGGCCGGCGTGCCCCTGAACAAGGTCGTGATCGGTATGGCCCGCTATGGCCGAAGCTTCGAGATGGCAAAGGCTGGATGCACAGGTCCGCAGTGCCTATCTACAGGGCCAGAGTCTGGCGCGACGCCAGGGCCTTGCACCAATACATCCGGGTATATATCCAACTATGAAATCAACCAGATCATCAGCTCAGCCAACTCCCCGGATCTTTACGGCAGCAGGAATATAACGCTGCTTAAGGATCATACAGGCGAATCATTTACCAGGGGTGGGTACAACGAGCTCCTGAACGGCGACATCCTCGTGTACGACGACACGCAGTGGGTCTCGTACGTGGCGGACAGGACATATGCAGCGCGGCTTTTTTACTGGGGGCAATACCATACCGGCGGATCGGTGGACTGGGCGATAGACCTCGTCTTTGACTACTCGCAGGGCTCCAAGTCCGATGGCACCGACGACGGCGACGACGGCGTCGTGCCCCCCTGCGACTTCACCAAGAACTACAATAACCTTGACGATGTCGTCGCTGCCGTGGGCTCGATCGCCAAGCAGTGCGCAGAGATCTTCACTGTGAATGCCCTTTCCAAGGAGCTCGCTGCCGCCCTTGCAAACTACACCAGCGTTGACAACGACTACGACAGTCTCTTTGGCTACTACGTCGAGGCCATCAAGGAGGAGGTGCCCAACGCGATAGCCCATTTCATGAACTCTGTCGACGGCCCTGGTAACAAGTACTTTGATTGCACATGGCAAGTCCAAGGAGTAAACCGCACCACACAGACCTGCCCCTTTGACCAGATTGAGCTCGGATCCCAAGGCTACATGCCTTTTCGATCTCAAGAACTCGACCGGCTTCTACGCGGACCTCTCCGCCAACTACGGAATTTCTGCCGACTGGGTCTCCTTCGGCGACAAAGATTTCCCCCCGCCAACGGTGAATGGTCACCAGAGTGGCATATACAGCTACTGGAAGGGCCTCCCCCAGGGCTCTGGCAACGTCAATCCCACCAACCCCAAGGACATCGTCACTGCCGCTCTGCCCAACATGACCATGCTGCAGTCCACCATCGACTCCACGTGGATGAACCAGATACTCGGGCAGTGGCAAGGCTCGGGGACGGACCCAGCGCAGGTGCTCGCCATGCCCATCGCCATGATCCAGCAGGCCATCGACTCCCTTGCGCAGGTCAAGGTAATCAGCAAGGCGCAGTCAAACGCCGACCGCCAGAAGCTGATCCTGGAGATCATCACCGCAGTGCTGATAGTTGTTCCCTTTGTAGGCGGCCTCGGCGCGGATATCGCGGGGCTCGCTGACCTGGCTGGCGCCATTGGACTCATTGGCATGCTGTCTAATGGCGCCGCGGACATCTTTAGCATTGTCAAGGACCCCAAGAGCGCACCCATGGTTATCTTTGCCGATTTGCTCGGTGTTGGGGGCGGTGGCACTATAGGTAAGGGGGAGCAGTTTGGGAAACTGGGAAAGCTGCGTCGTGCTATGACTGTCGATGATGTCTCTAAGCTGGGGAATGTCTTTACACTTCTTAATAATCTTACCTCTAAGATCGATAAGATTATTAAGAAGTGTAGTTAGATCTGTCCCGAAGAGGGAGTTGGAAAAGGAAGGGAGTCAGGAAAGAGGGAGGGTGCAAGTTGTTCATGAACTATATACCTGTAATTCATATATATATAAACTGATCGTTATGATAATTGTGCCGGGCATATTTGGTTAGATTTCGATATTTATGGGCAGCAGAGAGGATAAAGGAGATATATGTAGTGTTTTTGAGAGTATTGGGAAGTTTAAATAAGAGAAAATAAAGGTGCCTCAAGTAGGCTAGCCTTCAATATACCTATGTATCCCAACCTTGCGAACCCCGAAGACTCTTTCTGCTGAGTCGATCAGAGCGTTTCACCACCTTTGTTTGCTTACAAAAACACCCATGCAGCATCGCTCTCTTTCCCATATTAACAAAGCACTAACCCCTCCCCCCCCCTTCCCCCCAACTGGCCTACCAGTCCCTAGAGTACTGCCCGCGGCTTTGCTCCTATTTTTGGGATGATTCGCCATTTGTGAGCCATAAGTTAGAGCTATGTAATCTAAGCCCTAAAAGAGTAGAGGTGCTATAAAGTAACCATAAGAGGCTAAGTTTAATGGTAGAACATAGGGTGATTACATTTTACTAAGGTTACATGATTTATAGATGGAACTACTAAACCTCTAAAACTAAATGAGCGATATTTAAACTTAGTCCTTATAAATTAACGTATTTCATAAGCAAGTCAGCACCATAAGCAAGTTAGCATCTCCATTTTACACCTAAAATAATGAATTTTGTAACTAAATATCTTAACAACTATTTATTAGTAAATTATAAAAATGTATATTTAGCCTTTTATAGGCATTTAAAGCTTCTTATCTAAGTTTTAAAGCAACTAGTAGTATAGTTATTAAGATACTAAGCTTTAGCCCCTACTTTAGACCTAAATCTTTGTTTTACTTGGGGAAGGTGCGCACTGGCCTTGCTCCCCCAAACGAACAGGGCCGCGACAGGGGTGCGAACTCCAGAAATAGATTGAGTTTAGAAACAGACCCACTGCCCATTAAGGCTCTTTTGACTCCATTTTCATTTGACTGCGGCCTAGAAGGTTTGATCCTCCAAGTACATCAGCAGAAGTTGAGGTATCTAGCCAACGTTGTGTATCATGAAACATAGCGCATCATGCACAGAAACAATATTCAAGAGAGCGCTTATATATTGTGGTACCTATTCTGCTGCTACATTCAAGTCCCTCTGTGCTTCACGGAGAACCTCCTTCATCCGAGAATATAGGCCTCTATCTTCCTTTTTCCATCTCCCGCCGTTTGGAAATACCACCTTTCGTAATCGATTCAGCTAAGGCTGAAGTGACTTGTAGTATGGCCTAATGTTCTCCTCCACCATCCTCTTAAAATCTCCTTCATGGACCACTGCCCCTTTCTTGGACTCAGCTAACTCTTCTGTATCTGAAAAGTTCCACTTATCAAACCTATAGACAACTGTCAGTTTCTGAGCCGGCCCATTATAGTGGATGCAAATCCACAAGACTACCTAGAAGAACGATTCTAGATCGTGTATGAAGGAATGATTCTCGCCAAGGAGTACCCTAATAGCTATAAAAGCTTTCGTGCCGGTCTTGCTTCGTGCTCCCGAAGGCTCCTCTTGCTCCGATTTAATTGCGAGATCGATGAGAATGAGGGCCAGGAAGGGTTATCGACATCCTCGTTCATCATAAGGTTTCCAATCGACATGTCGCGCTGGAGCATGCTACCACGGTCGTGTAGAGACTCGTATCCTACGTTGGTCAGCTAATGCACTGTTTACCTCCGCAAATCTCTCCAACGCAGCAATTATGGCGACATAAGAGCTTGCCTTGTATATAGGTGTTCCGTAGTCGCGGACAATGACGCGACGGCGGATTCGGTTATGCGTCGACGGAGTTTGCTCCCTTTTTGTTGGGGAGCTGGAGCAAGTGCGCTTCTTTGGTAGTAGGGGCGCGTTAAGTGAACTAGATGATCTCTTTCGGTTGATAGTATCAGCGGTTGATCGGCCCCTTTGGCTGGAATCCATGCCAGACGGTTTAGGAGGCAACATCGAGCCTTCTACCTTTTTCCGTTGGACGAAGTAGTTAGTTGCTTTTGAAATATCCAAATTCCTCCGTACATTGCCTCTTAGTGCTCTACATATAATCTCACAGCAATCCAGCGCGAGGATGTCTTCCTCCCCTCAAGCAGTATCAGACTCTGCCTACGCGTAATGTAAGGAAAGTGCGCTATTGAACGCTTTATAAACTTTTTGTGCCAACTATATAGAAATTGAATAGTGAACTATCAACGTTTCCAATGGTAGTAGGATAGTCGGCACCGGAAATAAAGGCACGATCAATATCTAATTCTATCTTTGGACCCGAGATATTGCTGTTTAACCTGAGTAGCTACTGAGCTGTGCTTCAACCACGCACACCCTAAGCTTTCACCTTGTAAACACTCAATCTATCTCCATTCCCGCACAACTGGTCGCTATTGCCGCTGCAAGTCATGCTGCACTGGCCAGCATAAACAATTGTAGCGCCTGTAGTAAGAGTATTCCCACACCAACACTCAGTACTCCACTCAGTCCCAAAGTACGTGTAGCCACCACAGAAAGTAGCGCACGTCTCTAGCGTCATGTAATCGCTCCCGAGCATATCCTGCGTCAACGTACGCTGTCCATGACTATCAGTGACGCAGCCTTGAAACTCATAGTTGCCAACGGTCTTAGGTTGCTGGGGACCGGTTAGGGCTGAATTGTAGTAGAGCGACAGACGGCGCGAGCCACCGCATAATTGTGATGCGTCCCCAGCGCAGGGGTAGTCGCACTCTCCTAATGGAGCAAAATCAGATCCCGTTGCTGGATCGTTGCCGCACCAACACTCTTTGCTCCACTCGGTGCCGAAGTATGGGTAGGCGGTGCAGAAGGCCGCACATTTCGCGAGGGTCATGTCGTCCGCGGCAGTGGATTTAGCAGCAAATGCCCGACCAGCAGCTGGCTCAGCCCAGCAGTACAGAAAGTCGTAGTCACCAACCTTTACTGGGCTGGTTGGGGTCGTAGGAACGCTGGTGCTGGTTGGTAGTGCCGCGGTGGTTGTTGGCGGTTCAGCAGTAGTTGTTAGAATCACAGTCGAACTTAGAGGGGCAGCCGTAGAGGTGCTAGGCTTAGCGGTACTAGTAGGGCTTATGCTGTTACGGAAAATCACCATCTCAACGGGCAGAAATTCATTGTTGATCTCTAAGTAAGGTAAACATAAGTGTCAGTAATCACAACACATGTGCCCCTCATTTCTAGTGTCTTGAATTGCTCCCGTGGGGTAAAGAAAGGTTAGAAGCAACTTACTGGTGTTTCCAGGGGGCGAGTATCGGAATTCCAATGTCCCAACCGCGTCCCGTATGCCGATCTGCCCACCAAGCACAGGCGGATCAGTAAGGCGAGAAACCAGTTTCAGCTGGATCTGCAGCTCATCCGTGTCTGGATCGCAAGCATACTCTCCCTTGAAAACCGCTGATGGGTGGTATTCCCGTGCAGTCATGAACATCTTAGTTGTATCATCTTGGTCGTTGTACTAGCAGGGTCAGCTTTAACATTACTCAACTCACCGTCCTAGGGGTAATTATGGAAATCTTACCTCTAGATCGATTACAGCATGAATCGCATTGTAAATGAGACGGCCGTCTTGAAGATACAGCACGTCGTTGGTCGCAACGCCTATAGGGGGCAGCACCAAATGCTCGTCGTCGCCATTAGCCCTGAATCTCATAACCTTGTTGTGCACTGTGGGAATGCTCGGGTTCTGAACAACAATGCTGAACTTGTCAAGGATGGTGTTTCCTGGCGGCGTGGTAGGAATTGTACATGCTATCGTGCTGGTCACGGATCCAAGCAAAGCAAGGAGAAGGCTAGATAATAGGCGAGGCATAATGTTGGTTTTTGATACTAACGAATGTAGGCCGTAAAAATGGCAACAGTGAGCTTACAGGCAAAGGAGTCCTACTCAATGGAAATAGAAATGGAAACAGCTAACTACAATTACTTATAGCTTGTATTTATCCCCTCCCCCTCCGTTCCTGTCGCCTATAGTTCTTTATCTAGTGACGGCTGTCAGCCGCAGCTTAGCGACCCTAGCCAACGAATACGGAGCCGTATGCCCCCAAGATAATAGTCACCGACGCATGGCATATATTGACAGAACGTAGGTGACCTAACCATGGGGTGTAGCCTCGGCTGACCTAGAAATGCTCTACTTATTAAGTAGGGGGGTCAGCCGAGCCCTGCCAAGGCTGTATTAGTCACCTGCGTACTCATATATTGATTGATGCACCTTACGGATTATTATTGAAAATAGATCAGGATGCAAGGTATTGGTAGGGTTTATTCCGTTTGCTTAATGATGCCTATAAACGAGCCCCTAAAAACATACTCTGTACCACATACACGCAGGGGAATTATTCGTTATCGTCCCCTCCGGTCCCTCATCACAAATAAATGGGAAAGCCACATGCGCTAAATCGCTTAGTTCGCCGTGGCTGCAAACTGTCATTTTATCTGATTAAAGTTATTATAAGCTTACTACGGTTGTCACCCACACAACAGAAGCTTCGATCTGCGGCTGCTATACTACTTCTACTTTTTAATTGCCGCAATATCAAATATTCTGCAATCAATATCTCATAAGCTGACATGTGGTGTGACGATACACGGCTCGCGTACATAATGTTCCACTTAGCTAAAAGTTCTGCAGGTTTCCAACGAGTGTGAGACACACATATGTTCTAGGCCAGTCGCGATGTAAGGACACAGGGCACCAGCTCACGATCAATAGCATATGGGAGTGCGAGTCGGATGGGTTGCGGTACAATCCTATAGGTCTACTACGAAGGATACAAAAAAGATGAAGGGGGAACCCTATTGAGTCCCTCATGGTATCCGAAGCAGGTCCGACTCGGCTGACCCGCCCTGACTCCCATCACGTGACCGCGACAGCTCCTAGTCTATGTTGGGGGAAACGGACAATCCCATGAGAATACGGTGGCCTTTTGCACCCAAAATGACCACTTTTCTCCATGGGACTGTCTGGTTCCCCGGTTAGTCAGAGTATTAGTTTGGGCGTTCGGCCCAGTCTCACACCCCCAACTCGAGAAGAAGAAGCAATTCTTCAGGGAGTTTGGGGGTTTCCCCATGCCTACAAATAGCGTACGTAGACCCGTAGTTTAGTGAGCAATTCAATTGATTATATTATTCTATATACTGTATCCTACTGTGAAGCCTCTGTTCTGCTGCCCGTAGAGACTGATTACGGTGACCGGAGACCCTCACACGATTTTGTGTGCAGTTCCCCGTTTACCGCAATTACCTCCAACAGTCTAATCCCTAGAGCGCGAGGGAGGAGGCATCCTTACAATTATAGCAAATATTAAAAAAATAGACAAAGTTGCAGACAGAGGACCTTAAAATGTGAAGGCAGGAGACTAGCCCTTTATACCATTTTCCTAGCTTAGCTATACTCGCCTTCCTCACCCATCTAGCTCACCCTACTCACCTTACTCACCCTACTCACCTTGCTCACCACGCTCACCCACTCACCCAGCTCACCCACTCACCCAGCTAACCTACATGCATCTAATGTCGCGGTGCAACGCGTCGTCAAAAATTGACCCACTTTTAGATGGTTGAGGTGGTCGAGATAGTAACGATCACAAAATAAGGGGCAAGGGCAGCAAGGCTCACCCACTAGGACGGATGGCACTGATTTAACTATTATCCATATGTTTGCTTGAGATCGGTGGATTAGTAGTTGGGTGGGTGACCACCAGCGAATACCCACTGTTGTATGTTTTTGTTTGTATGTTTTTGTTTGCTCTTTTTGCTTCATTGCTATTTTTGGTTAGCGTCGTTCTTTACTTGAGAGCAGAACGAAAGACCAACCCGCCGAACTAGGGAAGGCACGGTTGGTCTTTCAATGTGAGAAGGAACAACAACCGCCAATTGGAAGATAGAATGAGCAACCGGCCCTTCGTTGTATCTGCCTTTTTATACCTTGGGGTCTCGGAGAGGGGCATCGTAAACCCATGGGGAATGGATGCTTCGTATGGTTCAGTGTTGGTGGCAAAGAGTCGATTTTCTTCTTCGAAGGAAGATGCGGTTTAAAAACCAAACTAGGGTAGAAAATAATGAGAGCCAAGGAGACGAAGCGGATGAGAAAGAGTAAATAGGAGATGACTTCCAAAGCTTGGGTATCATCCCAAATATGTTCCTGGATGCCCACTAAGCTTGAGAAACAAAACATTGATAGCCTAAACACAAAGCGATGAGCAAGACACAATACCCATTCTTCGAGGAAGTGTTTCCATAAATTAATCTAAGCATCTTTGCTAAAATCCCGCTCTGTAAACGCCTTTTGCTCATAACACCGAAACCGCTGCCCAATAACATACATTATCCCCCCACCCAGCCATAAGCTTCGCCAGGCCCATCCCATCCCATCCCATCCCATCCCACTCACACAATACTGTACATATCACAATCCCCCCATATCCACCTCCCCCAGCGCCGCATAATCCAAGAACCCAGCCTCCTCAAAGTCAACCCCATTCTCCTGCCCTCCCATCGCTCCCCCGGCACCAGCCTTCTTCATCCTCCTCGGCAGCGCCATCGCACGGTTCCCCGCGACAGCCCAAGCCTGACCCTGCTGCGGAGCCTGCGACTTAGGACTGATCCCCATGTCGGCCCAGCTATACGGCGCTCCCCCCTCATCATCAGAGCCTACCGAAGAAGCCGAGAGACGGCGTTTATGCGTGGTAGTGGAGTAAGCACTCAGCGTTGAGCCCTGCGAGCTCATACCCGGGACGTCATCTTCGTCCAGAACCTCGTCCTCGTCATCCATGTACTCCTCATCTGCTTGTGGAGCCTGAACTGCCAGCCCGCCAACTTTCATTATCCCGCAGAATGGCGCGAGCTCCCTCGCTGCACTGCCTGATACTTGCTTCACGCGGCGCTGCGGCTGTAGCTGCTGCTGAGGCTTCGTGGGAGGTGCCTGGTCGGAGAACAGCGCAAAGGAGCTGTAGGAGCCGGTCTTGTAGCCCTCGGGTACGGATTTGCGGACGCGCATTCCGACACTGAGGAGGTTGGATTGGACGGTCGCTGGGAGGACTGGGGGCGAAGAGGCATTGCGGACGGTGGTCGGGGCGGGAGCGGCGCCAGAGGGGGAGGGGAAGTAGGATGTTATCGAAGCCTGGTGTTGACTGTGTGTGCCGGCGTAGGGCCGCTTGGCTTGGTGGGTTGAGGATGGCATTGTAGCTTGTGAGGGAAACGACTGATGGTGTGAGGGAATGTGTATTTTCGGATTGAGATGAGGATTACTTCATGAGCTCGAGGGGTTTGGAGTGGAGAGGTTGAGGATGACGGTGCGGGGTTGGCGCTGGAGTTCAGGTGAAACCGGATGGGTGAAGGCTGGCTGGTTCGGGGTTATGATTAAATTTGGCTACGATGTGGTTGATAAGGGCGTGGATTGGGAGCACGTGAGGAGCACCGACGAATTTGCTTGCCGGCAGGCCACAGTATTAGCCGCATCATTTACTATATAGTACGGGCAAACATTCAATGCAATATATAGCTGTCATCACAGAGATTTGATAGATTTACTGGTATTGAGTGCACGACTCTGAGGAAAACAGGATTCACCAGGTTCACTGGCATTCAATGCACGACTCCGAAAGCAAGCCCGTATTCACAAACAGTTGCCAGGGTTACTGACATTCAAAGCACGACTGAGTCAAAGCAATATCATTACTCCAGCACAGTTACTCAGAACCGTAAGCTACCAGCACAGTTATTCATTCATAACCGTAAGCTACCAGCTACCCAGAACCATAAGCTACCAGCCTAGGCCCCAAGAATACAGCAGATAGGCGTTGTGCTTTCCATCCCAATCCCAAGTTCCACCCTTACATCGCCCACTGTTGCTGTTGCCCATCTTTGGGGAGGTTTTCACCGGTAGTGTGCTGGTGCGAGTCGGAGAAGTAGCGAGGCGTCAAGTCTACTTGCGGCGGAAAGAGCAGCCCTCGGTGAGCCTGGCCTTTCCTCCAGTGGGCTGGCAGAGAACGGTCGAGCAGCCGGCGCAGATGACAACGGTTTGTGCGTGGGAGAAGACGGTGGTGATCGTGAAGCAGCCGGGGCACTTGACGTCCATGAAGAAGGATCTCGGCGCTGGGACGAGGTTCTGCATCGCAATGTTAGTTGAGGTGTTCCAGTTGCCAGTTTTGTCGGTGGTGTTTCTAGAGTCGTTCATACCTTCAGCTTGTGCTTGCGCGCTTCGGCAGACGCCGAAGGGTTGAGGAGATCAACAGCGAGGACCATTTTGCCTGATCAGTGTTGGTGATTTTGGCGTGTTGGCGGTGATTGATGGCTCGTTGATGTTGCCGGTGATGTGGTATAGTGGAAAGTTTGGAAAATGCTTGTGGGATATTTTGGAGCTAGTGGGTTAAGCGAAGGCCGCTGGAGACTGGCCGGTTGGCGATTGCGGAGAAAAGTTTGGTGGCGACAGATGAGCTAAGCGCGTAGAAACACCAGTTTCGACGATGGCAAGATGGAATAAAAAGAGAAAAGAATGGTAATATTGAAGAGTTATCTATACACAGTACGATATGCCGATGAAGTTACCGTCTTGGAACGATCGTGTTTGGATTCTTCTGTGACTCTACAGCATCTCTGACTCGGAAACCTTCTTTCGGACGCCACCAACTTCTGTGACTCTACAGCCTCGGTGTCCTTTGCCTCTTCGCGTCTATTAACAACGCTTGTGAACGACGTGTGGCGATTTCTAGTCGGTATGGAGTGAATTGGAGGCTCGTAAGGGGTACAGACGCGTAGGTAGAAAAACCGTGATATCCCGTCATTTATCAGGGTTAGACAAACAGGGTAGTGATCAAGACCAAAACATGACATAGATAGTCTAAAAATCAATGAAAACTATTCTGAAACTATAGCAATATCACTTTGTAGCCATGGAAAAATAATTCGTAAATCATATGACAAAATCCATATTTGGGAGGTTCATCCATCCAACTGCTACCCCGCCAGGCTCCTAATGGCCCGCCCACCACCGAATCTCCGTCACAACTGTGTGTGCGACAGGCAACAGAAAACCACCACATACAAACCCCCAAAATGGCGGCCCCCATGGACGAGAGAATCAATGTACCCATAGACGACCCCAACGCAGACACGGAATGGTAAGCTCTCCTTCGCCCTTTCAAAGCTCCTCCTAACACCTCTCTCCAGGAACGATATCCTGCGGAAACATGGCGTCATACCAGAAAAGCCCCCATCCCCAACGCCTATGATCGAAGAGGCTATCCTCGAAGGCCGACGACTTGCACATGAGAATCGTCTTGAGGGAAAGGATCTGGATGAGCTGGATGAGCTTGAGGATGATGAGGATGACGCGTTTTTGGAGAAATACCGGATGCAAAGGGTGATGGAGATGAACGCACTAGCACAGAAGTCCAAGCACGGCACTGTCTACCCGCTATCCAAGCCCGACTACTCGAGAGAGGTGACGGAGGCATCGAAGAGCGAGGTTGTGCTCGTGAACCTCACATCTGGCTTGGGGACAAACGTGGAGAGTAGGGTTTTGACGGAGCTGTGGAGGGATGCGGCGAGGGAGTTTGGGGAGATCAAATTCTGTGAGATGAGAGGGGATCAGTGTATTGAGGGGTATCCGGACAGAAATTGCCCTACGATCCTGATTTACAAGGATGGAGATATGGTTAAGCAGATTGTGACGTTGGTCTTGCTGAATGGAGTAAGGACGAACATGAGCGACATCGATAGCATCCTCCTCGAAGTCGGCGCTGTCAAGAGTAACGATATAAGGATATCGAAACGGAGGAGAGAGGCGGAGGACCAAGATGAAGCTCCGAAACGCTCGGGGTTACGTGGCAGCACTCGCCCGGTGAACCAGGAGGACGATGAGGACTGGGAATGATACCCATGATACCAGTGGGGGATGGGAAACCTGGTCGGTTTTACTAAGTCTATAAGAGCTGGACTACAATGCGGAGTATATACACCCTGTAGTTTACTTGGGATTCATGGAGAACTGGTAGAAAATATATCTGTCAGATCCACAGCTCCAATCCGCGCTCGAAGTATGTCTTAGCCTAAGTGAGACATGGCGTACTGTTCGGCTTTCTCTCCTCCACGATACAATAGTGGAGTGGGGTTAATTCAGAGATGCTGCTATGCTGATCGTGTCTGACGTGCTGGGCATCGCTGAATGAGGGACTGGATGCAGTAGGCGTCGCGGAACAAATGCAGGCTGTACGTTCTAGAGTACAGTGGCGGACAGTACTAATTAGGGGTTGTACATGCTAGAATATAGTGCGTATAGTACTAACTACAGGCTGTGGTGGGCTATTACTGCTTCGGAAGATGGAGGACTAAGAGTAGTATCACACCAGTATTCTGTCCTTTATAGGGTAAAGTACAGGGTATTCTATTCTTTTGCCGTAAATAAAATCATTCGGAATTTAGAACTAAAGCTGATTTCAAACTTTACTATACCATGGCCAGATGAGGCTTCAGCAAATACCCCTCACAACTACAGGTGTAGAATTGATAAAACGCCAGAACTTCAGCCACACGACCAAAACTCGCCAATATTGACGAACATGTCCCAATCAGTCATCAGCCACACGCCGATTTGGGAAACTATTGATTTGGGCGGCTGGAATGTGGTGCAACCTCCCGAGCTGAGCCTCTGAGAGCCTTTTTTTCAACAGACTCTCTTTTAAATGCCGTATATAATCCCACCTTACTGGGCGAACCGTGGGAAGGAGCTTAAACCTCATGCTTTACGGTCTTGATTTCTGCCAAAACCCTCTTCAGAATACTCGTCTTCCTGAGATCCTGCATGCGCGCTGCTACCTTCACGTAGGCTCTATCTGAGAATATTCTTCATCATGTCGAAATCTTATACGCCCCCTAAAGCACCATCGAGTTTGCGGGGGAGACTCTTGAATGCGCTGTTCACCACCTTGTTGGCCGTGATCTGTCTAGTCTGCTATGCTCTACTCATTATTCTGTATGTTCAAGCACATCTTTATCATATCCCATCTCTCGTCAACGACGGCGACACAGGATCGATCAAGCCTACCGTGGCCGTTGGTTTGATTGCTGCTATGTTAGCTGCTGCTACGTCTGCCCTCATCACCCGTTGTGTCGAACACTCATTCTGGCTCAAACTCGTGCCCGGCAATGTTGGTAGCCCACTGACTGTGGGGGAAATCACCCGCCTCGCTCAGTGGAGCGTCTCGCCGTTATCGAAGCTCACATACGCCTTCAATGGTCGATCATGGGCTATCAAAACGAGCGGACTACTTCTCCTTTCTATATCCATCATCACACCCGTTCTTTTGGCCGGAATCTCGCAGACAGATCATGTTAAAATCACTTCCACTTCCGCCTCTCATGCCGTGGACTATTGGGCTCCTTGGATTAACAGAGGAAACTTCCGTTCTCGAGGAGGCAGCGCCGGTGATCTTGTCTTTGGTATGGCCGTGCAAGCCTCGAATGGGAACTTCGCCGCTCCGGTTGCTCCAGTGTGCGATGATGACTCTTGCAGCGTGTCAACGGGATCGTCAGCTCTGTTTGCCACCTGCAACGCCCGTACCATAGACAACACAGAAAACCGAGGATTAACAGTCTGTCCAGAGCAAATCACGACTTCAACTGTTGCCTCGGACCTTTCGACGGATTTCTGTAGCGATATCGTCCCTTCCATGTGTGTCAACCTGACCTGTGGTGCGCCCTCGATCTATGCCAATTTTAAGACGGGTTTAGACTTGGACTGCGAGTCTGGTTCGGCCGGTTCGACTGGCCCCAACGCATGTATCGATTCGCCCGGATCGTGGGCCGTGATCTTCGGAGCGTGGGTAGGCGGTGCAGACTTTGGCATTGGCAACAGCAAATTGATCAACACGGTGAGCTGTCTGATCGAGTACGGCAATATTTCGATCTCCCAAACAGGCAAAAATCCGCCGCGTGTAGAACGAAACTCCTTCAAACGGTCGATATACCCCCTAAGCAACTATAATTCACCAATCTCTAACGTGCGTACGTTTATCTGGAACGAGAACGCTCGAACAACCCCGTACTACTTCACTCTCCGCGTAGTTGGCACAGGTTGGAATGACATGTACCAGCAGCCCTTTGCTGCAGGCTTACTCGGTGACGATGCCTCCAACAACGCGGAACATGTCGCTCGCCAGATTGAGAACAACTTTGACTGGGCGACAATGGGGGCCTTCGCAAGAATGCCCAACGCCAGCGATGTGGCGACTTCAACTCGGACCTCCACAAGGGCCTATGTCTATAATCAGCTTGTGCTGCTGATTCTTCTAGTGCCGTTCCTAGGTTCGTTGCTAGGCACGTGGGGAAGATGGGTCGTTGGCTCAAACGATGAGGTTCTGGGATATGATCCTGCCGCGATAGCTAACCGTGGTCCTGTGGAAGGAATCGCATCAAAGTCGCCTAGTCAGAGCCAGGAGGAGTACAAAAAAGCCCGCGACAAGCTACTATTGATTGGCGTGGAAGAGTCTCTAGTAAATACCTCCACGAGGGACAATGCTGGACGAATTCGTTTCTTAGCTAGACAATAAGTATGTAATGGAGTAGTTTAATATAATAGTGTATCTATGTTCACCAATGTCTTATTCAGCTTGTGGCGTGGGAAAGCCGCAGAACCCCACGCCAGAATAGAAGAGTAAACTTCAAAAAAAAAAAATGAAAGAAATGAAAGAAATGAGGTCTGGAGTCTAGTAGTGCCTTTGCATAATGCATGCACTATGCTCGAAGAGCCATCTTCGCAGTTGACCCTATGATTGAACGTTGCAATCGGCGTTTGGTGCATCGTCACCATCATATGTGTTCCGGCCGAACTACCAACTATACTGGTTGGCCAACTGGGCGGCCGAAACGCCAACTTGGTAGTCATATATACCTTGTTACAAGTACCTTCGAAGGAGTAGATGCGACCGTTTCATTAACAGTGACAAATTTACGTATGAGATGTCGAGCGAAGGGAAGACAAGTATTATTTATTTCCCGCTCTTGCCCAGAATATGGCTATGTCTGAAAGAGGCCCAAGGCTGAAAGACAAGGCTGAACAGCGGGGCAGAAAAAGGGTCCAAAGCACAGACGCGTGTCTCACGCGACGTGACTGAGGGATAACACTTCTCATTTCTCACCCATCCTCACGCCACCCCCCCATCCGCACCTATAATGCTCTGAAAAAATAAGTTTACCTGAGCAAATGGCCGACGAGCCCTCCCTCCCCTCCCTGCCCTCGGGCCTCGCCCCCAGCTTCTACAGCACCAGCGGCCGTCCCGGAAAGCGCGCGCGCCTGAGCTCAGCGCCGATATCGAGCGATCCCCCGCTATTTTCGAGCGATGACGATCCCAGCGCGGAGAATTACTCTGATCCGAAGAGGAGGCAGAAGATGAGGTATAAGGGGCCGTGGTATAAGCAGGAGCCTGATAATTCGGGATCTACTAATCCGGGGGAGAGGAAGGGGAAGAGGACGTTGGAGAGGCAGTTTGATAGTGGGGTTTGGTTGGGGAGCGATAGTACGGATGATGATGATGGTGCGGATTATGATTTTTTGAAGGGGGCGAGGGTTCCGGAGTTTTTGGCGAGGGGGGTGCCGGTGGCGATGAGGCCGTCGCCGTTGAGGAGTCGGGTTATTATTCCTTCGGCGGAATACCCGTCTCAGGAAGAGCAGGCTCGTCAACTCATACAGCAGTGCTTGGAGGAAGGCAATGAGGATGTGGATCTCTCGTATGTTGTCCCCTCACTTAAGGCGCTCTACAGACTGTATACTGACTGAGATACTCTAGTGGAAAGGGCCTAACAAGTCTCTCAAATGGAGCCATCAGATCTCTCGCCTCCTTCTCATCCATCCCAGTCCTGACCCAAGGATCCTACCAAACCCTCCTCCCAAAATTGAGGATATTTTTGGCTAGAAACGAACTAAAGCGTTTGCCTGGGGAAATATTCAACCTTGAGAACTTGAGCGTGTTGAGTGTACGCAGCAACGAGCTGACGGAGCTCCCTACGTCAATCAATAGGTTACGGCGCCTCACTGAGCTGAACGCTTCGAACAATGCCCTTCGCACGCTTCCATTTGAGCTGCTAGACTTGCTGTCCTGCCCGAGCAGGATAAAGATACTTCACCTCCACCCAAACCCGTTCTATGAACCCCCCGCAGCCGACGGCATAACAGAGACCGGGCTGCCCGTAGACGAGGACAGTGACCAGAGGACATGGGGTTCCAAAACCTGCGACAACCCCGAACACGACCACGCCAGAAACTCCGAATGGAGACGAAGATTCAAATGCCGCTCCCAAGTCAAATTCTTCGACCTGCACGGCTCCCCCGTCAAAGCCCCCGAAGTACCAACGGCCCGTCCCGCCTCCAACACGCCCTCGCTACTAGAGCTTTGCGTCAAGACCTGGGCCGACACGCCGAACATGCCGAATCTCAACGAGTATCTGAGCGGAGACTACCCGGAGAAGCTGCAGCATGTGCTGGACGATGCGAGGAGGCTGCGCGAGACAGAGGTGCCGGGGAGGAAATGTACGATTTGTGAGAGGAGGTTTGTGGTGCCGAGGACGGAGTGGATTGAGTGGTGGGAGATTGAACAGTCGCCGGCGGGGAAGGTTACGGCGGAGGAGACGGTGCGACCGAGGGATGTTATAGAGAGGCAGTTGCCGTTTATGAGGAGGGGGTGTAGCTGGAAATGTGTTCCGCCTAAGAGGGTTGAAGGGGGGGAGATGGTGGTGGAGGATTGATACCAGTGTAGTTTGAATCGACGGAATTAATATATAGATCTGTATTTCCGGGCAACTGGATTTTTATTGTAGCTCAAACTGAGCAGCTTTGTTTCACTGATTGTTACTGCAAACACCAGCTTGTCATGTGCACTTCCTCTTGAGACCTTTGGATGACACCAGTACTACGAATTTTATATGTTACCTATTGTCCCTCCAGCCGCCCCGTCGCCGCCTGAAGCAATTATCGTCATCGCAGCGATTCCATCATATATCTGCACACTTATCGCATCGAGCTATCATTCTGACATCTGAGCCATGGGATGATCACAAAAATATTACCGCCAGGCTGACCGAATGATCGTTTACTACCAGCCAATAAGGTCGCGCATCCGGGGTGTGATGAGTGTCCTCTCATTCCTATCCACGATTAGGCTTGCATAAGCACCCAAGATAAGTTGCATATTTATTGGTAGGGGGTGGGGTATGCGATGGGAGGTAGCTGCAAGCTCTTTGGGTAACAACGACCTTGAAAACATTTACAGCCAGCACGACTTCATGGTCCTTCAGGCATGACGATAACCTTTAGACTCGTACCCAACCCCCATCCTCCGCGTACAACATAGGTTACATACCCTCCACCACCCATACCCGGCTACTCGGAGCTGTCAACCACCTGCACGCCTCTCTTGTCCCCCCCTCCCCAAGGCAGAGATGCGGAGCACCCATCTCTTTCCGAGCAATGGTGGTGGCTTTACACCAAGCAGACGCAGGCACGTTCGGGAGTTGCGAACATGCGACGTGTCATTGGTTAAGCGGCGCTGCGTGTGATGGGAATGGCGAGGCGTGCATGAGGTGTGGAGAGGGGATGGGAGGATTTGGGTTATGCCCCTATCATTGGGATTTTTGTCGGGCGGGGCGGGGCGGGCGGGCTTATAGGGGTTTGGTGGTGGGTGGGTTTGGGAGGGATGGGCGACGTGGTGGTTATGACATTTGGGAGGGGAGAGCGACTTTTGCAGGACTGTGGCGGGCAAGTAGTGGTTTGTGTGTGTGTGTGAAGACTGGTGTGTGAGTACTGGATGTTGCAGCGCAGAAGGTTTCTTATGCTGTGCCGTGGCAGATATGGGAGATGGTGAACGGATATACATAGCGCAGGAAATTGGGAAGGGGGAAATAGCAGAGGTTTTGTTATACGTATAAGTATACAAAGCTTCAAGGAAGTCTGTGCGTGAATGGTGATCTACGCCCGTTGAGATTACCATACAGCGGTTCACGCACTGCAGCAATCCTCTGTCTCTAAATTTCTGGTGCATATGAGCAGTAACTAACTGACTCTAGAGGAGTGCCTGCAGGAATATGGGATGAATTAGCCAGGTCGGCCATATGTACTGTAGAAGGAATCGTTGATAGTTGATAATTGTAGAGTATGCGACGATGGGCTACACTAGACGCAAACGGTCGTGTTACGGCCGCCGCCCTTGCCTTGACTACTTTGACCCTTTCCCTTTTGCTGATAGCGTTTCAGAAAGCTGGGGGAAACGCCCATAATGTTAACGACACGAGCCAGCTCAGGGGTTACAAAATTGTACTATGGGTAGAATGGGTAGACTCCCTATCGATAGAAAGAAAAATTATTCCAGAATCAGGAGAGTAGTATTGACTTATTTGCTCATTGTTGACTCGTAATGCGCTTATTAAATCATTTGTACTTTAATTCTATCGCAATATCTAATCATCAGTCGCCCATTCCCTTTCGTTGTTGGTGTTTGTAAAGTGGTTTCTCGTGATCGACCTCCTTGGAAAGGTAATTATAACTTGGCGAGTTACCGGCCACCCTTGGACCATCCATCCATCCATCTGAGTAGTAGCCCGCCCGTCACCCTCACCTTTTTACGAACCTTCCGCCATCTTTCTCCTCCAGCCTCCCAGCCTCCCGACGACGGCCCCGTTTTGTTAGAGACATCAAACTGCCAGTCTGTGGGGGACATTGGAGACATCACTCACCTAATCACTTGCAGATCGCCTACCGACATTGTTACGCCCTCCACGCGTGCGCGCACTCTAATTCGGACCCCGTGTGCCAATTCCCAGCCATCTTCCACCACCAAACCCAACCCTCGACATTTTTTTCGCGATTCCTTGTCCACCACCGCGAATCCCCCCATCGCAAACAATATCACCGAACTCCGACATCGAATCAACTGCATCCTCGAACCTCGAATACTGCATATCCCCTTTTCGGCGCATTGGCATAGTTCACGCAGTTCGTCCGCCCGGGCGCGGCAACAAGTTTAATACGATAAGCGACCACCAACGCTCGCCGAGCGACGACCACGAATAATGGCTTTCCTCTTCAAGAGCAAGAAGAACCAGGAGAAGGCCGCTGCGGCGACGAAGGCGGATGAGAAGGGTTCGGTCGCGGGATCACAGGCGTCGCTACATGGCAATGGGCGAGGATCGAAGGATGAGAAGGATGGGTTGACCCTGAGCCAAACACCGACGCCGACAGGGAGTGTGAATAATTCGATCAATTCGTTCCATGGCAATGCGCCTAGTCCGGACCCCAAGGGACCCGTGAGGAGAGGAACTGGAGGTTTGGAGAAGTCGGATTTGCCAGTGAGTTCTCCCTGGATACAATGTCGCATTGTAGATGCACGTTCCCTGATAGTAGCTGACACGGAACTTAGCTACGAAATGCAACTGCGCCGGCTGTCCAGCCTGTAAATTCAGCTCCGAATACAGCGTTATACCCTTGGACGTATAGGAAATTAACCTTCACGTCGTCGCATCCGAGTCCGTTCCCTAGATATGGCGCGGCAGTTAACTCGGTGTCCTCGAAGGACGGTGACATATATATAATGGGAGGCTTGATCAACAGCTCGACTGTTAAGGGCGACTTATGGTTGGTAGAAGGTGGAGGAGGAAATATGGCCTGCTACCCGCTGGCAACAACGGCAGAAGGACCAGGGCCAAGAGTTGGTCATGCAAGTTTACTTGTGGGGAATGCATTCATTGTCTACGGTGGTGATACCAAGATGGATGACAGCGATGTGTTGGATGAGACCTTATACCTTTTGAACACATGTAGGTTCAACCACTCCTCAACCAAACCTTTTGACTTATGATATACAGCTACACGTCAATGGTCCAGAGCTGTGCCTGCCGGCCCAAGGCCTGCCGGACGATATGGACATTCCTTGAACATTGTCGGATCAAAAATCTACGTATTTGGTGGTCAAGTGGAGGGTTACTTTATGAATGACCTGGTTGCATTCGATCTTAACCTACTTCAGGTACCGACCAACCGCTGGGAGATGTTGATCCAAAATGATGAGATGGCAACTGATGGAAGCATCCCACCTCCGCGTACTAACCACTCCATTGTCACATGGAATGAATGTCTTTACCTGTAAGTTATCAGAACCTCTGCATATAAATTACGAGACTAATAGATGCCAGATTCGGTGGCACCAACGGCTTCCAGTGGTTCAACGATGTTTGGTGCTACGACCCAGTACCAAACGCCTGGACCCAATTAGACTGCATAGGATACATCCCAGCACCTAGAGAAGGCCATGCTGCGACAATAGTAGACGATGTCATGTACGTTTTTGGAGGGCGCACTGAAGAGGGCGCAGATCTTGGAGATCTGGCAGCCTTCAGGATATCAAGTCGTCGTTGGTATACTTTCCAGAATATGGGCCCATCGCCGTCCGCTCGATCCGGCCACAGCATGACGGCGTATGGAAAGCAGATTGTTGTCCTCGGAGGAGAGCCTAGCACGGCATCGCGAGATGCGGCTGACTTGTCTGTGGTTTTCCTGCTCGATACATCTAAGATCCGATACCCCAACGACCAGATGATCCAGCAGACCCCAGCTGGGGAGCAGGTGGCTGGCCGCAGGCCGAGCGACGCAGATAGGAGACTCATGGGTTCGCGCGGCCCTGCGGATGGCCCGCCTGATATGAAGAGACTCAATGGAGCACCGGCACGTACAAGCGTTATGGGACAACAGAATATGTATGGTGGCCGGCCGAATGGGCCTCCAGGAGTCGACGGAATGGATATGGGCAGAGATAGCCCAGGCCCTGGTTCGGCGCCTCTGCAAGGCCTAGGTATAGGCTCAAAGCTACCTCGCGCATCGCTGATGCAGGCACCCGCTGGACCACCTCCTCAAGGAATGGCTCCTAGTAGGCCCAACGGCGCACCGCAACAGGGAAACCCATTCCGTGGCAAGCCGCCGCCTCAAAGTAGAGGCTTTGGCCCTGGTATTGATACTTCGATGAGAAGCCAGTCGCAAGAGAGGAACGGACCGGGGAGTAGGGGGTTGTCTCTATCTCCTCGTGATAGTCCTACCAGCAACGGACAGCGCGGACTACCGATAACTGCACCGATTGTTGTTGCCAAGCAGGAGGTTGTCAGGCAGGAAATCGCCGAGGCCCCACCTACAAATATGCAGCAAGCGTCTGTGGAGCTGCCTCGATCAGGGTCAAAGTCTCGTCGTCCGCAGGGCTCGTTGGGGAGTATCAACGAGGGGACTTTGAAGAGTGTCACCAACCGTACTGGTTCTCCGCCACCTCCTTCGAGGCAAGGAAGCAACGCGACAAAGAACAAATCGGCAAGGAACTCCCAGACCGTCTCATTACTCAACGAGCTTGATAACCTTAGGAACCGCAATGCCTGGATGGCTTCGGAGCTCGAGCTCGCTAGAAAGTCGGGATACACACCAGGTGGTACTCCAAGCTCAATCCTTGACAACCGGATCTCAACGTCATTCTCTGATGCCGAAAGGCCATTGATCGAGGCTCTGATCGCCATGCGGTCTGAACTGTCTTCAGTGCAAGGATCTATCGACCAGCAAGCAATTATTGCAGCTAAGAAGATCGCTGAAGTAGAGAAGCAACGCGATGCTGCTGTCAGTGAAGCAGTGTATGCAAAGGCAAAACTTGCCGCCCACGGAGGTAGCCAAACCAGCACACCGCAACTGGACAATGATTCGAGAGATACAAACTCGATATCTGGTGATCGCTCAACCGATGTCGCACGAAAGCTTGCACAAGCATTAAGCGCGCAGTCGAACTTACAGAAGAATATCGACAGTCTGACTGCGGAAGTGGAAGCAGAGGCCAGTGGCCGCAAACTTGCAGAGGAGACTGCGAATATTGCCCAAGCTCGCATCGCAGAGCTGGAGAGCTACAAGCAGAAGAATTCCTCGGAGGTTGAGAGCTTGAAGGCTGAACTGCACCACGTCCATATGGAGGCCAGGGAACAGTCTATCCTGTGTGCTGAGGCCGTCGCTAAGGCGAACCTCCTCCAGGTCGATAGAGAGACCTTGGAGGGACAGCATAACGAGCTACTTGGGACATCAAAGGACCACAGTGAAACTTTCGGGTCTCTGAGGGCAGCTATCGCCGCTGCGCACGACATGAAGGAGCACCTCGAACGCAAGGTAGAGGAAGAGCGCAGCCAGCGCGAAGCTCTTGAGGACAAGCTACGCAACCTTCGCTCCGAGCACGAGGAGCGAACTTCCGAGCTCGAAACTGCAAGCCAGCGTCTGCGCGATGCCGAGGAAATTGCCGACAAGCATGCAACGGAAGCACAAAGCCTTCGCCTAGCTGTTATGTCTGGTCTCGACAAGGTGTCAACGAGGGATATGTCGATGAGCCCAACTTCTGGAGGCGAGAAGGTCGCTACTCTCCAGGCCCAGGCTGAAGCGGCTAACGTCTTGGTGCGTAAGTACCAGACTGCTGCGGACAATGCGTCGGAGAAACTCCGAAGTGCAGAGGAGCGCATTGCTGGTCTTGAGGCGTACCAAGAGCAGGTCAGCCGTGAAGGCATGAGTATCCGCAAGCAGCTCCAGTCTACCATGAAGGAAGTCCAGACTCTGCAGGCTGCCAACTCGGAGATGAGGCACCAGATTGCGAACCAGCAGCTCGAGACCAACGCTGTGCATGTCCAACATAACACCCTGAAGGACCTGCTCCAAGAGCGTGGTATCAGCCCGATAACTGCAGCAAGAGCTCGTGGCTTGAATAGCCCGCAGATGCGTTCAGACTCACCAGAGCAAAGCCGTCTGCGTGAACTTGAGCAGCAGCTTCTGACGTCGCAGCAATCCCATGAAGAGACAAAGCAACTCCATGCTTCGCAGTCACAGGAGGTTGAGAGCACATACCGCGAGAAGCTCGCTCAGCTCGAGAACGACTACCAGTCCGCCGTCCACTACGTGAAGGGCACCGAGAAGATGCTCAAGCGCATGAAGGACGAGCTCTCCAAACTGAAGGGCGAGAATGGCCGCCTTAAGGCCGAAGTGGAGGGAGCGAGATCCAAGGCCGCCGACTCCGCCGAGCCAACCGAGTGGGAACAAGAAAAAGAGGCTCTCCGCCAACAAATCTCGAACCTCCAAGCCGAGATCCAAACCTCGCGCTCCGAAATGGAAAACCAGCTCTCCGACGTCCGCAAGGAACTCGAGTCCACCAAAGCAGACCGCTTACGCCTCACCGAGGCCCACGACGAGGCGAAACGCCAAATCACCACCTCGTCCGAGCAAGCGCGTCTCGACCTCGACCAGCTGCAGCAGGAGAACGCGAATCTCGAGAGGCGCGCCCTAGACGCCGAGCAGAAGGTCTCTCTGCTGCTTGACCAGGTCGAGTCCTCCGTCGACAACTACCGTCGACAGTCCCACCTCAGCGATGCTGTCGCCGGCAGCGCCAAAGCGGGAGGCGGACACACCCGCAACCTCAGCGACATCGACAGCGTCTCCGGCGAGTCACTATACAGCGACACGACGGAGCGCGCCAACGACCGCAACTCCATGGCCCTCGACAGCCTGGCATCCGAGCTCGAGACCCTGCGCACGCACTGGGAGACGACGAGTAAGAACTACCGCCAGTCCACGAACTTTGACCTCGAGAGGCCCGATGGCGACGACGACGGACAGAGCGGCGGCCAGGAACAGCATGGCCTGAGCAATAGTCTGGCGGATTGGAGGAAGAGGCTCGATTCGGCGGAGGCGGAGACGAGGGTTAGGAAGGGGAGCGCGGATGAGTTGTCCCCGACGACGGCGGGGGGGGTGAAGGGGAATGTGTTTTGAGCGGCGAAAGGGGGGGATGACTGATATGATGTTTACGTTTACCACGCACGCATACCTCTTGCCATGAAAATCGAGCTGCTGCTGCGCGCACTACTGCCTTGTTTGTATATTGAAGATATTTGAACCCCGCTCTCCCGTGTTTGAGGGAGGGGAGGGGGAATGATGGGGGGTAGGGATAAAATGGGAGAGACGACTGTTCGAGTTTTTGTTCGAGATTTTCCGATTATATCCGGCGTCATGATCTGTTTCTGTCTTGCTTTTTCCTTTTTTTTGTTATTTGCTATTTGTTGTTATCCTTTCGTATCTCTTTTTTCTGTTCGATATGCTTTGATCTAACGCCAACAACTGCACATTACCCCCCCGTCTCGCACCCCCATCAAGGGGCGAACGAACACAGCGTAACGGAGCTTGTTTTGAGGTTTATTTGATCGATCGGGTTTCTATATTCTGTTTTGTGGAGGTCGGAGAGAAGGGGGATATGTCCTTTGCTATATAGCTATGGCTGATTGAAACTGGGACTTGAATTCAAAGAAGAGAGAGGGGGAGGAGGAGGAAGGAGAAGGGGGAGAGGGAAGAGGGAGAGGAGGGATGAAATGTACCATACAAACCACAACAGCACACATCAAGGGATGCATGCATGCGAAGAAAGACCCAATGAATGGATTTGGACAGACGCGTATGACCACTTGCCGCGAGGTAGAGATTTTTTATTGGGAGGGGAGTGAATTGAATTGGGTGGTTTAATAGCTGAGATGTGTTTTCGGTTTCCGTGGATTATCTTGGTGTGGATTTTTTTTGTGCTCCCTTCATTCCCCCTCTTGATTCTACCCCGAGCTTCCCTGCCAACCTGACCAGATGACTTGGATGATATGGGGTTTTATAAATATCCGCAGCTGTACGGCGGCGGTAAAATACTTTTTTAACACTTCTAACCCGTAGCCCAGCCGGCCCAGCCAGGCCAAGGTCCCTTTTTCCTTCCTGCCTCCCTTCCCTATCCACAACCTAGCTTCTCTCGCATCTGTCATGAGCGCCAACCCACCGCCGAGACGGGCCTTATTTCCTTGCCTCCCTTCCCTCCTTCCTTTTCTTTCTGTAAGTTAAGCGCCGAGCTGTCCGTCGTACTCCACTACACTGCACTACTATATAGATGGCCTATTCACATACCCCGCTCTCATCATGATCCCTACTACTCCCTCCCCTCACCAAGCACCTGCCAAACCACCTCGCAACCACCTTAGCGCAAGCCGCGGAGTGTCGATAACGCCGCAGCCAACGGATCTGCTTATGCTTGTGCTTGTTCTTGGTTGTGCTTGAACTGTGCTGCCCTGGTGGGGTGCGCCCGGGGGGGGGGTTATCAATACTCGCTCTGGTCTAAGCTGCAGTGAGTGCTATATGTGTATCATCGATGCTACTCTGGTCTAATTCGGAATGCTGTATGCACCCTACTCTACTCCACTGTACTCTACTCTACTCAGCAGGAGAGGGGGTCACGGGATACGCAATGAAGCAGGAGCTGTATAGATAAGCTAACCCAAAACCCCAACACAACCCAACCCCTCACGACCGACGGCGGCGCATCTGAGACGCGATCGCCCCCCGTCCCCGGGATGTCTCAGGTCTGGTCTGTTCCAGCGTCATTGAGCGCCGGAGCGGTGTCCGTTGCCCTTGGCCCCAAGTCGGCCCCAACTATCCTTTCCCATCCTACCTATCCTATCCCATTCTACACTCTACCATCCTATCGCACTATACGCAGCAGCGCGACCTATTTAAAGCCATTGCGGCGAGACGCCCGCAGAGGAGCCGGGTGGGATGCCTTGGGTTGGGGCCCAGCGAGTGCGCGCGGCTGCGGGTCTGCATGTGGTTATGTGGTTTGTGGTTGTGGTTATATGTGGTACTACGGTATGGGCGCGTGCGTGCGGTGCGGTGGGAGGGGGTTGCGTTCAGTGGACGGTAGGTGAGTGGTGGTTTTAGATCGTAGCGAGCGGGCCGCCGGAGTGGGGTCTTCGGCCTTTGTCTCTCCTGTGTCCTTGTCTCTGTGTTGGGTTGGGGCTGGGTGCGGAGGAGGGTGATGTTTCGGGGTTTGGAATTCGAGGTACAGCGACGATAGGGGAATGGGGGATGACTGATGACTGTACGTTACGTACGTATAGACGGATCGGATTTTCGGTATTTGTAGAATCACGAGGGGTTTATACGTATGTGTATAAGCTTTTTTTTTTCTGTAAAAAAAGTCCTACCCACGGCACCGCCGCCGCCGCGTACATCATATACGGCATCTCCGTTCGCCACCACCGCACCGCCACGCATCACCGACGGAGGCGCGGACAGGACGAGGACGCATACTTGAGACCACCCCTCGGTAGACCCAGACCCAGCTGGCTAACCACCCAGCCAGACAGACAGGCCCAGCTGGGCTCAGACGCACCGCACCCACCGGGGGAGTTGGGTGCGGCGGTGCGGTGCGGTGGCGGGGCCCAATGGGAGGGGTTGGGTTTGGTATGGTATGGTATGTGTACGGTACTTGGGGAGGGGGAGGCGCGGATGATGGGGGGGAGATGGGGGTTTGTGAGGGATGGGTTTGATGGGCGGGTATGGGTGGGTTTTTATTCCCTCATGTGAGCTCCCTCATGTGAGGAGGTGAGGAAGTAGTGGTGGTGGTGGTGGTTTGGTAGGTTCGTGGGTTAGGGAGGGAGGAGGGAGGGAGATGTGTAAGCCACCCGCCGTCGGGTGTGTGTAGAGAGAGCCCTTTGGTTTACACGATGGGCGTGATTGATGATGGGATGGGTTGCTTATGTGTGTATGTATGGACGCGGACGCGGCGGCGTCTAAAACAGTACACTGCTACTACTGTCACGGCAAAATGGGGACATATGGGAAAGTATATATTGAAGTATATATCGAAAGTATATATCGTATGTACCTACTAACCTGCAAGGTGATGTAGTATGTCTGCCATGCAGTACAGCAGTATAATGACCAGATGCAAGGTATGAAGATATCCGTGATGTTGATGGAAGTAGAAGTAGGCTGAGGCTATACATACCCTGACATCATACCGTATGGCATGGCATACATACCCAGCCTACCTAGGTTGAGGCTATACATACCCCCTCCTAACCCACGCCCTCCCAACCATCGCAGCCGTAGCCGTAGTCGTGGGAGCCACGCTTTGTACTCCGGCAAGGCTAGCTCCAAGGCTTTAAGGCTCCCCCTTCATCCTTCAATCTCAGGGTAAATATGTAACCTCAAAGCCATGAACGGGATGGGATGACAGTGACAGATGAAAGGGGATAGGGGAGAGGCTGTTAAGGGACTATGGTCATGACCGTGACCGTATAGGACAGGAGTAGGGGAAGGGGAATGGCCGCACCCGTACGTACGTAGCTTGCCGCTGTAACATACATCATCATCGTGGTGGCCCTGTGTGGTGGGTGGTGTTGTATGGATGGGATGGTATTGCTCTCGCCCTTTCAACCACACACTAGACGACACGAGCGAGTGCTGAGGGAGGTGTGCGGAGGGATGTAACTGTACTTAGAGAACTGGGTGTAGTGGTACATGCGATGGCATATACTACTAGCCATGGTAGGTGCTATAGTAATAGTACTACTGGGTGGGTGTATGTATAGTTTGCCGCATAATCCTGAAAAAACCTCCTCTTACTTTACTGTATTGTATTGTATGTACGTATGTATCGTATATTGTATGTACTTTCTGAATAAAGGACATCTCTAGATTCACTACTGTAATTAGTAGCATTACAGTCTCTTTGTTATTACTTACCGCTCATACAATCCTCTATACGCATAGTACTGCTATACACATGGTACTGCACACTGCACACACAATACTGTAATACACAAAGAATCATTCCGCCAACGGAGCATTTCAAACTCTCCGAACAAATACAATCAGACACACAAAGATAACTCTCACATCTCACATTCACAATTCACAGCCTGTTGTTCGTTCGTTACAGGTTACATCCATCCATCCATACAGCCCCGGGTTTGTAACTGTACTATAGACATAGACAGTACTATACATTCACCGTTCCCTCTCTCCTCTCTCCTCTCCTCGCTTCTGATCCACTCTCCACTATTCTCCTGCCGCCTGAGCACCGCCTGAACACCGCCTGAGCCTCTAAAACAGCCTCCTTCTTGCCTCTTGCCTGCCTCCTCTCCTCCCTTCTTGCCTCTGCCCACCTAAAAACTAAAAAAAGTCACTCCGCCGCTTACTTACCCTTTCACCACTAAACTCATAAACCCACCCACTACAGCCACCCACTAAACCCACCACCCACCTCTTTCACACTTACAGAAACTACCACCACCACCACCCAGATCCCAATACCCACAGGCCCGCTTCCTTTCTTCTCTTCCCATCCCTCATCCACGCTACTACCCTCACCCACCACCACACTACACTACACTACAACCACACTACTCTAGTTCCATCCAACTCTCCTCCTCTGCTTACCATCGACTACTACTCTTGACATCGTCAACCTCACCGCTTCCTCTCCCCAAAACGAGGCTCTAGAGGTCCTCACTCTCCCACAACATCATCATCAACAACATCACCCCTTCGTCTAACTCCAAAACTTCTTCCTCCCGATACAATACTTCCCTTCCTTCCCATCACACCTTCCGTCAAAAACACACACACCACAACCATCTTCCATCAACCCAGAACCCCCCGCCGCGAGCTCATGCGCGTTGAGTCAACCACGACTTCACCCACCTCAACAGCATATCGAGACTCGTATTGGATCTAGAGATCCGGTACAACAGAGTCCATAGTTATTCAAAATGGCTACTATGGTGAATCCACCCGCTTCCAAGTCGAAATCCAACCCTCTGGTTTATACTCCCTTTCCTCACCCTCCAAACGGGCAATAATCCTTCCCGATACGTGGGGCCTGGCTCGGAGCTGCACAGCCGGTGGTGGTGTCTTTGCTCTCTGCCTCTCAGGAAGGCACACGGCAAAACCCTCACCGTGACTCTGACCCAGTCGTGCTTCTCTTCTGCTCGCTGCAACACGTGTTATATCTCCTCATACTGGTGGACTGATGGCTAACCTGTGGTGTGTGTGCAATAGGATCTCCGTGTAGGTAATAAGTACCGCATCGGCCGTAAGATCGGAAGCGGCAGCTTCGGTGACATCTATCTCGGCACCAACATCATCTCCGGCGAGGAGATCGCCATCAAGCTCGAGAGCGTCAAGGCCAAGCACCCCCAGCTCGAATATGAGGCTCGTGTCTACAAGTCCCTGGCCGGCGGTGTCGGAATCCCCTTCGTGCGCTGGTTCGGGACAGAGTGTGACTACAATGCCATGGTTCTGGATCTCCTCGGTCCCAGTCTGGAGGACCTGTTCAACTTCTGCAACCGCAAGTTCTCGCTGAAGACCGTCCTGCTCCTCGCGGATCAGCTCATCTCGCGTATCGAGTATATCCACGCCAAGTCCTTCATCCATCGTGATATCAAGCCCGACAACTTTCTCATGGGCATTGGAAAGCGTGGCAACCAGGTCAACGTTATCGATTTCGGTCTGGCCAAGAAGTACCGTGACCCCAAGACCCATTTCCACATCCCATACAGAGAGAACAAGAACTTGACTGGTACTGCCCGTTATGCTTCGATCAACACCCATCTTGGTGTCGGTATGTATATATCCAAACCCTTTTACTGTCCAATTCTAACCCCCTCCAAGAGCAGTCTCGCCGTGACGACATGGAGTCCCTCGGATACGTTATGCTTTACTTCTGCCGTGGATCCCTCCCATGGCAGGGACTCAAGGCTGCCACCAAGAAGCAGAAGTACGACCGTATTATGGAGAAGAAGATGACCACCCCGACTGAGGTTCTCTGCCGTGGATTCCCCAACGAGTTCGCCATCTACCTCAACTACACCAGGTCCCTTCGCTTCGACGACAAGCCCGATTACTCCTACCTCCGAAAGATCTTCCGTGACCTCTTCGTCCGTGAGGGTTTCCAGTACGATTACGTCTTCGACTGGACTGTGTACAAGTACCAGAAGAATGCTCAGGCCATTGCCCAGGCGGCTGGTAACACCCCAGGTGCGGAGGAAGATGAGAAGCAGCACCGTACTCGCACTAATGCCGCAACTGCAGGCCAGCCGACGCCTCAGCAGGCATCTACCGCTTCCAAGCCCGGGGCTATCTCTACCACCCGCCGCAAGGTCATGGAGCGTGGCGCCAGCGGAGCCGATACCCCCGAGACGAACCGAGCCGTTGGTGGGAGTGATAGGATGTGAGTGACTTTGCCGAATCCGGTTCCTTGTAAGGAATCTTTTTCCTTTCCTTCGCGTTTGGTGCTTTATTGTCGCTAGCCGCGAGAGGAATACTATGCTGACTGGATGGCTGACGCTACAGTCTCCGCAAATAGGCTTCGCTCCGCCTCCAAGGGTGTTGTGACTAGCACTGGTCTAGGCGCACCTGCCACTTACCGAGTAAAGAGAGATGAACCGTCTACGCAGCAATGGTACTGAAAGTTTTCGTTGGACGACACTCTATACGACTCAAATTCGAGATATTTTGTCTTGGCCCAGAGTCACTCTCGTGGCTAGCATTCGCTTGTCACGGTGTGGCCTGTGTAACAGCTCGATTACACGCACACGCTACTCATATCTTATGAATTGTCTTGTTTCGCAATCGGCTCAGGCTCGACTTTATCGATTATTACATGTCTCGTCAGTTTTGGACTTCATGGCTATTGGCTCGCTCGTTACCTGCACTTGGCAGGGCAATTAACAACGACGAACTGGGCCCCATGAGTTTCAAGCTTTCGAACGGCACTTCGATGGCGTCTGCAACTTTGAAGATCAGCTCGCAATGACACAATCATTGTTACTGTTGACTCCTACTCTGGAGCAACATCGACTTCATTATTACTGAATGGCCATCGATATAACGATACGTAAACAAGAAATCAGGAGAAGCTCGGATCTAGACCTGGCACACGCACACGACCATAACAATTGTCAATCCCCGGCCACGGATGCGCAGCCAGCTACCGACCAGCTTTCCACCAGAAACAGTTTTCGTTTTTATTCTTTCATGTTTTTTATTTCTTTTGCGCGAATAGTTATTTCCCAGCGTGGCGCTCCCCCGCCCCTTGACTTTAATACGACGGAAGCGGAAAGCAGAACTTCGTCCAGGAAAGGGGTGCATTCAACAGGGAGCAACACTGTCATTCACGCCACCCTACGTCTTGTCTCATTCCAAACCCCCACCACTCACTTGAACATATGGATATGTGGAGCTTGTCAATATCAAGAGGGGAAAGCGCGGATATTTACTGGAATGGCAGCCGGCTTGTGGGGAGGTCTCTTTATTTGTTTTGCTTTTTTATTTGGTCATGCACAACGTTTCCTTAGCTAGCCATTCATTTTATGTTTTCGATCAGGGAGGAGAGGCAGGTGCAAGGGAGAGGGTAGCGCGGGGGGCGCCAGGGGGGGGGGAGTAGGATAGAGGCGGGTTGGCGTGTAGAGTCGATTGATAATGGCCCTTCTTGTCTCGACTGGCTTTCTTCTTTTTCCCTTCGCGACTTTTTGCAACTATCAATCAATCAATGCTCTGTCAGGGAATATTTTTTTTGCACACACGCTACTCTACTTCCATTATGCTTTTCCGAGAGGATGAAGGGGAAGGGAGGGGTTATTTGTTGGACCTGGGGCTGGAGAGCGGGTCGCGCAAGCGTGGTTGCCTTCCTTCCTTTTTTTAAGGGGGGGAGGGTGGCGGCGCTGTGTGTTTGTCTACTGCTTGACGGTTCTGGGTGTGGCTGAATTGAAAAATTGCTTTTATACTTTTTATTGTTTTTATTGTTGACTTGTGTGTGGTTTTGATGCATGTGATATTGATGTGGCGTGATGTGATGTGTGACGCATACCATTTGTGACATGTTCCCTTCATTCTGATGTGTGATTAATCGGGGTATCATTGTCACCTCAGGGTAATAGTAGGGTGTAGGGGAAAGATAGACAAGGGGATATTTTAATGGTAAATTATTAGCTAAAGTACTTGGTTTTTAAAATAATTATAAGGTGTATATATATTTTGTAATAGGGGTATTTTCTAGACCGATGGTTTTTATAGATTATTAGAATTGTGGGATCAAAAAAGCTGATTTACGTACCTCTACAAACAAGCATTGATATACCAAAACAAGATATAAGTAGCGTAGTAGCTAGAAAAGAAGGTAAACCAGACCATGATGAATTTCAGATGAATGAGAAAAATATAATTATATCAAAAAGGCAAAAAAAAGAATAATTCCGGTACCGGGAATCGAACCCGGGGCTACCCGGCTCCAAATTTGAAAGCGGGTTATGTTAACCCCTACACTATACCGGAGGGATAATCTTAAAGAGACGAGCCTATTTGTAGTACACATTCATCATACAAAACCAGAGCTCCAAATGCCAAGAGTTCCTCGCCTAATTATGGGTGGCCCACTGGATACTGGCGACGTCGCGACATTCCAGGGCGGCCCATACCGCCAGACCATTTCCGCAAGTTTACGGCGCCTCACACACCCCTCTAAACTTGCCAATTCGTGACGCTGGGGAGCATACCTCATCATCATGAGTTACAGCAAGAAAGACGAAGATGGAGACCAGGCCCTCATGAAGGTGGACCGCACCTCCGTCTTCCAAGAAGGTGAGGAAGACAGCTTGAGCTTAGCCCCCCCCTCGAACACACCCCCCCGAGAGCTCTTCCCCTTTAGCTAACCAACTGTCCGCCGCACGCAGCACGATTATTCAATTCCTCTCCCATCCAACCGCGAAGATGTCGAATCCTCCTGACCAAGATCGCCCTCCTCCTCTACACGGGGGAGAAGTTCCCCACCAACGAAGCTACGACGCTCTTCTTCGGCATCTCAAAGCTCTTCCAGAACAAAGATGCCAGTCTCCGCCAGATGGTGCTCCTCGTCATCAAGGAGCTCGCCAACTCCGCCGAGGACATCATCATGGTCACCAGCACAGTCATGAAGGACACCGGCGGCGGCACAGACGCCATCTACCGCCCTAACGCCATCAGAGCTCTCTGCCGCATCATCGACTCCACAACAGTCCAGAGCATCGAGCGAGTCATGAAGACCGCAATCGTCGATAAGAACCCCTCCGTCTCAGCCGCCGCACTCGTCTCCTCATACCACCTCCTCCCCATCGCCCGCGACGTCGTGCGGCGCTGGCAATCCGAGACTCAGGAGGCAGCAGCGACGACCAAGTCGTCCGGCGGATTCTCGCTGGGCTTCAGCTCCTCCGCTTCCGCGATGCCGGTTAATAACTCGACCATGACGCAGTACCATGCTATTGGCCTCCTGTACCAGATGCGCGTTCACGACCGCATGGCGCTGGTGAAGATGGTGCAGCAGTTTGGCGTAGCGGGCGCGGTCAAGAACCAGGCTGCGATCGTGATGCTGGTTCGTCTTGCTGCGCAGCTTGCGGAGGAGGACCCGGCGCTGAGGAAGCCGATGATGGTGCTGCTTGATGGGTGGCTGAGGCATAAGAGCGAGATGGTGAATTTCGAGGCTGCGAAGGCCATCTGCGATATGCGTGATGTTACGGATGCGGAGTGCATCCAGGCGATTCATGTGTTACAGCTTTTCCTCACCTCGCCAAGGGCCGTCACGAAATTTGCGGCTATTCGCATTCTGCATAACTTTGCGACGTTCAAGCCGCAGGCGGTTAACCCGTGTAACCCGGATATCGAGCTGCTTATCTCGAATAGCAATAGGTCGATTGCGACGTTTGCTATTACGACGCTGCTGAAGACGGGGAATGAGGCGAGTGTGGATAGGTTGATGAAGCAGATCTCGGGGTTCATGTCGGAGATTACGGATGAGTTCAAGATTACCATTGTGGAGGCGATTCGCACGCTCTGCTTGAAGTTCCCGAATAAGCAGGCGGGTATGCTTGCTTTCCTCAGTGGCATCCTCCGCGATGAGGGCGGATATGAGTTCAAGCGTGCGGTGGTGGAGAGTATGTTCGACCTCATCAAGTTCGTCCCTGAGTCGAAGGAGGATGCTCTTGCGCACCTCTGCGAGTTCATCGAGGACTGCGAGTTCACGAAGCTAGCTGTCCGTATCCTGCACTTACTCGGATTGGAGGGTCCCAAGACTTCCCAGCCGACAAAGTACATCCGCTACATCTACAACCGCGTCGTCCTTGAGAACGCCGTGGTGCGCGCTGCTGCCGTTACGGCCCTAGCCAAGTTCGGCGTCGGACAGAAGGACCCAGAAGTCAAGCGCAGTGTCACAGTTCTACTTACCCGCTGCCTAGACGACGTCGACGACGAGGTCCGCGATCGCGCTGCGCTCAACCTGCGTCTTATGACCGAGCCGGACGAGATGGCGGACCGCTTCATCAAGAACGAGAATATGTTCTCGTTACCGTACTTTGAGCACCAGCTTGTGATGTACGTGACAGCGGAGGATAAGTCGGTATTCGATAACCCCTTCGACGTCTCCACCATCCCCGTCGTCACCAAGGAGCAGGCCGATGCGGAAGATCGCACTAAGAAACTCACCACCGCGACGCCGACGCTCAAGGCGCCCAAGGCCGGACCGACGAAGACCGCGCCGTCTGGTGCGGAGGCTCTGGCGTCGGCGACGGAGGCGGCGCAGAAGTACTCGCAACAGCTTCTTGCTATCCCGGAGATGAAGAGCTACGGCCCGCTGCTCAAGTCGTCGCCTGTTGTTGAGCTGACGGAGTCGGAGACGGAATACGTTGTTGGAGTCATCAAGCACATCTTCAAGGAGCACATCGTCTTACAATACGAGATCAAGAATACGCTCCCCGACACGGTTTTGGAAGAGGTATCTGTCCTGGCTACGCCCTCGGATGAGGACGAGCTGGAGGAGGACTTCATTATCCCCGCGCCAAAGCTGGTTACGGACGAGCCTGGCACGGTCTACGTGTCGTTCAGGAAGGTGGCGGGGGAGAGTGCGTTCGTGGCTAGCAGCTTTACGAATATTCTCAAGTTCACGTCCAAGGAGATTGATCCCACGAACGGCGAGCCGGAGGAGACGGGTTACGATGATGAGTACCAGGTTGAGGATCTGGAGCTGACGGGCACGGATTATGTGACGCCGGCGTTTGCGGGGAACTTTAATCATATCTGGGAGCAGGTGGGCGCGGCGGGGGAGGAGGAGGAGGAGACGCTGCAGTTTAGTGGGGTTAAGAGTATTGCTGGTATGTTTATCTCCCCTTCCACCAAAACCCCTTACACCTATCTATCTATGAGAGAGAAAGAGAAACTAACAAAACAACAGACGCAACCGAACAACTCACACGCACCCTCTCCCTCCAACCCCTCGACGGCACAGACGTCCCCGTCAACACCACCACGCACACCCTCAAGCTGTTCGGCAAGACCGTCACGGGCGGACGCGTCGTGGCGAATATCAGGATGGCGTACTCGACTAAGTCGGGCGTGACTTCGAAGCTGACGGTGCGCGCCGAGGAGGAGGGCGTCGCGGCGCTGGTTATTGGGAGTGTGGCTTAAACCCGGCGTGGGGGTGGAAAAGAAGGGGGGTCTAGATTTTTTTGGGCTCTCTCGTAATGGGAGGTGAGCCTGGAGAGGTGGGGTGGAATGGGATTGAATCGGATGGAGGGATGGATGGATGGAGTAGATAGCGAATTTGATGTTTTTATGTCTTATATGGAATGGGGATGACTATAGGGGTACGATGTGAGAATGGATAGGGTCTGAGCGCCGGGGGGTGGCAGATTGGATTGATGGGTGACGGGTGGCCGCATGCGGCTGGTCTAGGGGGTCACAAAAGGTTATATTGGCTTTGTTAGATGTTGACCAAAGAAATTAAACGTGCATGGTGAGGAATTTCCGCATGTAGCAATGACACGGGGTTTGAAGTTGTGAAACTACAGGCGTGCTGAGTGTTTATGCCTTTATCGTTCGTATATGTACAATGGGCATATATGTAAATTCTAATATACAAAAAGGGGAACTTGATCTAAAAGTATTGTTTCTATTTACTTTGTTGGCAAAAAGGTAAAGCTTCCAAGAAAATGATATCGATCGAGTCTTGGACCTGGAGAGTGGGTCAAGAGCCACCAAGGACCCTGTACAGTGACGTACCTGTCTCCAAGAAATTAAACAAAAACCTCTCGAGGTCGTCAACAGAACGCGCTTTCTCCCCTCCCCCCCTAACCAACGTCCCCTCAACATCCACATCGCCCTCCCCTATCGTACCACGGCTTAAACCCCGTCCCATACCTGCAAGATGGTGTACGTGCGCCAGGAAAAGCTTCCCGGCCTCAAGAAATACAAGTACAACGGCGTAGACCACTCGCTCCTCTCGCGCTACGTCCTCAAGCCCTTCTACACCAACTTCGTCATCAAGTGCTTCCCGCTATGGATGGCGCCAAACCTGATCACGCTGACGGGGTTTTCGTTCGTGGTGGTTAATGTCCTGACGCTGCTGTGGTACACGCCGAGTCTCGACCAGGACTGTCCGAGCTGGGTGTATTATTCGTGGGCGGTTGGGTTGTTCCTATACCAGACGTTCGATGCGGTTGATGGGACGCAGGCACGGCGCACGAGGCAGAGCGGGCCGTTGGGGGAGCTGTTCGATCATGGTGTCGACGCGGTGAATACCAGTCTTGAAGTTCTCGTTTTCGCCGCGAGCCAGAATCTCGGGATGGGATGGAAGACTGTCATGGTTCTCTTTGGATGTAAGCCTTCTCCCCCCCCACCCCCCTTATCTCTACAATTTATCTAACCTCCCACCCCAGCTCTCCTAACCTTCTACGTCCAAACCTGGGACGAGTACCACACCAAGACCCTAACACTCGGCCTCGTCTCCGGCCCCGTCGAAGGCCTCGTCATGCTCTGCCTCGTCTACGCATTCACCGGCTACGTTGGCGGCGGCAGCTTCTGGCAACAATCCACGTTTGCCGCGCTGCACGTCCCCAAGTACGCTTTCATCCCGGATATCATCTATAACATGCACTGGGACGAGTGGTACATGGTCCAAGGCGGGCTGGTGCTAACCTACAACACCATCTCAGCCGCCCAGAACGTCGTCCGTATTCGTCGGGAGCGCGGACAGCGATCGCGCGTCGCGCTGCTGGGACTGATCCCCTTTTTTGTGACGTGGACGCTTATCCCGACGTACCTGTATCTGCAGCCGGTGATCTTGAACGAGCATCTCGTGCCGTTCGTCTTCTTCGCTGGGCTGGTGAATGCGTACTCCGTCGGGCAGATGATCACAGCGCACTTGGTGCAGTTGGACTTCCCGTACTACAATGTGCTGATACTGCCGCTGGCGTATGGGGTGTTTGACTCGCTGGGACCGGTGCTGCAGGAGCATGTTGGGGTTGGGTGGCCGAGCGCGCTGGGCGATGGGGTGTACCAGGTTGCGTATCTGTTCTGTATGCTTGGGTGTGCTATTGGGGTTTATGGAAGCTTTGTGGTAAGTTTTTTTTCACTCTCTCTGGTGGGGGTTTCTTGGCGGAGGATGGTGTACTAATCTGTGTGCAGGTTGATGTGATTGTCACTATTTGCGATTACCTTGATATCTGGTGCCTTACCATCAAGCACCCCTATCATGAGGGCGACGAGCTGAAGAAGCAGTCGTAGAGAGGGGGCGAGGGGGCCAGTTATGCAAAGATTGTATAGAGAGCTGGTTATGATTGGCAATGCGGCGGCTGTATTGTGTTGATGAAGCATGTAAGACTACAGATTGGATAAGTGTTCGGCCACCGAGGCAAGGCATGAGATAGGATTTTCTGGTTGCCGGCACGGAACTATGGGTTTATGCACTTTTTTACGACTATGCGATGAGGAATGGTGGACGGTGGTGGACTAATAGGAGGAAATATTAATACCCAGACTTTTTGAAAGTGTTAATTGCTTGTTGCTTGAATGATGCTCTATTGTGTGTGTTGCTGCGCCTCAAACATGACAAACATTCATTTATGCCGTAACCCGTAACCCGCCGTTGGGGCGGGACGGTTTAGTATCTGTGCTGAATAGCGGTACTGTATCTGGTATCTTGGTGGAGCTTCCCCACGAAATAAGTATATGTCAGCATCTAAATCCCCGATCTACAGAGAAAGAGTGTATATTTCTTGTATTATAGACCTGTGAATAGGCTGAATAAGAGGTTGCACATCCCGTATTCTGGACTGCCGTCCTTAAGTTCTGGTTCGCCCAATAACCAAGAGAGGTTTTGTCGGCGTGTAGGCGCCTTGATTTAAGCCCCGATCGATCAGGACCACCACCCACACCGACAGAAATCTCGCCGAAACCTCACCCCATACGGACAACTAAGCCTTCATCAAGAGATTACACACCTACGCCGTGGACATGGGAAACATGGCAGGCTACGACGACAACAAAGCAAAGGTGCTGAACGGCCACCTCCAGTTCCCACCAAACATGGACTACAACTACTATGCGAATGCGAACCCGCAGCCGTACCAATTCATGGGCCTCCCACCCACGCCCTCCCGCTCAAACATCAATGGCGACGACTTTGGCAACGGCTCGCCACCGGTTAGTATCCTCCCTCTATGTGATGGATAGGGCCACGCTGACAGTTTACCCAAGGAGGCGTTCGAGCAGTTCCAAACTTTCGACGCTTACAATCACTTCGATGCGCACGGAGCAGCGCAACCCCCGACCCCGCAATCTCAGCACCAGTCCTCTGGCGGGAACACAAACGATAGCCATGATGGCGGCTCCGAGACGCTCAATTCGGAGCAGCGACAGGCGAGTAATAGTGATGATGAGGATATGACACCCGCGCAGTCCCGGCGGAAGGCTCAGAATCGCGCTGCGTAAGCAACTCACCCCGCCCTACCCACCTACACCCCCCCGCGCTCAATGCCGAGGAGTGGGTGAGCTCGAATCGTACTGACAAGTCGTCCGGACACAGACAACGCGCATTCCGCGAGCGCAAGGAGCGACATGTTAAGGAGCTGGAGGAGCAGGTCGCGGAGCTGAAGAAGGAGAGCTCGAGTTTCGCTACTCAGAACGAGATTCTGCGCCTAAACCTGCAGAAGGTGTCGACGGAGAATGAGATCCTCAAAGCTACATCGTCGAACCACCAGGGCGAGACGCTAGTCTCGAGTACGGGCCCGCTGCGCTACTCGCCGACGGACTTTTATACCGAGCTCCTGCAGCCGCATGAGAATAAGACGATAAGCCACCGCATTGTGACAGACCCTGTGAGCGGGGGACGGCTGCTGGCGGCGGCGGCGTCGTGGGATTTTATCATCTCGCATCCGTTGGCGAAGCAGGGGGTTGTGGATATCCCGGCTGTTAGTGAGAAGCTGAAGTCGAAGGCGAAGTGTGATGGGCAGGGGCCGGTGTTTGCGGAGGGGGATATTGTGGCGGCGATCGAGGATAGCGTGGTGGGGGATGGGGATGAGCTGTTATGATGCGTTTATGAAGGGGAGGGAATGGATGCTTATGACTGATTGACTGACTGGGAGTATGAGGTTGAATTGGGGAATTTGGAGTTCTGTGTCACTGCTGGCTGGCTTTGTTTGCCTGGTTTATGGGTTTGGTGGGTAGCTGGATTCTGAATGCTATTTGGTCGATGCATTTGGCTGTATGCACTGTCTTTTTTTCAACATACAAAAGCTACGATGCTAGCTGTTCGATGGATATAAGCTACCGATATTACGTAGGTGTCTAGGGAGTATAAATATGATATGAATGTATATTTCTTCACATATATATATTATAGATGAGTGCTTCTGTTTGGAAATATCAATATCAATATAAAGACCTGGGCCTTCGATGCCAAGGATCAGTTGCTGTGGCTGATAAGGGCCGATAGATACCCCCAAAGATGGGTCGGGACCAATCGATTTGCGCTTGATCAGCCTCACATATGATGCGTGCGTGACCTCCCATCCCGAGTACACTACTACGTACGCTCTGCTGCACCACCACCACCACCCTGGCGCCGATGTCTTTACCGCCAGCCTCTTTGAATTTCCCTCGTTTTTGAACATCTCTAGAATATTATATCTTTCGACGTATAAAAAGTCTCTAATACCGTTCTATCCTAATCAGATAATCGCCTCACCCCGGCTCGGCCAACTTCCACATAATTTACCCGCTGGAACCGCCGCTCCCTCCACCGCAATTCCTCGGCATCGCTGTAGCGTTTGTGGTGAAGCTTATTGACGTGGCCAGGCCCAACGTCACCCTCGACCGGCCCTTCGAATAACAGCAGGACCGTGTTGGACTTCGACAGCCGCTCCAGAGAGATACGATCGAGCCGAGCAGAAGCCTCCTATCCAACAGACGAGCTCATGTCGCAATAAGACCAGAGGACCGGCTGGCCAGGCACAATGACGGCTGTAGCACTGCAACAGAGAAACCCACCACGACAGCAGTATAACCCGCGGCAATCCAACAGGAGCCAACCGCAGACGCCCCAGAGCCAGAGCTACACGCAGTCCAACAACCAACATATCCCATCCTCATCCACCGCCAGCGCGTCGGGCTCGAATGGCGCCGTGAGCACCGCTTCTTCTGGATCCGCGACGTACAACGAACAACCGAGGAGAACGGGGGGGGCAAATGGCGCGTCGACAGACATGATGCCACACCCGACAACGAATGGCGAATCCTCGCGCGCAAATGGAAATGGAGCGCGGAGGTTGTCTGATGTAGAAATCCAGACGCACCACAGGAGGAACCAGAGCTCATCAGCCCTCCCGCGACCAAACGGCTCTCGCGAAGGATCGGAGACGAGCCAAGATGCGAGCCGGAGGAGACCGAAACCGCTTCTGAAGCGGTCAAAGAGCGATTATGGCCCACGAGGCGGGGATGAGGTGGAGGATAATAATGACACTGATACGTCGGATTGGGGCGCACGACATGGGTTTGAAGGACATTATGCTTCCGAGGAATATGTGTCGCAACTAGCTAATGTGAGTCGCGCCTGCCATTTTCTGTTTCACCCGATCCATGGTTATGTCATATGAGGGTTGCAAAGAATCCAGGCTTTTAAAGCTCTATCAACGGTTTGCGCGCATCAAGCGCTGCGCTGCATGCCATGGAGACTTTTGGTATAAGTGTAGAGTTTGCTGGTGTCTTTTCTGTTATCCCATTTTTTGGTCCTGCGAGCCCTCATAAGTCCCCACCGAGATGTTATCACATTGAGGGCATCCAGGATCTCAAAGAACCAAAACCATGTTGTGTCCTGCCAGCCTATCCTGCCTCAGGATATACACTGATATTGGACCCAAAACCGACGGTGGTGGACGGACAGAATGCTAATGGGATATTACAGAACTGGTATATGTACTTTACAGATAAACGCCACGAATCTACAGGCAACCCGCGACCCTTGAATTATGAACTACAAGATTGGCGCATGAAGGATAGATTGAAGACCGTATCTGCTGCGCTTGCCGTCTGCTTGAATATTGGAGTTGAACCACCGGATCAGTTGAAGACGACGCCCGGCGCAAAGCTTGAAGCATGGTCGGACCCGACAACGATGCCAGTGCAGAAGGCACTGGAAACTATAGGAAAAGCCCTGCAAACACAATACGAGACTCTCGCTATACGGACACGTTATAAGCAGTATCTCGATCCGTCAATCGAAGAAACAAAGAAATTCTGTGTCTCGCTGCGTCGAAATGCCAAGGACGAGCGTGTGCTGTTTCATTACAACGGACACGGCGTGCCAAAGCCAACAGCTTCGGGAGAAATCTGGGTCTTCAACAAGAATTATACTCAGTATATTCCGGTGTCATTGTACGATTTACAACAGTGGCTCCAAGCACCCACCTTCTTTGTCTGGGATTGCTCAGACGCAGGCAACATCCTCGCCAACTTCCATCGCTTTGTAGAGAAGCATGAGCAAGAAGAGGCTGATGCTCTTGCGAAGGATCCAAGCACCGTTGTGTCAAATTTCCGCCCCTACATCCATCTTGCAGCATGTGGTGTGAAAGAGAACCTGCCCACAAACCCAGCCCTCCCTGCCGACATCTTTACCTGCTGCCTCACAACACCAATTGAGATGGCCCTCTGGTTCTTCGTCCTGCAGAACCCATTACCCTCAAATATCACACCCGAAAGGGCAAAGAAGCTTCCGGGTCGACTGCAAGAGCGAAGGACGCCATTAGGAGAACTGAATTGGATCTTCACTGCCATTACGGATACCATTGCATGGACGACTTTGCCACGTCCGTTGTTCCGCAAGTTCTTCCGTCAAGACCTTATGGTCGCGGCATTATTCAGGAATTTCTTGTTGGCCCAGAGGGTAATGCACCATTATGGATGTCATCCTCAGTCATACCCCGAGCTTCCGGATACCCATCAGCATCCGTTATGGGAGAGCTGGGATCTCGCGGTTGATATGGCACTGGCCCAACTGCCAATGCTTGAAGAGAAGGAAGCAGGCATCCGACCTGATTATGAATTCGTTAATTCGACCTTCTTCACGGAGCAGTTGACGGCTTTCGACGTTTATCTCACACAGGGAGCAGTGACACATAAGCCTCCGGACCAGCTTCCAGTTGTTCTTCAGGTCCTCCTCAGTCAGCAGCACAGAGTACGGGCACTGATTCTGCTTGGGAAGTTCCTGGATATGGGACCATGGGCTGTCAACCTTGCGCTAAGCATAGGAATCTTCCCTTACGTCCTGAAGCTACTTCAATCCGCAGCTACAGAACTGAAGCCCGTGATGGTTTTCATCTGGACCCGAGTACTGGCTGTCGACCTCTCGTGCCAGCAGGATTTGCTGAAAGACAGTGGGTATAACTACTTTTCAAGCATTCTGAAACCAACTGAAGGACTTCCTGTCGTCGACAGCTTGGAGCATAAGGCTATGTGCGCCTTCATTTTAGCGATGCTTTGCAATGGTTACCGGCAAGGACAGAACGTCTGTAACCAGACCGAGATCATGAGTCTCTGCTTAACACATCTGCAAAACCAAGACAACCCGTTATTACGGCAGTGGGCATGTCTATGTATCAGCCAGCTGTGGAATGACCTTCCAGAGGCGAAGTGGAGAGGCATCAGGGAGAATGCGCATCAGAAGCTGTGCACTCTTGTCAAGGACAACTGCTGTGAGGTGCGTGCGGCAATGCTGTACGCCATAACAACCTTTCTCGGAATTCCGGACCTTACCGACGAGGTTGCGAGGATTGAAGAGCAGATTACCTGGACAGTAACCGATATGGCCAACGATGGCAATGCCATGGTCCGAAAAGAGTTACTTGTATACATGTCCAAGTACGTTAAGCGCTACGAGAGCAAGTTCCTCGTCGCGGCATACGAGCAATTGCAAGAGGAAAAGGAATACCTTCAATTCCCACCGACCGATGATGGCAACGATCACAAGATGGGTCTTCATTATGTCCGTGCCGAGCATCGCAATGCGGATGGGACCGTGAAGGCTTCTGCTCATGGAGTGTCGCATAATACAATTTTCGCTGTGGTATGGAAGCATGTTCTCATAATGGCTGCCGACCCACATCCAGAAGTCCAGAGAAATGCAACAATTGTCGTCGATTATATCCACCTAAAGCTTCTGGAATCCCCGCTGAGCTCTCGATCGCAAGCACTAGTCGATGAGATTCTTGTCCTTTCTCGCCGAGCCTTCACTCCTTATGCACAGCCAGCAACTGAACAGAGGCCAAGCACCCCTAAGCAGCAGTATGAAACCGCCACGCCACCTTCTACACAGCAGGGGCTTCTGAAGCGCACTGCGAGTTATTTGTTTACCTTGCCGTTTGGAGGCTCTAGTGCTGAATCGTCACCTACTGATTCGATGAGAGGGCCGCCTAAATCCCCTGGCCTTAACCGCAATTCACTGCCTGTCCGGGGCCGTGTACCAGCTGATTGGAACGCGCCACCAGAACAGAATGATACGACGTCAACTCCAGGCACCTACCGTGCGGCAAAGGAACCACTCTCTGGAGGCTACGAGCCGCGGAAACTGACCGAAGCACCAGTCATCCCATTGAAGAGTAATTTCCTGGAGTGGTCGATCGAGTACTTTAGGGAACCTCAGATGAAGTCAAGTGAGGCGGAGGAGCCTGGAAGCACTGATTATAATGAGCGACTTTGGCGGAGATCACGAAATGAATCGATATTGAGAGAGACGCAGCCCCAGAAAGAGGTTGCTGAAAGCGGCAAATGGTCAAATCCCAGTGGATTCTTCAACAATGGCAGCCAGCCAACGAAGATGACCATGCATCAGTTCGAGGATCATCTTGCAGTGTCAGATGACCGTGATACGGTTTGCATTTGGGACTGGAAGAAACAGGACCGCCTTGCTCGTTTCTCGAACGGTAACCCAGAGGGGTCGAAGATTAGCGACCTGAAGTTCATCAATGAGGATGACCAGGCATTTTTAATGACCGGTTCGTCAGATGGTGTTATTCGAATCTACAGGAATTATGATTCGGATAAGAAGGTCGAACTGGCATCAGCGTGGCGAGCTCTCACACACATGGTACCCAGTAATGTGAACTCGGGCATGGTGTTTGACTGGCAACAAGTGAGTGGGAAACTCATTGTTGCTGGCGACGTCAAAGTCATTCGCGTATGGGCTGCTGGGCCAGAAGTCTGCGTCAGCGACATCAATGCTCGATCTGGATCATGTGTTACATCTCTAACATCAGATCAAATGACGGGCAATATCTTCGTCGCTGGCTTTGGAGATGGTGCGGTCCGAGTATTCGATACTCGAGAGAGGCCACAAACAGCCATGGTGAAGAAGTGGAAGGATGATTCGGATCGGGACTGGGTTCGGTCAGTTCATATGCAGCGAGGTGGCCAGAGAGAGCTTTTGTCAGCGAGCCGGAATGGCAAAGTGAAGCTTTGGGATATCCGTATGGATAAGCCGCTGCGGATAATACAGGCGACAACGGATGTGCTGCGCACCGCGAGTACGCATGAGCACCTTCCCGTCTTTGCTGTGTAAGTTGTACCTATCCCTAACTAAGTTCATTGCTAATATTTTTCGAGTGGAACGGCACGCCATACGGTTAAGGTTTTCAATTTCGACGGCCAACAACTATCAAGGATCGAACCTTACTCTGGGTTCCTCACTGCTAACCGTAGTTCGCCAATCTCAGCTACGGCTTTCCACCCCCACCGAATGATGCTAGCTGCAGCATCGAAACGAGACAATAACATCAATCTGTTCACCTGCGAGGATAGGAAGGGCGGCGAGCTCGACTTGAATGGAAACGGGCATATGTGACCCCCGGCGACGACCAGCTAGATTTGCAATTTTTTTCGAGTTTTTAACGTGCCCCTTGGCATAGCTTTGGTTTAGTCGGGATGCATGCATGCAGGCTTATGGGCCTCTTTGAGGAAGTGCTTCTAATACGTGTATTTTATATTCGAGGATTGCTCGAACTCGAAGGGCGGGACTTCTGTGGCGGATATAGCTCTTGTTTCTGTGCGGGATAACCAGGAGGGAGTATGCCGGCGTTTTTTAGGAGACGGGAGTTGTACTTGCTAGTTTAGCTGTTTGGTAGCCAGGCCGCCTTACATTAATGCTGTATGTTTGAGTTGTCTCCTGAATAATTACCCCTTGTGACGTGGAGTCTGTAGATTTGTCCTCAATAATTACCCCTTTGTAACATTGTTGTCAGCCTCGCTGGTAATCACGTGTATCGCGGGGTAGTCGGCGAGGCTCGCTAAAATTCCACACGACCAGGTGCGTCACAGCGAATGTGTCAACCGGCGAGCTATTGTTACTGAAGCGGAATTGATATAACTGCGATTGATCAGGTAGGTACAAGAATGTGTTTTTAAGTCCCCTGGATATTGATTGCCAGACCACAGACGAAACGGCCAGCCAGTACACGTTGCTTTACCCCGCAAATTCCAACGACCGCGGGGCTTTAACTTCATCAACAAAGCCACAACTGCTGCTGCTTGCGCTACAAGCCACCACAACTTAGCAAGATGTCCGAAGAAGCAAAGCCCATCCCCGCGACAGCCCCGCCAGCCGCTGCCCCAGCCGCTGAGGGCGCACCCGCCGAGGGCGGCGCCGAGCAGTCGAAGAAGGGAGCGAAGAAGGCCGAAGCCAAAGCCAAGAAGGAAGCTGAGAAGGCACGCAAGGCCGCTGAGCGCGAAGCTGCCGCTAAGGCGTCTGGCGCTGGCGCCGCGGCCGAGGATCTTGCCAAAGACAACTATGGCAACATCTCGCCGACCTACAAGTCAGAGGCGAAGCGTGTGCGTCTTGAGGAGATCACAGAGCAGGATGTTGGCCAGCTCGTGAAGATCAGGGGAACTCTACAAAACTCCCGCGCGCAAGGGGCGAAGATTTTTTTCTTTCAATTAGGTAAGGGAGTGGAGACTATCCAGGGCGTGATGGCTGTTAGCCAGGAAGGGAAGCCCATCAGCAAGCAGATGGTCAAGTGGATGGGAACTGTGAAGCTCGAGTCAATCATTATGGTGGAGGCGCTGGTGCAGAAGCCTTTGGAGCCAGTCAAGAGCTGCAGCATTAGCGGCTTTGAGCTCCACGTCCAGAAGCTCTACATCGTTGCTTCCGCCCCCGAGACTTTGGCAGTGTCTGTTGCAACAGCCAGCAGAGCTGTTGGAGGCGTGGACGAGGAGGAGGAGCTTAGCAAGGCTGCGGAAGGTATATATAGTCCAACTTGCTTGTATTGGGGCATTTTAGCTAACATTATGTGATAGGCCTCTCCGTCCAGGACAAGGACGCCGTTCCAGTTGCCCATCTCAGCACACTCCTCGATAACCCGGTCATTAGAAAGCGTGCTCCAGTCGACCGTGCTATCCAGGATATCCGAAATGAAGTCCAGTATCTCTTCATCGAATTCCTGCGTAGCAAGGGCTTCAAGAAGTTTGAAGCTCCAGGGCTGATCGCCACGGCATCTGAGGGAGGAGCGAACGTCTTCGAGCTCCCATACTTCGGAAAGTCAGCTTTTTTGGGTAAGTGAGCCTCTTTTTCTCATCCAAGGGGCTTTTTTGCTAACATCATGCTAGCGCAGAGCCCGCAACAGAGCAAGCAGTGTGAAATTGCTGGAGGCCGTGAGCGCGTCTTCTGTATTGGTCCTGTCTACAGAGCAGAGGTAAAAAAAAGTCCAATTTGCTCCCATAGGAGCATTTTTTGTTAACATTACGTGGCAGAATTCGAACACGCCACGCCACATGACGGAGTTCACAGGCCTGGATCTAGAGATGGAGATCGAGGAACACTACCACGAGGTCATGCACATGCTTGAAGGTGTACTACTATACATTTTCGCTGGGCTTGAGAAGAACTGCGCCAGAGAGATCGAACTCGTCCGCTCCATTTACCCGTCCGAGAAATTCCTTCTCCCAGCAGACGGCAAGGAAGTGCGCCTGACCTTCGCCGAAGCCCAGAAGCTTCTCCGCGAAGAAGGACCCGAGGAGTTCCGCAACGTCAAGGATGACGAGGATATGTCTACTCCCCAAGAGAAGGCCCTCGGTGCACTCGTCCGCAAGAAGTTCAACACCGACTTCTACGTGCTCGACAAGTTCCCACTTGTTGCACGGCCGTTCTATGCCTTCCCCGACCCCGAGAACCCGGAGATCAGCAACACCTACGATTTTATGATGAGAGGACAGGAGATTCTGTCTGGTGGCCAGCGTCTGCATCTGCCGGAGGAGGTGGAGAAGGGGATGCGGAACAAGGGCCTTGACCCCAATAGCCCCGGTCTGAAGGCGTATGTTGATGTCTTTAGGGGTGCGGGTGTGCCTCCACACGGTGGCGGAGGCATAGGCCTGGACAGAGTCGTTTCCTGGTACCTAGCGCTGCCGAGTGTGCATTTGGCGTGTGCGTACCCAAGGACGCCCAAGAGATTGGGCCCGTAGTTGGGTGGGAGTGTTGAAGGAGTATGATGGATAGGGGTCGTGCACAGTAGTGAACTAAAGAATATGATCTCCATAGATCTGTCAAGTATAAATTATGAACGGGCGATCTTATGATCATCTAATCACGTCAAGATGAGAGCATTGTGATTTTTGTATATACTGTATTTTTTAACTCCCTACCTTCCTCTCCCTGTTTCCGTCCGATGAAAATGAAGATATCCGGTTTCGCTGAACCCTCGCCAAAGAGTATACCAACAACTGCCCATCACCCCCATTCTCGCCGTTGCCTGGCCGAATGGACATACGGGAAGGTAGGGCGAGGACAGAGGGACCAAGTGGATCAGACCAAAAATCGTATTGTTTTGCCACATGCCCACATTCTCACCGTCAGCCTCTCTGGAAGCTGAATGAACGGGTAAGCTCTCATCGCGGCCACCAGCGTCTATCTTATCTGTTGCCCACAGAAGGAACGAAATCTGTTCCGCCTCATTGTTGGTGCGGCTCTTTTTTTTGGTACTACCTACTAACTCATATTCTCTCATTCCAGACCTCCTCTATATGCCCCCTTTCTCACCGCCACACCCTTTCTCATCGTCGCCCCCTTCTCACCACCGCCCCGGGTGTTGCATCCTACCCTCCTGTCATTTCAACGCATAATCAGGTAATTTGCGTCGAGCCTGATGTGATGCCGTTGAACCCTTCGCCGCTGTTAGTATAGCTCTGTGCCATACGAGAGAATAGAATCTCTGCGAGGGTATAGTGCCAATGCATTTATTTAGTTAGTTAGATGATGGGCTTTCAGTTTTAAGGAGGAATACAATGATCGCAACAAATGGCACCAAACTCTAACTGACGTTTATTTTGTTATGTTTGAGTTTTCAGGGCAGTCTATAGCATTCGAACCCGAAGTACGTCTGTTCTCAGACATGGTAAGGGTACGAATACTTCATTGAAAAGGGATAAAGTGGAGTAGACACAGAGATTCTAAAACCCAGGCGGAAGTGAATATTAGCAACTTGAGGCGAGCTGGAGATTGAATATGTCCCCAGCAGATTCGTCGAGAACATAAGTCCTAAAGCGGTCTAGGAGGAGAAGTTCCAAAGCCATCCTCAGCCCAACTACATGCTATTCTACTGTGAGATGCAATTATCGGAAGGAAAAGCTCTTATGCGGGATGAACGATGGTAGCAGGAATACCACCACCATCAAAATACCAAGATCTAAACGCACCTCCATGATCGCACCTTGAAAGATTCCCTTATCTACAATATAATGGCACAACACCAGGGAAATGAATATTGCCCCAGTGGCGTCGGTCTGAACCTAACGCACAAGTCGATCGTTGTCGAGTTGGAGCCTTGGTGGAATCGTTCCACTGAGCTGCAAGCACGTTAGGATGACTTGTAATAGAATAGAATACTGGTGAAAGAACAGAACAACGGTGACAAGAAATACCAGTAACTGGTGAAAGAACACCAGCGACAAGAATACCACCACAGTAACAAGAACCCCCACTCAACAAGAATCCCCGCAACAAAAACACCAGTACCCAACCAAGCCGTGAAGACGAACGCAGCGAAAAAGTATCCGTGAATCTACCAGCGGGTCGAACCCTACGGTAAAACCGATACTTTGTTTGACCTTGTTGAAACATGGATCAGCGGAAAAGCTGAGATACATGTATATGATGGTGGATCTTCATATTGATGTCCTGGCTGGCTCCGATGCGATGGTTATTGATATTTTTTTTATGTTGCCTTTAGAGAAATTCTTTGGATCTGAGCCCGCAGACACTCTCGTCTGGGCTGGTAGTCTGGAGTACCAGGGATGAGAATTTCCGTCTCATTATGTCTGTCTTAACTTTGAAGGTCCCAACTGTGTAAGTCCACAGCCAGCAATCCACAGCCAGCAATCCTCACGGCTATATATCCATTGCCGCCTCCTTTAGCCCAGAAATCACTCTACCACAGCCAACATATCACACACACAAAAACATCACTTCACTCAACGAAACACCTAACAATCCAAAGCAACAAAATCGACAATTTCATAAGCAAAGAAATCTATCTATCTCCCCACCAAACATCAAAAAGATCAACTTTATATACCCCCCATACCCCCCGTGTTCACATCATCATCTACATGCATGCATTCATCCCCCCCTCCCAAAAACGCCAACAAGTCCACTCTCTCTCCTCTAGAGTACTTTAGATCTTTAGATCCTATCCAAAAGCCCCCTGCTCTCCAACAACAACACAATCTGGTGCACAATACTACGCACATTCGTCTTCTCGGCATCCACCACCAGATCCGCCGCCGTAGGCGCCTCATACGGATCATCCACACCGGTGAAGCCCTTGATCTCCCCAGAGCGCGCACGCGCATACACGCCCCTACGGTCCGTCTTCTCGGCGTACTCAAGGCTGGTAGCAACGTGAATAAGGTAGAAATCACCGTACTTCCCGACAAGCTCACGCGCATGCTGGCGCGCATCCTCGTATGGTGCAATGGGGGCAGCGATGACAGCAGCACCGGCCTTGGTCAACTCAGCAGCCACAAAGCCAATACGCCCGATGTTGCGCGTGCGATCAGCGCGGCTGAAGCCGAGCTCGGAGGAGAGCTCAGCGCGCACAGTCTCGCCGAGGAGGAGGGAGACGGAGCGGCCGCCCTGCTGGTTCAGGGTGACCTGCAGGGCGCGCGCGATGGCGTCCTTGCCCGAGTTCTGGTACCCGGTGAGGAAGACGGTGAAGCCCTGCGCGGAGCGGGGCTTGTGGGTGTCGCGGAGAACCTTGACGACTTCGGGGTACGAGAACCACTCTGGGATCTCGCGGCCGGAGCGAAGACGCGAGCGCAGCTCGGTGCCGGAGATGTCGAGCGTGCGGATGCCCTTGGCCACCTCGTCAACGGGCTTGTACTCGTCGGAATCGGGGAGGTAGGTCATCATCTGGAAGGGAACGACCTCGATGCCGAGCTCCTCGCGGTACTTCTCCACGGCGTGCTGTGCGTCGTACGGGCCGTAGAACTCAACGCCCGCGCTGTTCTTGCCGGGGCCGGCGTGGTCACGACCGACGATGAAGTGGGTAGCACCGTGGTTCTTGCGGATGATGGCGTGCCAGATGGCCTCGCGGGGACCACCCATGCGCATGGCGAGGGGGAGGAGGCCGAGGACCGCCATGCCGTTGGGGTAGCGTGGGAGGAGGGCCTGGTACACGCGCACGCGCGTGAAGTGGTCGATGTCTCCGGGCTTGGTGAGGCCGACGACGGGGTGGATGAGGACGTTGGCTTGGCGGGAGCGCGCGGCGCGGACGGTCAGCTCGCGATGGGCGCGGTGCATGGGGTTACGGGTCTGGAAGGCGACGACGCGGGACCAGCCTAGCTTGTCGAAGTGGAGTCTGAGCTCGGCGGGGGTGTCTGGGGGGGAGAGGTTAGAATGGAGTCGGCGGGATGGGGGGGGGGGGGGGTGGCTTACATCTGAGGGCGACATAGTCGTAGTGCTCGAGCCTGTCGATAGCATCGATCTTGCCACCGATGTAGAACTCCTTTGCGGTCTCGTAGAGGTATTTGACAGCTGGGTGCTCTGGGTCGCCGCCGAAGACCTCCTTGGCCTCCTTTGCCCTGGGGTGGTGTTAGCAGAGGCGCCGGGACTGTCAGAGAGCGGGCAACTTACTTGTCTGGCTGGTAGATGTCATCAATGGTGAGGATGGCAAGGTTGCGGTCGTCACGGAAATCGCGAAGGGTCACTCGTCCGCCGGCCTTGAGGCCGAGATCGGCAATCAACTTTTCGGAGGCATCGAGAGTGATGGGCATGGAGAAGAGGTTGCCATCGACAAGACGGTTCTCTGCAACGACGCTGTATTATCAATTAGCCGTCTGTTGTGGTCACCTCATCGTAGCATTGGTGTTATATACCCATTGTAGTCGGCCTCGTTCATGAAACCTATTTTGAGGGTATTGTCAGTGAACCATTTCTGTACCCCGCGCAGTGACCCCGCCACGGAAGTTCTCGGCTAGAGAAGTGAGAACGACATACCTTCAAGAGGAGAGAAGCCACCGGAGAGGATCAATTCCAAATCGCAAAGCTGCCTCTCGCTCAGGACGAGGGCGGGGAGGGTCTCAGCCTCCGCGGAGAGCTCAGCGTGCCTCGGGGCATCGCGGGCGAGCAGGTCCTTGAGTTCACCTCCGTGTGGTGGGTTGGCCATGATGACTGTGTGTGTGAGGGGGATGTGGTAGATGAGGTGAGGATGGGGTGAGAGAGAGGGATTTATATAGAGGAGGAAGTTTCAGACTCTCGACTGGAAGGGAAGAAGGAAGAAGGAGAAGAGTAGTATATGATATTATATGTGTGGGAGTAGTTAGTAGTGGTAGTCCCTTCGTACCTACTTTCGGTACTACTCTGTTACAAGAAGTGGCTACATATGAATAAGGAGAGTATGGTCCTACAGTGGTCCTACAGCATCTCCTGTAGGTATCCCACTTGCTCCTTCAGGTACCATACAGGCAACAAGACATAACCGTGGTACCTTGAATACTAAAGTGAATACTAAAGTGGTTTCTTGATTCGTATGGCGGGGCATGTCGTTGGCTCAGGTTGGCTCAGAGTTTCGCCCAAAGGCGGTCACGTAAATGACGTGCTTTGCTAATTAATTTTTGAACGGGCGCTAGGCCGGAAATACTTGACTATTCCTCTAAACTCCCATACAAACTAATCCAAAATTCGCGCGGCAGCATTGGCAGAATATTGCTCTGTCAGAGAAGAGAAACCTAGGGAATACATTGGCGTAATAAAGAGAATCCAGAAAATGCAGTCTATGAGAAAGGTACTGTCTTGTACTGATGTCTTGGGAGAGGATGGCGGAATTCTCGCGGCACTTGGCGGCTCACTCTGAGTTACACTTGACTTACACAGCCCGAATTATACCATTATACTCTCGAATGATCTGGCTCCAGGATGTCTTGGGGGTTGGAACTGGTTGCAACATACATATATCATACATATAATAACGCAGTGATATCCTGTGTTATTGGATATAACAAAGGAATCCAAGACTACCCCAGACATACGTTATATGATACCATACCGCCTCCAATCCCCAGCCCCAATCGAGAGACCCCTCTCACATGCCCTTCCATGCCCTCTGCATGAAAAGCAAAAAAATAGACCCATGAGTCGTCGTCGTTGCATCCTTCCTATCCTATCCTGCATGTGCTCCTATCTTATCTCCACGTGATCATATATTATTTTTCGGTCTTATCGGCGGCGACTTCTTTCTCCGGGCCACGACCGACGGCACCACCCGCCGTCGGCTTATTACTAACCTACTGTAAAGAAGGAAGTTACAGGTCGTACTTTGCTTCATCACCACTTGCAAAGAAGTTTCGAGCAGGTTGAATTAGAGACTTTATACCCGCGCGACCGTCTCTCTTCACTATGTCTGCTGTCCAGGTCCTCAAGGGCGATGCGCCAGCCCAGGCGCGATCATTGGTATGTCCTATCTCCGTGTCTGGATTGTTGTGGCGGTGGTTGCGGAGATGCTCCCCATGTCGCTGCGACCATCACTGCGCAACCTTACCAACCTAGCGACAGAAGTCCGTACCATTATTGAGATATCCATTCTAACTCTCTTCCACAGTTCCGCCAATTGCTCCGCCAAGGAGAGCAGTTCGCCGCATATAACTTCAGAGAATACGCTACCCGGAGGACGCGCGATGCGTTCCGCGAGCACAAGGACGAGAAGGATCCGAGGCGCCAGCAGGAGTTGATACAGGAGGGGTTGAAGGAGCTGCAGATGCTGAAGGTGTGTGGGATTCCTGATTGGAGATGGCGTGTGTCCTACGGAGAACAGAGGGTCGCCCTGTTTGCGTGGCGATGGGGGGATTCTGTTGGGGTGTTACGAGGATCTATGACGTGTCGAGACTGTGCTAACTGCTCTTTCTAACTACAGAGGCAAGCTACTGTGAGCCAGTTTTTCCAGATTGACAGGTTGGTTGTGGAGGGTGGCAAGTCGGTATGTATAAACTCCTCTCGAAAGTACCAGTCGAACTCTACTAACACTCTTCCAGGGCAAGCAAAAGGGCAAGAAGGGTGATCTTGTGAGGCAAAACGAGACTGGGTAAGTTATATTCCACCCCTACGAAACATCGATTGTGAACCAGACTAACGCACCACAGATGGAACTGATTTTGGGCTGCAAAAGCGTATGGGCGTTGTGAACTGCGTCTGTGAGGGATATGAGAGGCTGGGCGATTCGCACAAGGGAACCTTGTAAATATATTGTACTATAAATGATCGTGGATGGCATGGATCGTTTGGAAGCAGTGCATAGAGTCGCAGCAATACATATCACCTCCACTACCACATTCACTACCACATTACATGCTACCATCAACCATGACCTTGATACAGAGAATAGCATCCATTCTTTTATTTCATCCATCAAGGGTGCTATGAGATCCCTACCAACAAATGCAACCCCATCCTCTCCCCAGCGAACCCTTAAACGCGACCCCAAATAAGTTAGCGCAAAGTTATGAAGGGCACGTGACATAAATTTATGAACAACCAGGTTGCACATCCTCCCATTGCGCTCGAGGACGACACTACCCTTCACAGGCCCAAAAGCACCTCTTTCACGCCCTTCCATAACGGCGCGTTTTGTAGATATATCAGCGTATCCCAGGTCTTGTAAGTGAGCTTGCCCCCGACCCAATTGACCCCCTGGGGATAAAAATATCAACGCGACGAGCATGGCTAACACGCCCCTTCTAGTATCGCTACAGGTCATCAGCGAGTCTCATCTACGACAATCTTTATAAAAGCGACGAGGGCATCGAGTTACCGTTGCCCGCAAGTGTATCATAACTCAGCAACTCTGTAGTTGAGGAGGCTGAGCCGTCGAACTCGCGCCTGCGCACCAGACCTATCTACAAAACACTGAACATACGCGCGACGACACCGCAACCATGGCGCCTGGAGTACGTTGTCCCTACCCTTGCGGCGCTTCCAGCGCAAAACCGCATACCTATCATGTCCACGCAACCTACTCCTGACCCCCCGCTAACCCCCCTCCCAGTACCGCAACAGCAACCCCTCGCGCCGCCAAACCCGCGGCCTCGTCGACCACGACATCTTCGAAGGTCTCCCCGTCCGCAACTGGCGCCGCGACGCCGTCACCGTCGCCCCCCCCCCCGCCCACGATCCCTTCGCCACGGCAAAAGACAAATGGGACGTCGAGCTGCCCTGGGGCATGCCGAAAGACGCGCACCTTATGCCGCAACACAGCCAGGACCTTCTCCGCGCCGCGCGCTCGGGCAGGATCTACCAGAAGCGCATGTTAGTTGAGGAGGAGGACATCGAGGCCGACGCGCTGCTGGTCGAGAAGGCGGAGAAGAAGGAGGAGGCGAAGGAGGAGGGGTTTGTGGTGAGGACGTGGAAGTTGGTGCCGAAGCATTTGGAGGGGCCCGAGATTGAGTATTTGGCAAAGAGGAGGAAGGGGTTGAGAGGGGCGCCAGTGAAGGGCGTGGCGACGTTGACGAAGATGACGTTGAGGAGGACGGATGAGGCGGGGAATACGTATGTCGAGGATGTGGTGGTGCCGGAGGGGCATGTGGTGGAGGGTGAGGTTATCGCGACGACGGTTATTCTGGATCCTGCTACGACTGGCGCTCCGGTCGCGGGAGTTGCACCTCCGCAGCCGGTGAAACGCCGTCCTCCGCCTCCGAAGCGTAGAGCTAAAGGCCCCGGGCGCGGACGCAGGAAGAAGCTTCCTCTACCACCCCGCAGCGCGCCCGCCACAGTGGGCGCAGCGCAAGTTGACGGCCAAGCCGCTGAGGCGCCAAAGCAGGAGCCAGCTGTGGACGCGAACGGTGTCAAGATCGAGTCTAGCGTGACGCCCGCTCCCGGAAACGAAGACACGGAAATGGGCGATGGATCGATGGCACAGTCTGATGACGAAGGCGAGGGAGAGGGCGATGATCGCTCCGAGGGCTCTGATGACGAAGACCAAGACGGTGAAGGCGAAGGAAGCCAGACCCACGACCAAGACGATGATAACCGCATGGTCCTCGACAACCTCCCTCCCGAGCCAAAGGTTCAAGCGCCCAAACCCGCCATCTCAGGCGACTTCCCCGTTGAAGCACCACATGGAGAGTTTGGCGGCCAGGCAGGTGGACAGGGACCAACGACAAGTGGAAGCCCGCTGAAACATGCGTTTACGCCGCAATCGTATTCCCCGACCCTCAGTGCGGAGGGAGAGGTAGAGAATGCGCCGGCGGATGCGTTTGGAGGGGGTCAGCAATTACAGGGTCATTTCGAGCAGCAGCAGCAGCAAGTGTTCCATGGGCAGGATCACCAGCAACAACAACACCAGTATCCTGAACCCCAACAACAGCATCAAGAACACCTCCACGAAGGCCCTGCCGCAGATACACCCTCAGCCTTCGACGTCAGCGCCACTGATTTCGCCGGTATGCTCTCTGGCACACCCCCACAGTTCGGTGAGCACCAAGAAGAGGGAGGGGATGATGAGATGTTACTTGATTCCGTGCAGGGACATGATGAGCACCAACTGCCTGATTTATCGGATTTCGATCCTCATGCTTCTACGGAGGCGCCGGGGGAGCAGGGGGTTGGTGGGGATGAGGGACCGGGGGAGGAGAAGTTTGAGGATTTGCTGGGGAGTTTGGAGGATCATTTGAATGATGGGAGTGGAGAGGGGGAGGGACCTATGGCGTTGATTGGGGTGGAGGAGGCGGAGGCGGTGGTGGTGGAGGCGGTGGTGGATGAGGTTGCGCCGGCTTCAGTGGTGGAGGAGGTACCTGCTCCTGTTGTTGTGGCGGAGGAGCAGAAACCGGCTGAAGATGAGAAGATGGATGAGGCACCCGCCGCACCTGCCCTGGAGGTCGTTGAACCTGCATCTGCCCCCGCGGAAACCGAGACCGCAAGCGCGGAAGCGAAGGAAGCTGAACCTGCTATGGTGGCGGACTTAAAGGAACCTTCCGCTTCGCCGGCAAAGGAGGCCGAGAGCGCCGTCCCTGAAGCACCAGCCGCGGTGGAGGCGGAGGCGCCATCTGCAGATGTGGCTGAAGAGCCCGCTGCGCCTGTGGAGGTGGAAGCACCTACCGTCGTCGAGGAAGCGGTAGTGGAGACGCCGCAGGTGGCCGAAGCGCTCGCTATTGTCGAGGAGGTGGCGAAGGCTGTACCAGAGCCTGTAGCGCAGGAGGAGGCCAAGGAAGAGGTGAAACAGCCCACACCAGAGAAAACACAGGACCCTGTGCCGGAGGTGGTGAAGGAAGTTACACCTGAAGTCGCGGCGAAGGAGGAAGAGGCAGTGGAAGTAGCGCAGGGAGAGACGGAGAAGAAGGAGGAGCAGGCGGCTACTGAGGAGCCGAGTGCTGCTGCGTAGATATTGTTATGGTATATGTGGGGGAGGGGATGATGTTTATTTATTTTTTGGTGGGAGGAGTAATTAGGGGTTGGTTGGGGAGGGGGTGTATGTAGGTAGTAAACTTGGGCTATTTATTTCGGGAAGCTGTTTTATGTGTAGTTCCGGCCGGCAAGTGGCTGGCAAGTCCTAGCGAAGCCATCATTGTTTCGTTAATACTTTGGTAATTTGCTGGTGAGGTTATTGGACATATCAAGGAAGTTATTTTTGGCTGTATTGTACTCTAGATGTAGTTGCACACATCGTAATGTTTCAGCGAAGCCATTTTTGTACGGGGAGTTACTTCATGCGACTAAAGCAAGCTAAAATATTAGCTTTTGAGCTTATTTCACTAGCTTCAAAACTGACAGCGGCTATTTTAGGTCATGGACTAACTTCGTTCTTGCCTGTTTTCTTAGTGATTAACTCATATAAATGGCTGTTCTCTGCCATAGAGAGACTATCTTTCATGCATAGTTCGTCGGCATTTATATCATTTCACAAAATATTCATTCCCAAGTTTTGATAGACTGCTAGCAGGAATGAGTTTATCAGAATTGCTTCGCGGCACCTTGTGCAAGAAGTTCCCATGCGGGACAGGCGACTCTCCCCTCAAGATGAAGATGTGTTCCGAATATGACTATTACAGCCTCAGTAAGATCGACAAAGACCCCGACGACTTATTCGAGAAAACCCGCAGCTTCTTCGAGGAGGTACAGGAGATGATGGGAAGTGAGAATCTGAGCCAAGCCCGGAAAACAGCATACGAGGAACATAGCATCGCCATTATGGCCGCAATTATTTTCGGTTCAAACATGATTGAGAAGACCGGATCTTCAGAAAACATCACCCAGAAACTCTGCAAAGACATTTTCACCGGAGTTCCCGTCGCCTCAGAGATACCCCTCACCCACCCAGACTGCCTCGCAATGCTTACCCACATCCTCCGCCAAGACCTCCCCCCCACCCACAAATCCATCAACCGCAGCCGCATAGAAGTCACCCAACACGCCGCAGCATGGACCTACCTCGTCACCTCCCTCCTCTCCGGCCCCCTCACCGAAACGCACCTCCTCACAGCCCACCTCATCCTCTGCGCCGACCTCCCTCTCAACGACCACACGCCCTACGCCGGCCTCTGCCGCCTCGTCGGCGTCTACGCGGGCCTGAATCCCTTCCCTCCGCCGGCCAGTATCCCTAGTCTAATCCGCACTCTAGTGTACGATTACAACGCTGCTATCGATCTTGCGAAGACAGCGGGGTTTCTGGATCCGTTCGCGCTGGCGGCGGAGTTTGGACATCGGTTTGTGAATATTCATCCGTTTATTGATGGAAATGGGAGGGTGTGTAGGCTGCTGATGAATGCGATTTTGTTCTGCTATGCTGGGATTGTGGTGCCGTTGGGGGAGACGGAGGAGGGGAGGGACGCGTATTTGGGGGTTGCGATTAGGGCGTCGGAGGGGGAGAGTGTGAGGGAGGAGGGGGGAAAGAAGGCGTGGGCGGAGTTGTCGTCGTTGCTTATTTTGGAGGCGTGTGGGCGATTTGAGACTTTGAGGGAGAGGTTGCGGACGGTGGCTTGAAGGGGGAGGGGAGGGTTGTTGTGACCGCGTCTAGCGAGGAGAATAACCATGCACTTGTAAATTGTGCACAGCGTCTGAAAATAATATTACAACCGTTCAAATACAAAGTCAATATCCAGATAGAGGTGCAAGAAAATGGTATAATGCTAAAATAAAGTACGAATGTAACCCTCCTCGCCTGTCAACCCATGCTTTTCCAGATAGGCCGCCCTCTGCGCCAAATACGTCGCATACTCCAGCTTGGGGACCGTCTTTCCTCATCATCCCACAAATCGTACCCGACTTTCTCCCAAATCTCCAACTGCGCCATGAAATTCGAACTCGGCCTTGTCCGCGGCCATTTGACTTTCATCTCCCCCAAAAGCTCATCGCGGCTCTTTCCCAACTTGCACATCAAGTACGCAATAACCATAGTCGAGGAGCGGGACCTCCCCATCTTACAATGCACCAAGACGCGACCAGGCGGCTTCGAATCCTTAGGTTCTAGATGTGCATCGATGAAATCGCAGATGGTGCGCATATAGCGAAGCATATTCTCGACTTTGTTATCGAGGCATTCGATCCATAGATGGTGGCCGGGTTTGATGGAGTCGGTGAACTTTGTGCGATGCCAATGGCCGCTTCGGCCCTCTGCGGCTGAGACGACGGCGGTGATTTTGTTGGATTCGAGAACTTCGCGGGTGTTGGAGCTTTGGTAGTTGCCGATGAAGAGACCTGGGAATATCTCCGTGGTGGAAGCGGGCCAGTAGTCCATTGTTATGAATAGTATGTGTCTTTGTAGCAGATAGTTTGTAAGTATCGTCGATACGTTCGTTGAGAGGTGGAATGAACCTTGTTGGCTATCTATCAAGGTGTGGCGTTAGTGCCTCAGATGATTTAAGGTTGACTAAAATAACAGCAGATAAAGGCTGGTGGGCTATGTATGGAGGAAGTGTAAGCGGAATGGTTACATTCACTCCATACATACAACAGAAGAAGACCCTAACATATTCAGTAGAGTGTTGTGTCGAGAATCCCCAGTAGTCCTCGTAGTCCTCGGTGACCTCAGGACTTTAGGAGAGCCCTAACGATACCATTCTTGTATAGGCGCATACTTCGCCGTATTTTACTTCCGTAAGAACTGGCAACAAGCGATTTTAGCTCTTGGTCCTTCGTTCTTATTTCGTCTTTGAGTGACTCAGTTATGCAAGACCGCTTCCAAACACTCCAGAATCTCGCCTGGTATTCATAGGCATCGAGACTGATGTGGAAGATGAGCTTCTTAGGATCGCTTCATGGCACCTCACACAAGCTCCTACGCCAAGCCATTCTGATACATCGAGGAAAGGGGGATCGCACGAATATGAGAAGCTGCACGTCACGGTTGCATAGTCAATGTCTGGGAATGTATATATATTAATATATAATAACTACGAGGAGTGTACCTCTATATAAGCCTTTCTCACACATCCTATCCTCCCCTTGCTCACGCCTTCTCCCCACACAACACACCAATCTCCTCTCTCGTAAACCCAAACAAAAACAACAAATCCAACAAGCTGTCCCCATTAAGCCTCGCCCCCGCCTCAACCTGCACCCTCGGCTTCGCCCTCCATGCCACACCCAACCCAGCAACCGCCATCATCTTCAAATCATTCGCGCCATCACCCACCGCCACGACCTGGCTCACATCAACCCCCTCTACCTCGGCCAGCGCCAACAAATGCTTCGCCTTAGCCTCAGCATCCACAATCGCCCCCGTCAGCTCACCCGTCAGTGCTCCATCCTCAATCGTCAGCGTATTCGCGCGCGCATGATCAATCCCCAACTTCTCCGCCAGGTACCCCGTCAACGGGATAAACCCTCCGGACAGCACAGCCGTCTTAACACCCAACCTCTTGAGCGCGCGCAGCAAAGGGACCACACCAGGTGTAATATCCAGTACTGGCTTCAGCTCGTCGAAAATCCCCGCCGACACCCCCTTAAGCAGCCGCGAGCGCTCGCGCAATGACGCCTCAAAGTCAAGCTCTCCATTCATCGCGCGCGCCGTGATAGCCGAGACAGCCTCCTCAGCCCCAATAGACGCCGCGATCAAATCAATGACCTCCTGCGTGATGAGCGTGGAGTCCATATCGAAGACCACGAGTCTCGGGTGCCGGCGCAGCGGGGTGTCTGCCTGCAGCACGACATCGACGTGCCAGGCGCGCTCAAAGCGGTAGATGAGCTCGTGCTTGCGCAGTTCGGCGAGAGAGATGTATGATGGATCCGGGGCGGGGGAGAAGGTTAACTCTACCACGCGGGGGTGGCTGGGCGAGGGGACGTCGAGGCATCGGTGCGAGGAGGTGATGTGGGTGTGTCCCTGCGGGAGGGGGAGGGAGGAGAGAAGCGCGAGAAAGGCGGTGATGCAGAGTGGGGAGACGTAGGAGCCATAGAGGTGGTCTAGGGGCTCGATTTCATCCGCTGGCGGGGGCTCGAGGGGCGATGCCTCGGAGGAGGTTGTAGGTGCGCCCTTTGGCCCGGCATCGTCGGTCCCAGAGCCAGGGCTGGGGGAGCGGCTCTCGACGGCGGTGGAGCGGGGAGTCGTCTTGTAGAAGAGAGTTGCGATGATGCGGCCGACATCCTCGCCGGGGTCGGGCTGGCAGTTGGCATGCGTCAGGCCGTGCGAGATGCCGGAGTCGACGATGTGAGGGGCGGTCGCGCCGTGCGAGGGGACGCCTGTGTATGGCGCATACGGCTTGGGGGAGGGCGTGGGCGCGTCAACGATGCTGTCGATGCCCGGGTGGTTGGTTGGTACCGGGGCGCGGTATTGGGCGTGCGAGGCGAGGTAGGAGGGGGAGCGACTGGTTTGGGAGAAGACGGGGCGGGGAGAGCGGGTGGAGGGCGCGCGGGTGGGGAGGGCGGCCATGGTTGCGGATGTGAGATGAGCGATGTGGTGGTGGGTGGTGTGTTATCGCCGGTGTGGGTGGAGGGAGTGAGGAGAGCCTGGGGGAGGAAGTCGAGGGACCTGGCGTTTGTGGGATTGAGTTTTTGGGATGGCGGGGTAGATGGGTACTTTGTCGCACCTGCACGTGGGGCTCCATTGACAGGCTGCATAAAAGTTGATAAAAATAAGGGTTCGAGGTTAATATTGTCACGTGTACCTTTACACGTGATAATTTTATGCAATCATATTTTGGCATCATTCGTGCTCTTCAGCTGAAGAATTGCACATCTGGTCAATAAACAGTGCAGCAAAAGATGACGCAATACCATAATATACTAAAGAGACGCGTTGCGTTCAACACGATGACATGGCGACCACCTTCGGTCTCGTAATATCTGACGAGGTCAAGCGTATTCTGTGACACTCCAAGTTGTCTAAGTTTCGGCCTCGAAAAGTATCTCACTGGAACCAACGTGCCGAAACCAAGTTGGTCGTCACGGATCCGAACTTCGATGTTTACATTCAGAGAACCTCCTACAATCTAGAGTCAAGTGAAGTATCTGAGGTTTTTTCTAGAGTCTTGGAATCGTAGATAACACATGTTTTGTAACACAAACGTTCAAAAGATATTGATAGTAATATATTAAATATAATCAGGAAGAAAGGTACTGATTATGAGCTGTTCACACTACACGTTGATCTCCCACTACACAAGCATATGGAGATGGCATACAAAGGCGTATAGTGACGTAGCTGACGAATAGTAACGGACTCGCTTATGCCTTCTCCACTTGCACAACTTGCACAGGAGCCTCCTTAATGCTGCCATTGTGGTTCAAGGCTTTGCCATCGATGTCAATGTCAGCAACCTCTGCGTTCTCGCCATCAAAGATACGGGCAATCTCTTCAAGAGTGGGGCCACTAGAGGGAAAGTTAGCTTTGATTCAAACTGGCGAGGACGAAAAGCGACATACCGAGTCTCGACGTAGAAGTAGTAAACCCAGATCAATTCGAGAAGAACCCAGCCGGCATAGCAGGCAAACAGCTTCCAATTCTGGCCGAACCAGCCGCCACCCTCGGAGATAGGGATGGGGTTCACGTAGTTGTTGATCGTGAGGGCGACTTGAACGGAAAGATTCATGATGAACACACCCTTGGCGCGGAGCTTGTAGGGCAGAATCTCGACGGTGTAGGCAACCAGGAGACCAGACCAGGCCAGCGAGTAGGAGACACCGTGCAGCCAGACAAAGACAATATTGACGTAGCCAATTTTAACATCATCTTTCAGGGCGTATTGCTGACCAGTGATAGTGGCGCAAATCAAGAAGATAAGCATACCGGCGGTGCTATTAGAAGTGAGTCAATTTGTTAAATGAAGCGAATGTGAGCACTTACGCAGCGATGAAAAGCGGGCGTCTACCAACACGGTCGACCAACAAAGCGCATGAGATGGAGACGAACAGAGAGAGGACCTTGTTTCCAGCGTCCAAACCCAGCTGGTCAGTCTGGCCAGTGATACCAGCACCTTTGTAGATGATAGCAGCGTAGTAGCTGACGAGGGCATTGCCAGACCACTGGGAGAAGAGCCCGAGTGAGATGATGATAAGTAGCCGCTTGCGGTTGCCCACCGTCTTGATGAAGTCCAAGTATGAGGAGCTCTTCTGATGCAAGAACTCCATGCGGAGAGTCTCTTTCATTTCAGCATACTCGAACATGACAGTAGCGTCGCTATCGTTGCCGTCCGCGTGGTAGTGGGCGAGCATGTGGAGCGCCTCGTCGTTCCTGTCCTTAGACAGCAGCCAACGTGGGGACCTAGAAGTCAAAGTTAGCCAATCGCGAGAGACATTTGGCATTATGAACAGAACTTACTCGGGAATCCACCAGATGAATGTGAGCTGGATGATGGAGAAGATACCTTGGATGAGGGTCGGGATTCTCCAGGACCAGGTGCTGTTAATGTGCTGTGTGCCAAAAGCCAGCCAGCCACAGATCAAGGCGCCAAGATTCCACAAGCAGTTGTAGATGGTGGTGATCCTGGCACGATGCTGAGGATGCGCGATTTCGGTGATAAGCATTGGGCAGGAGAGTTGAGCCAAGGAGTTGCCGAAACCCATGAAGAAACGGGCGCCCTCATATTGTGGGCGGCTCATAGCGGAAGCCTGAATGGCGGCGGCAATGACCATGATGATGCAACCAACAGTGATAGGGGTTTTGCGCCCAAAATTATCGCTGAGCCAAGGTACAACGGGGAGAGAAACGATTGAACCGATCGAGTACATGGCGCTGAGACGACCTAAAGTGTCCTTCGAAGGGTGACCCATTGTATCCTGCCAGGACGAAAGGATCTGAGAAGTGTTCATGAGAGATCTTCGCACAGTCAGTCACTGGGCCTTCTCTGTTTGCAGGACCCATAACTCACCCATCATAACCGGTGGTGGCCGAGCAGACGCAGAGAATGATGCAGTAAAAGTATAGCTTGCGCATGTTGGGCGACTTGGTCCATGACACCGGTGGAAGCTCAGGCGCAGCTTCCTGTGCCTCGACCACATTGGCCTGGTTGGGACGCTTGAAATGGGAACTCATTGCGGGTAGTATTGGACGACTGTTCCAGCGACCGAGGACGAATGCAACGCGGAGGTGGAGTGGATACTGGGGAAGAATCGAAGTACGGGGAGAACGTTTGGGTCTTTATAGACTATTCCCTATATCTATGCGAGTCCCTGTATGCGGGCTACACAGTAGAAGATGGCAATGGACGGGCGGATACATCGCAATTAGGCTAATTAATGTTAGGCTAGATAGATCCATGGCGACTCTCATTTGAATGATTGGATACAGTATGCTATGCGGCTTAGCCACCAACGCTTCTAGAAGCATTAGACCGGGCCTAACCCCGGATTTCCGGGCCGTGATGCTCCTGTGAACAGGCTAAGATCCAGGGGGGGGACCTTCCCCTGTAGTATCCACTCCACCTCCGCATTACATTCGTCGTCGGTAGCTGGAACAGGCTAAGATCAACGAGGGGAACCTTCCCGCGTTGATTTTAGCCTGTTCATAGGAGCAAGGCGCAAAGCCACAAAGGTTTGTGTCCCGAAAAGGGGGGAAGTTACTATAATGCCCAACACCTTACATCCCTACTACTATCCCCCCCCTGAATGATTGTAACGACCCGCTATTTTGAAGTTCGTGGAAGCCCACTTATAGTACCCGATATAGGTAAAAAGGCGTAAATAAGATGAGATCACTGGCAGTGTGTTTTTGACAAAAGAGTGGATCGTTACAATCATTCAGGGGGGGGGGATAGTAACTAATGGGGGGTCAAATTTAGACCCTCTTTATGCTGCTTAGGGAGAAAATTAGGCACAATTACGCTAGCTCATACTAGCTCACAGTTGTAAGGACGCCTCCTTAATTCTGAACAGTCTTGGTGATCACGTGACATATGAGACTCATGGGTGACCCGGATTCATTTCGGACCGTAGGAACACGTGAACCGAGTCGGAACCGTTTCTAGATATAAAAGGGATAGGGACAGAAGGGACCCCTCCTCATCTTTTTTGTATCTTTCGTTAGACCTATAGGATATCAATTAGTATACCCTCCGACTCGCACTCCCATATGCTTCTACCGTGAGAGCTGGTGCCCTGTGTCCTTACAGATATTCGAAATAGCATCTTCGCATACACTGGATAATAGCCAGGTATAACACAAGATGCTGTGTTCAAAAGTTCGCAATGTTTTGCGTAGGAGGGAGGTAGCGCCAATGCTTCTTATTGTGGGGCTGAAGTGGTGCGTAAAGTGGATTATAGCATCCTGATCCTATTCCTCGTGCGGAACAGGCGGTATCTTCGCCATTTAGAGAATCAGCAATACCAGAGTTAGGAGCAGGTATTAGAGGCCAACTGTACCGTAGGAGGCATGGTACCTGTTGGAGAGAAATGGGGAATACGGCGTTCCACACCCAAAAACGGGTGATAATATCCTAAGATCCCACAGTGCAGACGGTGCCAGGGAGTATCACAAGTAAATACAGTATATAGAACATATAAAATTGATTGAATTATCTGCCTATCTTACTGGGCTACGTGGCTATATACCTGATTCCTAGGGGGTGGCCAAATCCCTGAGTTTTGACCTGTCTCACATCAACTGGTCAGCTGAATCGATGGGCCAATGGGATGTGCCTGGGAAACGCCCATATCCAGGGCTATTTCTTGGCAAATCCCGCATCATCCCTAGAATCTCCAACAGTACCGTAGGAGGCTCAAGCCAAGCAGCGTCTCTACGATTTATGAAGGTGTACCATCTCGCTCAGTTACCCGACAGCTATGCTCTGCGAGTCTAGCCTTGGCGGCTCAAGGCCACCCAGAAAGTTATAGAAATTTTGGAGGGTTTAGAGGTTCATGGAATTCAAGGGGTTCGAGTTCGATCAGACGACACCCTGACCCCTTTGAATGGAAAATAGTCTTTGAAAAGTATGCCGAACTTGGCTGGGATTATTTCCGAGAAGTTCAGACTGCAAACGCAGTCCGCAATCAGCTGCGGTGGGCCATGTCGCTTCCACGACCATAGGGATATACACCATGCCGGAAGTTCAGCTAGTACGTGCCCATACCTGTATCTCACGCCAGGGATGACCTTACGCACTGAATCAAAGTGTCATAGTGATTGCGAGGTTCTGCTTGGAGAAGAGGAGCCTGTGGAAGAGGCATATTTTGACTAATTTTCACCATCTCCCCCTCCACCACCACAGCAACAGGGGGCGCGAAATCTACTACCTTCACCCACCTCCTCCCACGCCAAGACAGCGAACACCCACCCTCTCCCTCGTGAGCACCATCCAGCTCTTCGCTCTGTACAGTATAGATCCGCTTCCCAACCTTCAACTACACGCCCTGCCATACGCCCTCCAAATTCATCACGTCTGGCATCTGGACAGTCCACTCCTCCCTTGACGACAAACCATGCATGGGCGACTGCAGCACGGGCCTTCCTGGCCTTGCGCATTGGGGGCCCCTATCTACATGCGTTTGGGTCAGGATGGGTTGCTTCAGCCCATTACGTTCCAGCAGGGGTAATTGGAGAGGATCAAATGTCAGACACTACCATTGATCCGAAGGAATTTACCTTTGATCAAGAAGTCCTCATGGCTCCAGCGTACAGGAGGATTCAAATATCGCCATCTAGGGCGAGAGGAGTTGTTCCTCCATCGTTGTTTAACTCTGCCCGGAATGTGCACGAGGGAGCTGAGTCTCATATCACTTCCTTCGTGGGACCAGCGCGACCAGCGCGACCAGCGCGACCGGCTTCTCTATCTACGATAGGTTTCTCCTATGCGTATGAACCAAGGTGAGAAGAGGTGCAAATTGCAGAATTAGAGGCTGAACCCAGACGATCGAGCGATACTGCCGGATTTAGATTTGGATTTGAACTAAACTTAACGGCTAGATCATCTACTGAATCTCTTCTGCAACCCCCCCTGTTGGGCTGTCCGTTGCTTTACCAGTTGTCACAGATGACAGACTTTGGACTAGGGTCCTTTATGTAGTCGCCAGCCTAGACGAATTCAGCACCGAGCGAACTAAAACAGAGGGGGGCTACCCTTATCTCACATATGGAGATGGCGAAGTTCGTAACTGTTTTACTATATTAAGATTTGCCAGCTAATGATTTCGCAGCTCTTTGACGTGGTTGCTGAAAAGGGCGAGCTGTGGCTCGCAAGGAATCAAGGTGACCTAGCTGAAGTTATTGGTTGGATTTGGAACCAACATTTTGCTAGGTTGGTAGAACAGGATGACCTGGGGGAACACCATGAGCCGGTGGAACAGCATGATACTGTTAGCCTGAGCTCTAGATTGATACCAGCTCGGCCGCCTCGACCTACCGGACCAATCCTTCAGAACACGGTTGACCTGATTTCTGGGTTGGCATCGGCTCGACCCAACGGCTTAATCCTTTCTCCGGTTCGTGATTCAGACCCCACAGACGTGTCTAATAAAGTCACATTAGGAGACTTCATTTTGAAGCGTGCCATTGAGCTCGGTGCTAGTCCTCTAGATGCCCTTACGGATATCATGAGTTATTCTAAAAACCAGTATTCGCTACATTTCTCGCCTACAGAGATAAATATATCTAGCATCCAGATCACTACTCTCGCGGACGATGTAGTACGAGCAGTTCAGGATATTATCGAATCGTGAGTCTATTAATCTTAGGTGGATCAAGTTGGTGTAAAATTGCTAGCTGTTTCTGGAATTCTAGGCTGTCTCCTAATGATAATAACATTAGTACGCTTCCGAAGTCGTTTTCCATGTGTTTCAACCTGTGATATCTGAACTTGAAATCTAATTGCTTTACGAAATTTCCAATTGAAGTATATTTCAGACATACTGAATATTCACAGATTTATCCGTTAACATATTTTTAGATCTGTTCTATTCGATCCTTAAAGATATTACATATAGCACAAAACGCTATTTCAATTCTGCCAGAAGAAGTCTTAGATCTCTGCAACCTTGAAGTTGAGAAGTGGGAATGTTACCGTAAGTAGCGGTAGCAATGAACAACGTGATAGTCACGGGCCGAGCAGAGAAGACTAAGACGACTGATTTGTGGCATCGTTCCGGCTGGTCAAACGTGCTCAAGTACGTGTAGTGGCTATCACTTTTCCTTTACAAAGTCATCAGACGCGGAAAAGGACGCAGGTACCTGAGAGTCTTAGGGAATTTATGCTTGACATTTAATAAGGACCTTACGCAGCGCTCGAGCAGCGGTTCAGAAATCTATAGCGAGAAATCAAGTTGTAGGGACCCTAAGTTGTACATATAGAGTAAATTAAGGTTATGGTCTATTTCTTCGGCCTCCGTCTACATTGCCCTTATTCCACAAGGTTATCGTAATTAGTACAAAGCAATGTATCTCAGATGTCTGTCTGCGCTGTGATGAACGAGTCTATGACCTCGCTCAACTGTAATGCCATCTTACGTCCTCCTTCTGCACTTGGTTCTACTCTAGCCACGTAATCAGCTTCGCATTTCCCATCCAGAGACTCAAAAAGAGCACACGGAACCACGAGCACTCCCGGAATCTGGATCTGCTTTGTTGCGAGCTCGTACATTATCCTGATAGCAGTCTGTAGTTGGCCAGGAAATCGGTTATATCCCATCAACTTTAGTGGCAGGTCTGCCCAGCTCTCCTGTTTAGATGCATTCGCTTCGAGGGGGTAATATATCATGCAGACAATAACAACTCGAGGTTTGTTCTTCTCAACTAGCCTGGAAACATACGATTCAACTTCAGATTTAAACATCCTCACAAAGTGGCCGAGACACCACGCCGTTCCTTTCTGGAGAGAACTGCGGGGAGTCAACCAGGCAAGCTGTAGCATGTGGCGTATGGTTGAAAATGTCGGCTTCATCGCAATGTCATTGGATCCGACAGAGACAATGAGGATATCGTTAGCGCGGATATTGTCTCTGATGAACTGGTCATGATCCAGGAGGCAATTGTCCCGTTCCCGCAACGTAGACGCCTCGACAGCCAAGTTGAGCGCAGTGGCACGGTCGCCTAGCAAGTGATTTAGCCAGAAGGCAACATCAGGCTTTGGATGAGGTCGATCAAGGGTAGAGCGATATATTTCAGGTACATCCACAAGCAGAGGTATACTCCTAGGGCTACTTGATGGCACCCAATATTTGTTATCGAGAGAAGAGTCACCGGCCAGATATACGATAGGTTTGCTTGGCCTTAGTGACAGCGTAGTTGAACGGAATGCCGAAACATCAGGAATGGCATGGCCTTTGAACTCGAAGTAGAACCGCGAGGTATTTATTTTCTGGTTCATTTTGCGCTGCAGATTCTGCCTAGCATGCTGCTATGAGAAGACAAGGGAGTCTCAAAGATTATGTTACAACATGACGCTGAGACGAGTCCGTCATTTATGTTGGGGGAAACGACTTTCCCGAGAAGATACGGTAGACTTTTACACCCAAAATGACAGGTTTACTCTAGGGGATTATCCTCCAGTTCCCCGGTTTCTGGCTAGTGGCGCTAGCCTAATGTCTCAGTTTCTTCTTGGGCTGTAGAGGCCCTAGGCCTACAAATAGCGTACATAGATCCGCAGATTAGTGAGCAATTCAATTGATTATGTTATTCTATTTTCTGTATTCTATTTTCTGTGTCCTGCTGTGAAGCTTCTCCTCCGTTGCCCCAAGGAATCGATTACGGAGACCGGAGATTCTCACACGATTTTGTGTGTGGTTCCCCGTACTCCCCATGTACTCCCAACAGTTTGTTGCCTAAATATGACATGGTAAAGCGAATGTTGATCCTATGGCACTGAAAATACCAGCATTAAACGAACTTCATCGTCGTGAAAATATAACGACGGGAACAAAGAGCTCTAGGGCTAGTAAAGCAATGTTTACACGTGAAAACAAGCAGTCATACCGCCTTCTCATTTTCTAACTTCGGATTAAGGATCGACAGCTCCTTCGACTTGGCATTTCTATTGTTAGGCATGGACCCCAAATCCCAACGCCATAATAACTGACACCAGCCCAGCAAACCACACTGGTAGTAACAGCACTTGCACAATTGCCCAATTCCCTGTCTTGTCAGATATGTGGCGTCTGTCATCTAATTTTGGATAATCATTGACGAAACCGGGGTCCAAAACACTGTGCATTAGTTGGATGGAAGGCTCCTTCAATTCAATGCTGACATCCCGTTTGGTTTTGGGGGCCGTTTTCGGTATCCTTGCGGTTAGTGAATTTCCTTCCACTCACAGCCTTGTACGTTTACTATGGTTCTATTTGCGATACTCGTACAGGGAGTATTATAGGGTGGTGCCTTGGGGGCTGAAAGAGTCAAGCGTTTTGATGGGCCTGCCAAGTCGGTTATACCATCGGCGTAATTAGTGTTGAAACAGCATATGGTTGATGAGATCCGACGAGCACCGCGGTTGATAGATGCGTTGGTGACATATAATGTTATTGAAATTCCCTAAAATGCCTTCTCAATTGATCTGTGTGACGCGGGCATACACTACAAGAAATCTTGAACTCCAAACATGAAGCTCTCTTCTCATCTTCTTGCCGCATGGGCGGCTGCCACCGCAACTGCATTGGCGCCTGTTCGTATGTACTCCTCGTGTCTGCTACTGGTTTTTGGCAAATATGCTGTAGTGGCGTCTTATTTTACGTACTGATTTATGGGCGAATAGCGAAAGAATGCGGCAATGGCGTACTGTATCCGAACACCACCATGGACCTACCTGCAATGGTTAACTGCACACGCCACACAGCCTATCAGTGCCTTGACCAATACAATCTACGGAATGATGAATTTCTGACAGCTAATGCCACGGATAACGGTACTATTTCTCTCAAATGCGAGGAGTCATTTTACGACTTTAAAGTCGCCGATAATGGTGGATTCGATGGGTCGCTCGTGGTCCCAGGCCCTGTCAAGCTCAAGTCGGTTTCTATTCAGGGGCAATTGAATCGAGAGGTCGACCCTACGAATCTCATTACGATCGACTTCCCGGACATAGTTAATATTACAGGGCAGCTTAACATCCAAAATGCGGACAAATTGTCAAGCCTTAAGATGCCGAAGCTCGAAATTGTCCTTGGATCTCTCCACATAGACCTCTCGGGAGGACCAGGCATCAACCTAACATTTCCAAGCTTGTATTCTGTTGGACCAGGACTGTTCATAAAGGGAAACGTTACTGGGTAGGCACTACTGAAACCCCATGCGCACGATATCGAAGCTAACTCCTTTGCAGCCTCGAATTTCCAGTCTTAAGCCGGGCGAATTTCATCACCGTAGAATCAACTGGGAAGCTGGATTGCACAGCATTTGTTGCGAATGTTGTGAATGCGACGGATCCGTTTGTCTCGTCGGACAGTCGAAAAGAGGCGGTAATATGCAAGTCGGATACAGGGTCTGCCAGTATGAGCCTACCGAGTGACTCTGATAGTGGCGGCGGACCCAGTTTCCGTGCGAATATATTGCTGCTAGCAATCTTTGTTAGCTGTGCGAGCTTGTTTGTTTAGTTGCGAGGAAAAGACCGGTAAGCATTTTCAGTCTCACAAGAGCGTTGTATATAATTTTGGCTATGAATGATACCTTGATTCTCCATGTTGTCAAAAGTATTGGCTGCATATGTAAAGTTTCACGTGGCACATAGAAATAAGGATAACTAATATTAGCTGCCTTATCATCAGAACCCCTTACCCCTCCACTATAACAGAACCTAAGTGCGCTTGAAGCAAGCGTTAACGAGGGAAGTGTCCGTCCAAGTATTCCCATTCTGCGTCGGCACGAGGTTTAACTCGTAGTTCCAGCTTGGCTGCCACGCTCCCGCGGCCCAAGCAACCCACCCCAAGTACACGTCAGAATTTGCGTTCAGAGCCGCTATTTCCTGGCACACATAATTGATGCAACTCTGTGTATTCCCGCCGCCTGTCTCAGTAACCATAGCTTGTCGCCCTGCGCTACGAAGGGATGATGCGAGGTTGTTGAATACGTCGACGTTGCCAGTCACGCAATCCGTGTGCGTGCCAGAGCCGTCGCTATCAAGGTACTTGTGGACATCGAAGATCAGGTTAGTGGTGCTACCGTCAAGGTTCTTGACAGTTTTAAGAGCGGCGAGTGAGCCGTCTGATACGAAAGATGCGGCACCAGTCCAACCGTTGCCAGGGAGGAGAATCATTTGTGAAGTGGCACCGGCTTTACGGATGGCGGTTACGCAGGCTTGGACAGTGGCAGCCCAGGTGGTTATGCTTGGGACTTGATTCTGTTAGCTTTCTTGATTTGGGGATTGGGGTTCGGGGGTAAGTTACTATCGTGCGGTTCATTCATGACACCAAATATAATTTGGGATTTAGAAGCGTACTTTGATGCAAGTTGCGACCAGGTATTTGCGAGTTGGTCATTGGTAGGTCCACCTTGGCCGACAATGGCGCCGTTCCAGCGTGCATCTATTTAGTTAGAAAATGCTCCAAAGTCTCTCTGATAATATAAAAATAGTTACTCACAGTTATGGATCTATAGAAGTTATCTCGTAAGCATTTCGTTCATAGAATTTACAAATTAAATGGGGGAGGGAGGAGGTAGAACTAACATCAATGATACAAGCAGCACCAGTGGCCAGACATGCTTGGACAAGATTATCATACTTGGCAAAGTTGCCAGAGTTTAGTTGGTCACCAGGGTTGTTGACAAGGAACTGCCAGCCAACTGGCAAGCGAAAGATATTCATCTTGTCATCGTTGACGAAGTGTGACATTTGCGCGCTAGGTGAAGGTATCAGTAAAGAGCCTGCGTGAGAAATGAGGACCAGTTATACGTACTTTGGGGGCGTTAGAATCTGAGATGCGTCTTGTGTTCCCTGCGTGACGCCTTGTTAACCAATTCATAGGATGACGAGCGGGGAAAACACGAACAGTAGTGGCCATCCCAAAGTCAAAGCCTGCCATATTCACACCCGCTACTTTCCATTAGTTCCTGATCTTGATAGAACTAATGGTGAGGAATACACACCATACTTTGTTTTGCCAGACCCTCCTCCAGTACCGCCTGTCGGGGTCGGAGTTGAAGATGTCTGAGTGTCTACATTGAGGAATCCTTGTTAAAATCATTGTCAAATAGTTAAGGGCGGTAATACATACTTGTACCAGGAAGACATTGCGAGTACCAATCGTTTGAATACGTGCAGGTATACCCTGAGACACAGCTTTTTGACCCCGTCCAACCCTGACCTCCGCCTATTTGAGAATAATTAGTATTAATATTCAGACTTTAGATAAGGGGCGAGAGAAGGCAAAGGGGAACCGACACTGAGAATATGCAGCACCCTGAGCCGAGACAGTCTTTCCAAGTAGCATGGCACAGCCGACAATAGCATATAGAACCGCCATTTTGGTTGTGAGTAGTTTGGTGTGTAGTTATCAAAATATGCTTATCCTCGACCTAATGATCGCTTGGATATCATTGCGGATGAGTGAGCTTTATATTCCCACACACGCGAGCACATCAAAATATCGAACGGAACCCCTCACCCAACCCCTCACTAGACAATGTAAGATATACGAAGAATTAAATTATTTACTTCAAGAAACAGTGCTTAAGAAACTGAGACAAATGCCGGAAATATTTACCGAGGTTTGAAGCGGGGACAAATCCCAAACATTTAATTTGGTAATCGCGCACCGTCGGTTGATTCGGATTACTATCCCGATTCTCGACGTCGAAGTTGGAATCGGGATAAAATAAAGTTCGGATAAAGTGCATGCGGGACGGGAAGGCAGAATGCACGCTTGTGATCATGGGAATCCGTATATTTGGTGCTTACAGGATAATTGATAATGCGAGAAAACGCCCAGGCAATAAATTAGCGGCCCATATATCCAACGAGCCGCATCTAATCGGCCCGCGTTCTTGTAAGAAGTGAGAAAGTGAAAATGAGGCTTGTGGAAAGGGGTGCTTTGGAAGCTAAAAATGTCGATATCCCGAACTTCTCGAATCCTTTCTTGATTGCTAAAAAGCGGGGGGTGGATAAAGGCCTCTGAAAGCAATGAGGCTTCCTTGTCTTTATTTGAAGCGCGACGAGGGAATAGGGTAAGATATCAGGGAGATAATCTCCCAAGCCCTTAGAGCGATGGTGTATACGAGGTTTGTGTGTCTGACGCTCACGATCCAGATCATAACCTCGTTGTTTGTATAGAACTATCGATTTCAACTACTATTGTATATACACCTTATACTTTGATCGCAATTTTTCCCACTGTATTCTGCTGTCTCATCTGTTCAAATGCTTGTGGCGCGTCTTCCCAGTTATACACCTTCCCCAAATAAGGATGTATGTCATGCTCCTCTGTCAAGGCCACGACCCGTGATAGCATAGCTTTACTATATACCAGAATGCCTTTCACTATATCAGTTAGCGAAGATCCCCAATTTCCTAGATCAAGATCTTACACGTCTTCGCCTCGGTAATAAGGGACATCAAAATATCCACTGGCTTTGGGGCAGTCAAGAATCCAACTAGACAAGCCGTGCCTCCCTGTCTCAGTGCCTTCACGGACTGTTCTAGTGTCCCGGACCCGCCTACATCGCAAACTAAATCGACGCCTTTACCATGTGTGAGTCGGAGTACCTCCTCGGCCCAATCTGGCGTTGTCTTGTAGTTGATCAGCTCCGAGGCACCCAGCTTCTTCGCAATCTGTAACTTTTCGTCTGTCGAGGAGGTGGCGATGACTCGCGCTCCAAGGGCAGCTGCGTACTTCCCATTTATCAGTATAGTGACACTGTAACAAAACCCCACTACTCACCTGAATAACAGCACAACTCACACCACCCGTACCTTGCGTCACGACTGTCGTTCTCTTTCCAACGCTTACAGACTGCAGGACATTCATCGCCGTCCCAGCTGCTCCAGGCAAAGCCGCCGCCTCCTCAAAAGACAAATTCTTCGGCGCACGAATAACCCACGGATCTTGCACAACCATGTACTGAGTTAAAGTTCCATTCGAAGTTCCCGAGCCCAGATTATTTTCCATGGAAACAACATCGACGTCGCCATCGATCCAATCTCGGTTCATCAAGACGATCACTGCATCGCCGATGCTGTCTGTCCATTTGCTGCCCGGGCCAACACTAACGATCTCCCCAGCGCCATCGCTGCATGGAATTAGCCCTGGGGGCGTTCTGGTCGGATAGAGAGGGGAGTCGGCAAGACAGAGGAGGTCGCGGAAGTTCAGGCTGACGGCACGAATGCGGATGAGGACTGAGTTGGGACCAGGAGAGGGGATGGGGGATTCCTTGATGGATAGGTTGCTGAGCAAGTTGGGCGATAGATGGGAGTGCAAAGGGTCGATTATGTTGATCTGGTAGGATAGGGACATTTTGGAAGTTGGTGGTGGTTTCTTAGAAGCTGATTATCGAGGCTGTTGGGGCGAGGTGGTGGTTGATACACAGGTGGAACTGTGCCCTATTTAAGTATTTCCATCTTCCAAGCATCCCACACTGGCTCAGTAATCATAATACTCTCCAACCTGAATCGATTATTGAAGTACTTCAAATTTGATGTGAGTCCTCCTGTATTGTCTAAAATAAGATGGAGGTAGCGGAGTTCCCCTATAGGACACTGCGGAAGTCCGCACGCTAACTATAACCCATGCACTGTGCTAAAACTACCCCAACTGACGCTATAGGCGTAATGTTAAGCTAGTTGAAGTTATATTTATTAGTTACTGTAAGAGACACGGTCCATGGATAATGCATATCTATAGTTTGAGATTATATAGTAATTAGAATGCTCCTAACAACTATAAATAGGTATATTGTTACAAAGGCATAAGAGGTGGCCGTCTAACATTGTGCTTACAAGCACCCAACAATATTGATTCGTAGGTGCCTGCATAAAGAGCTTGCCCTCCATTCCACTGTGTTAGAAAGTCTTGGTATGTGATCAATTCCCCTCCCAAACCAAAGGTAGTCTCCCACCAGGTGTCCTCTGTGGCATCCCACGGTGCGCCATTCACAGACACCGGTAAAGTTGTCATTTGGGGAACACTCGTGCAGAATCCGTCTTTGAGTATTGAATATATTGCCTGTACCATGATGGCCATTGTGACTGTACGCCTCGCACTCTCGATAAAAATCCAGCGCTGATAGGGGGATTCGGAGTCGGATTGATTGTAATATATATTACTCGTCGAATGTAGCTGGGATGCCCAGGTCTCGAGTATTCCGAATTGCGCCTCTGCGTTAGCCCGTTGACGAATATTACCATCAAAGAGGCGAATGATTTGATAGATAATCATTGCTTGAACACCGAGTAGGTAGTCCTTCGTTGACCACATCGAAGACTTTGACGATCTAACGAGACTAGCAATTCGGCTATCCAGCATTGAGAAGGTGATAGACTGGTTTTGGGGCGTTTTTTGGTAGTACATGGCGCTGATTCCGAGGAGGTCTTGGTAGGCAACTGGTGGCCTATCGAGATACGAATCGTGGTGGATGAAAGGTGCTCGGTTTTGGTGTACTAGCTGTAATATGATATCTTTAAATTGCAAAATGCAGAAATCTACTTGCTCCTGCCTAATGGTCGCACGCTCTGGGTATGGGAAAGAATTGATATAAAATAGGTCATATTTAGTCGAGATGTCGATTTCAAGGGCATCATATACTGGTAGGCGCATCAGCACAGTGTCCTGAACTGATTGCTCATTGGTACGTGGAGATGCCCAAGTTAAGCTTTGATCTATGCTCTGATCTCTAGATCCGGCAGTAGATTTAGGGGGTATAGCCTGCATCTATTAGACCCATAGCAGTTAAAGCAACTACAATAGACTTACGTATTCACAATCAAAGCCTCGATCCATGCATCTGCTACATCGCGGAAATCTCAGATCACATCTCCTCTTCGCCTGAGCACAGGTAACACACGCTTTGCGACGGGTGGAGCTCTGGTGGACAAACATTTTAATGCATTTAATCGTGAAGCTTGTTTCTCTTCCATGAAGCCCGACTTTACATTCTCCGTGTGCGATGGGATGACGTTGGGATGCTGACCAAGAGAGTTTCGTTAGCGGAGCGGAGTTCCGCCTAGCGAAGCGGAGTTTCCACCCAGCGTCGTGGAGTTGCTGACATCCCCCTCGCTCTCACTTGGCCTTCGGGCTAGTGTAGGATAGCACGAGCTCATGCTTGCATACATGTGTTTATTTCAAGATTAAAATATACATAGAAACTATATAGAGCTTGCTAATCGTAAGTAATAAAAATACGCATTTAAAATTTATAGACCCCGATACATCCTCTTTCCAATTTAGGCCGTAACCTGTTTATCGTAGGCGTCGGTTACTCAAACTTCCACCAATTGAAGTTAAACAAATAACCGCTACCACCAGTAAAGCGAAAGAACAAATCCTGCTTCCCCGTTGCGCCGCTGACAGGACAGGTCACAGTAGTCCACGTCTGCCAGCCCCCAGTGTCGGACACTGTACAGGTTCCGACGAGCGTGCCACTCACACTGCCTAGGCGCAGCTCGATCTTACCACCACTAGTCGCGGAGGCGACGCGGGTTATGAAAGTCTTTGCGCCGTTGCGGAAGTCGACGCCTTTAACCTTGATATAGGCCCCGTTGTTGATGTATGATACGTCGATGCCGCCCTCGCTGCAGGTTTCGGTCTGCACGCCCGACGACCACGCTATCGTCTCAGCCTCCTGTCTCACGTATGGATCAAGGCTGCCGATTTGTGGTACGCCCTGTGTCGTCATTTGTATAGTTGGGATGGTACCATCGGAATTATAATTGAAGCGCTCGACAGCCACAGAACGGCTGTAGCCGCCACCGCCTGGCAGGGCGCCGTTGTGGTAGAAGAAATACGAATTATTGTTGAAGTCGATGATTCCAGGGTGGTTTGTGAAGCTACTGCCTTGGGTTGGCATTATAACGCCGCGATAAGTCCAGGGGCCGGTGGCGCTGGTACCGGTGGAGTAGCGGATATCCTCAGAGCAGCAGTTGGCTGCGTAGATCAGGTAGTAAATGCCATTGCGCTTATAAACCCACGGAGCCTCTTCAAATGTAGTCGGGCGCTGGGCGTTGCCAGAGCGGGCGCCGAATCCTTGTACTGTGAGAGGTATTTGCGTGGGACCGCTGCCACTGAAGGAGATCATATCTTGGTTCAACTTCACATACCATAGGTCCGGATTGCCCCAGTACAAGTAGGCCTGCCCATCATCGTCGATGAAAACTGTTGGATCGATCTCGTTGTTCTGAACTAGCGGGTGTCCTAACGCATCGATGAATGGGCCGGTGATGCTGTCACTCACGCCTACGCCGATGGCCATGGCGCCGGAATTGTGGCGTACTGGGACGTAGAAGTAGAATTTCCCGTTGCGAGGGATGACTTGGCCAGCCCAGGCGTTGGCGGTGGCCCAGCTGAAAGTTGTTAGGCTGGCCGGCGAGCCATGGTCCTGCCAGTTCACCATGTCTGCGGACGAGTAAAGGTGCCAGTCAATCATATTGAATGTCGTGGACCCATTCTCATCATGGCCGGTATAGACGTAGACGCGGCCATTGTATACTAGTGGTGCGGGATCCGTTGTATAAATGGTCTGAACAATCGGGTTGTCAGCTCTGGCAAGTCCAATACCGTTTAGAAGAGTGCTGAGGAACAGCAGCCCTTTGAACATGGCAATCATATTATTCGGCATCCGGCAAAGTTTGGAGCCTCTCATAATGATGAGTCGCTAAGTTTGGAGGCGGCACGTAGTCTACAGCTGTTGTCGAGTGGCAGTAAAGATGTTGCTTCGCTATACCGATTGTGAGTAGATCTAGTTATTATTCTAGGGCAAAATCTACTCTATTTAAGCTATCATACGGCTACTCAGAAATACGAAAATCAAAATCCATAGAGTGGCGCAAGATATCAGGCCGCCAAAATACCGAGAGTATAGTATGATGTTCTTGGAAATCAATTGCCGATTGATCAATATCCCAAAAATATCGTAATAAACTTGGAAGCTACTAATTGCGGGGCACCCCAGATCTCGAGCATGCGGGGTATACAGATAGACATCTCGCAAAGGATTCTCACTGGAGAGCAATCGTTCTATAATCCTGTGAGAAACTGAGAAGCATTTCTTTGCATCCATGCATCTCGCGTAGAGTCCGGTGGGGTGATAACTTTAACCGGAGAACCCATGCAAACTAGACATGTCAAGATCAGCAGTGGGCCAACTCTAAACCCCCTCTTTATAAGAGCCGGACCAGAAAGCCGAGGTAGTAAGCCTACAAACCCTTCTAGACGGCCATCTAGAACTATGTCTCGTACGTACCGAGCCCTAACACGGCATACAAGCCGATCTAGCGTGAGCCGCTCACAAAGCTTCCTGCTGGGTCTGAGATTAAATGATAACTTAGCCTAAGAAAATGACTAAATGGTTATTGGAATGGATATAGGCTAAATCGGTCGAGTATAACGTCTCACCAAGAGATATCGTATCGTTTATGATGATGTGATGGATGGATGATTGGAGGAGTGAGAAAATCAGTTGGTTATGTGGTTTACGGGTTTAGAGACGGATATCACAAACCAACGACGCTCGAAATTGTTAGGGGCTTGCCAGCTCCTTCCCACCACAGAATGTCGTTTTGTCGCCAGTACAGGTAATATTGCAGTCTCCCTGATTCTTTCCTAATTCACTATTAATATACTCGCTGTACCGACACTGGTTACCGCCCTCCACACCCGCATAGTAATAAGACTTGAGATAACAGGTATTCCTGCATCCCGGAATAGTCAAAGCCGTGTCTCCGCCTTCAGGGCTCACGTTCTTGTCAATGACGGGGTAATAGCCGCCCTCTTCAAAACAATCCATGATAGTCCGGGCGGTAGGAGAAGGTGCCGGAGTGGACGGGCCAGTCGTGGCGGTGGCGCCGGTTTTTGCAGAGCCTGAAGCTGTTGCCAGATATTCGTCGTATCTCTCTTGGCTAAGGATGCAGTAGGAATGATATTCCCACGGCTTGCAGTCGAGACCAACGGAGGGGTTCCATTTGTGGAACATTTCGGGAGTGATATTGTAGTAGTCTCGTACTTCTTCACATGTTTGTTCGAAGCCGTTGTTGTGCCACTCAATGCAATCCGGAGTTGTGTTTGGGTCGTATCCAAGTCCTGGTCCGTCACAGGTGCTCTGGTGGACGAGCGCCGCGACGGATAGTAATAGGGAGATCTTCATGACAGGAGCTGAGTTGCTGACGAAGCGGATGAAGAATGGAGGAAAGGAAAATTGACAATGGGAATTGGAGAGGATACAATACCTGTTAAAGTTCACAGGGGTGAGGACATGGAGAAGCTTTCCTTGGTGCAAAGACAAACTATAATGTTATTTTATCCAATTGCGGTCATAACCCTGAGTCATCTCGATACCACAGCGAAGTTATTTCGAGATGTTCGCCAGGGATGTTGGTTTTTGATCTATTATCCCCATATATGGTAGTTGCTGGTTGATCTGACCCGCTCGCCTGTAGTACCCTCTAATGGCGTCCTTGTCACATGCGTAGATTCAAGCTAACCTTCAGAAAAGCGTGTTGGATATCAACGTCGAAACAATAAGTAGCACATTTCTTGGCACATTTCTTGGCACATTTCTGGCACATTTTTGGTGGTGAACCGTGCCATTTTTTTATTCAACCGCGTAAGTGCTAACCTCAGTCACGAGCTAACAAGACGCTGTAGAATGTATGTGTGTAGGATACTCTAGGAGTAATGACAGTGCCTACTCCTCCGAGAGTCGCAATATTCTAGGCAATGACGATCTCAAAGAGTGTACTGGAATCCTGCCTGTTGTAGATATTAGAATTTGGACCTTTTTCAGATAGAGGTTTTTGTAACTTACCGTCTTCTCAATAATAATCTCCCCACGCCTCTGTTTCTTGTTTTGATTGCTAAAGAATGTTGATAAGCCAATAACGATGAGAATCATCAACCCGTTACAACTAACGAGACGTCAGTCTTAACATTCCCTAAATAATTAATGGAAATGCATAGTGAACTTACGCTAAACAGGCATATATGCCCGGACGGTAAAGAGGATAATCCTGTGATCTGAATACCAAAGAACCCGCAATACCACCAACGCCTCCCATTCCAACTAGGAGAGCAGAGCCCATAGCTCTTCTAGTCTGGCCCACAATATTATTGGCTTGATATGCCATAATTGCCGGAATGTTGGAGTTGGCTCCAGAGACAGTTAAGAATACACCAAAGTACCTCACACCGGTAGTTTTTGTAAAGCCAATTAAGGCCAGCCCAATGATAGTGAGAATAGAACAGGCGATGATGCCAGGGCCTCGAACCTTATATTTATCACCAAACCATGCTGTTCCGAGCATTAGGAACGCTGCTGCAAAATAAGGTGGAGCCGTGAGATATTGAGATTCGGCGCTGTTAAATCCCATTGATCCAAGGCTGCATCATAACTCGTTAACGTCCAGGACACAAATTCTTTAGCAAAGGAATACTTACATTGCTGGAAGGAAAAAGGCAACGGCATATGGAGTTGTGAGCACACAGCTATATCCTGGTTAGTAATGCGTGGAAGCGAATGCAGCATTGCTTACAAGAATAACATTCCGAATAACCAGAGCCTGACGTCCAACGCTTCTCTACAATAACGGCCAAGGTTGAACTTATCTGGAGTTACATCGTTACGATCGTTGTTGATTTGTTGGACAACCCATGATGCTTCTCTCTCTGACAAAAAGTTCCAAGACTGTGCAGCTTTTTCAGGAAACTCCACAATTAAAAGAAACCCTTGAGTTGCAATGAGACAAGTGATCTGAGTTATCTAATCAGTTTTCAATTAATAGCAAGCGAGATAGTCAACTTACGATGCCTTCCATAATGAAAATCCATCGCCAGCCTGCAATTCCAGCCACCCCATCCATTCGCGAAAACTAGAAGTAGTTAGACCAATTTGTGGCAAAATCTAAGGTACGGATGTGCTAACGGCGTAGGATAGAATTCCTCCAAGAGCGGAAGACATAGAGCCAATGAGGTAGAAGAACGAGAATCGCTTGTGGACGTCGTCTAAGCGCGAAATATTAGCCAGAGTCGCAAGTTCATGCCGGTGATACTTACATCGAGAATACCAAGTACTTAGTAAATAAACACTTCCTGGGAAGAAGCCAGCCTGTCAAGATTAATTTAAATTTCCATTAACGAAATATGTTTCGGGAGGCACTCACTTCTAATACCCCAAGCAGAATACGAATGCCGAATAATTCGTGCCAATTATTGACGAATCCACTACCTATCATGAGAATCCCCCATGTCATGCAGATTCCAGAAATGAAAAGCCTTGGTCCAACTATTCGGATGAGGATGGTTGATGGAAACTCGAATATGATGTAAGGCACAAAAAAGATGAGGGCGATCAAACTCTAATAAACATTAGCTGTATTTATTTATCACAAGATTGAGTAATCATACGTATCTATTTCCCACAGAGAGTTCTAAGTCCTTTTTCATGCTTTAAATTGATAAGTATAATCTCATAGAATTCAATTAGATAAGAACACTCACCCCGCTGAATTAGCAAGTGCGAAATTTCCCCGATCGAGGAGACTGATGCAATACACGAGGCCAACAACAGGGAGCAAACGCCTGTCGATCTTCCAAATAATTTTCTTAGCTTCTTCGGGAGATACGACAATCAACTCTCTGTCTTCTAATATTGTTTTTTCAAGCTGTGAGCTCTCAATGTGAGCTACCTCTAGCTCCTTGCTGAGTTTCGCATCGTGGCTCATAGCTTCTGGCAAAGTACTTTAGAAACGGATGTCGACAAACTAATTACTTAGGTGATCTATTATCTCGAATATTCCACAGGAAGGAACATTCGTGCTTTAAATACGACCTTTTATACATGTTATGTCATTCAAAAGCAATAGCCGAAGTGCCCTCGGCATTAATATGTGAATGTAAGTTCAAATTCTGAATTGTCTAGTTGTACGCCACATTATTCCCCGCATTTGGCGCCCAATTACTAGGACGCTAATGACACCTTTTATACAAGCTATATTTTAAAAAACAAGAGCTTAGTGGTTTCTGGTTTTAGCACGTTGCTCCTTAGGCAATATACACTCGTTGAAGCCTTTCTTGATATATCAGTTGGTTAACTGGTCCTGTGAATTATACGACGACCGCCCAACTAAGAGCTTCTAACCCATCACTTATACCAATTCGGCATGCATTATAATAATGACCTTTTCAACTTTACGCGCCGCGACATATCCGCTTTAATGTCAATGAGCTGGCCCTGGTCTAGATTCATCTGTCATAGCTAGGGATATGGATAACCAGTCGTTGATGCAACTGGTATGGGAATAATGGAATTAGCGTTATTCCCGGCGCATACGTGCGTGCGGGGAAGTGGGGTCTGAGGACCATAAATATAACCCAGCGGCTGCGCTAAGCTGCTAACCCTAGTGAATAATGAACTTGGCACATTTTCGACACCAATCAGTTAATTCTATTCTGTTATATTTGTGCCGAGCCAAGTTCTCCACTAGACGCTAACTAGGTAACGGTGACACGGAAGGCCAAAACCTCGAAATATCGCAACCAGATGACAGGCTAAACGAGTTATCGAAAAGGAATGACGCTGGAAAAGGAATGACCCTAGCAGCAGGGACTTATAGGACGAAAGGAACCTAAGGTAGGTATCCTACCTTAGGTTAGGTTCCTTTCGTCCTAAGGCAGGATAACTACCTTAGGTTCCTTTCATCCTATAGTTAGTTCTTCTACGAGCTCAATGACTGGTTAATGCAGAAAGTGTAAGTTTGCCTCGGCAGCAGATATTTTGGGGGTTTAGAACTCGGACCTCGGCGAACTCTACGAAGTAAGGTAGCAGCTTAAGAGATAAAATAACCACCAGCGCAATATCTAATGGCTCTAAGTTCAGCAACTCTTTCTTCTTTCGCTCTCACATGTAGATTTTTATCGCCATTGCCTAAAACTTTCTCCAAAAAGGTTTAGAATTGAATAGCGACATCAGTCGCAGATCAAGATGGCTTCTAGGCCAGTTAGAGTAGCCAACTGCTCTGGTTACAAGAGTATGATCTTCAGCTTAGGACAAATATGCACTCAAACGACTGACCTATATCCGATCAGATGACCCATACTGGCAAATGTTGCGCCAGGCGACATTGGGCGATGTCGACTTTATCACCGGCGACTACTTGGCTGGTAAGTCGCCAATCTTGGGACTTGCAGATGGATGTCAAGTATCAAGAATCAAGAGTCAATAACTAACTAGTGGCAGAGATGAATCTAGCAGAAGATGCTGAAGCTTACAGAGCTGGCAAACATGATGGATGGGAGGAAACAGCATGGGAAGGCATAAAAGAGAGCATTAACGTCATTGCGGCAAAAAAGATCAAGGTTGTTCTCAACGGAGGCTGCTTAAATCCTGCTGGGCTAGCACAGAAGGTTGCGGACCTAGTGAGTTCTGTCATATATTCTTGCTAAAACTACCTCTTAATGTTGTAATATTAGGTGTCTGAACGAGATCTTAAAGTCAAAGTAGCGTACGTTTCTGGAGATGATCTCATGTCAAAGTTAGGACCGGATCTGGCATCTCTTGGAGACAAGCTACCAAGGCATTTGGACTCAGTCAATCCTAACGTCCAGGTACCTAATTCTTCGCTGGCTTTCCAAGCTCTACCATCTGTCCCAATCGTCTCTGCAAATGCATATCTTGGTGCTAGAGCTATTGTGGAAGGTTTGCGTGCCGGAGCGGACATAATTATCTGTGGGCGCGTCTCTGATGCGTCCCCTGTCATTGCGGCAGCGTGGTACTGGCACTCGTGGAAGGATACGGATTATAATCAGCTGGCAGGCTCATTGATTGCTGGCCATTTGATCGAATGCTCCGCGTATTCGACCGGCGGCAACTTCTCTGGCTTTACTGAATATGATCTTGAAACTTTCATTGAACCCGGCTTTCCAATCGCGGAGATTGATGCCGACGGCACCTGTGTAATTGGGAAACACCTCGGCACAGGAGGAATGATCACTGAAGATACCATCCGTTGCCAATTCCTCTATGAATTGCAAGGCAACATTTATTTGCATAGTGACGTGAAAGCATATCTAAACAACGTGGTCGTTACGTTAGTTGGCAAAGATCGGTAAGCACACTCCAGCCTTTTTAGGGAGTGATCATTTTGGCTGATATAGGTCGTGCAAAGTGTTCGGATCAGTGGAATCACCGGACGGCCTCCGCCACCCACTACTAAGGCTGCCATATTTTACCGTGGCGGCTACCAGAGCCAGCTCCTGCTTAATGCAACCGGCTACGGGACCGACAAGAAATGGCAACTTCTAGAGGCGCAGTTACGACGTAATTTGCAAAACGCAGGCATCGAGAAGGATTTATCGCTACTTGAATTCCAGATGTAAGTAAATACTATATTAATCACTGCTTGTCGAAGCGAAGCTTATATTTAGATAGCGTGGGTGTTCCAGAAGCAAATCCAAAGAGCCAGTTACGGAGCACTACGTACTGCCGTGTGTTTGTCGAGGCAGCCGAACCGGAACCCTTGGTTAGATTGCTTCGCTGTTTTTCAGATATCGCATTGCGACATTTCTCTGGTAAAATGGTCCTTCCTACTTCCGTAACTCCCCTACTAACAGATGCCAGGCTTCCATTGTTCACTCGATTCCCGCACCGCCCTCCCAAACCCATTTTTAGCCTACTATCCATCCCTTTATTCTCAGGATGACCTTGAAGAAGGTGTAACTCTAATAGGCTCTAAATACGACGGCAACGAAACTAAAACTATTTCATCCGGCCATCCACCTTCCTACGAAGACCTGGAGCGCAGAGAAAACTACGACGCTGTCAATGCGGCCCCTCTTTCCTCCTTTGGCCCCACAGTCCCCGTCCGTCTCGGCGACATCGTGCTCGCACGCTCTGGTGATAAGGGCTCCAACCTCAACTGTGGGCTCTTTGTTAAGGATTCCAAGCTATGGGAGTGGTTTAGGGCCTTCCTCAGCCGCGCCCATTTCAAGGAGCTTCTGGGCGATGACTGGGCTCATGAGTACTGGCTCGAGAGAGTCGAGTTCCCAGGCATCCATGCGGTGCACTTTGTGATTTACGGGATTCTGGGTAGAGGTGTAAGTGGATCGACAAGGTTGGATTCGTTAGGCAAGGGGTTTGCAGATTATTTTAGGGACAAGGTCGTTGAGGTGCCAGTGGCACTATTAGGTGCTGTTAAGGGGAACTTGTAGACCTGTGCTTATATAACGAAAGTCGTAGTGTAAGTTTGTGGTCATAAACCTAGGTCGTCTCAATACCACAGCGAAGCTATTTCGAGATGCTTGCTAGGGATGTTGGTTGTCGATCCATTTTCCCCATATGGCACTTGCTGGTTGATCTGGCCCACTCGCGGGCAGTACCCTCCAATAGCGTCCTTGTCACATGCGTAGACTCAAGCTAACCTTCAGAAAAGCGTGTTGGATATCAGCGGCGAGACCATCAAAGCAAGCATTGTTGTGTCACTAGTTAAGAGTGCAAAGGGCCGTGTGTAGAAAACTAGGGAGGTGAGTCTCGATTAGGAAGGAGATGGGATGAGAAAATCCATTCCTGGAAGTGTCAGCGGAAGCTAGCGCCTATCTCAGCGCTTGGCGGCTCGACGTCAAAATTAGATGCTTCATTATCCTTCATTCTATCGTAATTCAGCGGCTGAAATCTCTATGTACTTTCTTACTACACCACGCATCGGCTTCCGACGTTGGAGCAAGGACGACACTGAGCTAGCATCGGCTTTATGGGGCGACCCTGAAGTGACGCACTTCATTGACGCCCGCCCTAGACTGTTTGCCGCGCAAATCGAAGAAAAGCTGAATGCTGAGCTAGAAATGCAGCAGCAGCATGACATGCAGTACTGGCCAATCTTCCTGATGGAAAACGGGAACCATGTCGGTTGCTGCGGACTGCGCCCTAAGGACGTCGCCGCCAGAATATTTGAGTTCGGCGTACACTTACGCAAGCCCTATTGGGGAACCGGGCTCGCCGCCGAAGCTGGTCACGCCGCCATCAACTATGCCTTCGAGCACCTTAAGGCGAGGCAACTATTCGCCGGCCACCATCCGGAAAATCACGGATCGCGCCGCCTTTTACAGAAACTCGGCTTCGTCTACATCGGCGACCAGCTATATCCACCTACCGGCTTAGAACACCCCTCCTATATGCTGATGCAGACTTGACCAGGGACCCTTAATTAATTGGAGGTACCAACCCATGTAGCGACGACACATGACACAGCACTCCCAGGTACCACAAGGCTGACAAAACTTCTTAGTACCTGTAGCGAGGCTCGGAAATCTGGATCCAACTAGTCTATAAGTTTGAAAGATCCAGATTCCGGGAGTACTCGTGATTCCGTGTGCTCTTTTTGAGTCTCTCAATGGGAAATGCGAAGCTGATTACGTGGCTAGAGTAGAGCCAAGTGCAGAAGGAGGACGTAAGATGGCATTACAGTTGAGCGAGGTCATGTACTCGTTCATCACAGCGGCGCAGACAGACATCTGAGGTACGAAGCAATCTACTAATTATAACAGAAGGAAGGAGTTGGGTTGTCCCTGAGAAGTTTGAATGTCGTTGGTTTGCGCCTCAATCACATGACCAAGAGATCTCTCATCCCACCTACCACCCACTACTCACCTCTCACATATCCACGACATCACCAAAAAAACGACACGATCACCACTGATCTCCGATCACGTGCCAGGCACCACCCACCACCACGGGTCACATGACATCACAACCCCTCGATTCCGATCACAGAACAAAATCCCTAAGCTCCCGCCGACGCCAGCCAATCAGCGCACTTTACATCGAACCCCCACCCAATCCACCCCTATCGATGGCGTTATCTCACGTGATCGCACCACTCATGGCGGCCCGCTTAATTTCTCAGTGTGCTTGGTAAGGCACCCACCTAGCAAATCAAGGTTCGTGCCTGGCGGATTGCGTGATCGTGCTGGATAGGGGATGGTGCGGATTGCGTGCTTTTTCTGAATTCAATTTTCACGGCGCGGGCGCGGGTTTTATGGAGAGTTACTTTGGGGAGGGAGGGGGACAATTGGGATTTTTATGTACTTTTATCTGAGAGGGTGTGCTTTGTAGGGGATGGGAATGGGAATACAAAGTCGAAAAGAAGGGATGTGGTGATGAGGGGAGAGGGCGTTCTTTATGTAGTTGATGGTGATGGTGGTGGATGTGAGAATGTGAGAATCGTTACAATCAGAGTGAAAGCACGCAATCACTCTACACGCACTTACCTTCCAACCTACGTAAGGGTACTTCTACCAGTACTTCACTTCAGGCTGAGTCTCTCATATCTCCTCGGAGTACCTTCCACGCCCCTTCCTCGTCCCTCTTCCCCACAATACACCATAGCACGTCTTACTCCCCAGTACCTCTCTCTCATCCCCCTCGAACACCCGGACGCCCTCGGAATGGCTCTCGAAGACGCAATCTTGCGTGCCACTTCGCCGTCTCTCTCAAGGTCTCAGAGGCCGAGTAACAGTGAGATCACTGTACTTTACTGAGCTGTAGAGCAGAGTAGAGTCTACTTCCCCCGGATTGGTAATCTGCTGTGAGAAAAGCCGTTGCCTTCAGCCGTTTATGCGTGTGTGGGTGTGCGCGGTGGAGGTGGTGTGTACTTCATATGTGTGAGCTCCATAGTAGCCACCGCGGTCATTGACATCTGACATATTCCATACCCAGCTGGCTCCCTTGAAACCGCCCCGCTCTTCCTCTTTCTCTTTCTCTCTCCTCTATTTCCCTTTCCTCCTTCTCTCCTTCTCTCCCTTCTCTTCTTCTTCATCTTCCATAAACCCGGTTTCTGATTATTCTTCCTCTTTCGACTTTGTCATCATCCAACTCTTTGTTGCTGGCATTGTCTGCATTATTCATCAGACTCCTGACTGCAGTCTCTTGTTCATGACCGACTTATAAGAAGCACACATACTCACACGACTTCTCTATTCACCCCTCACTTCACTCAGTCAACCCCTCGATCTACCACACACGTCACATCCGCTCGAATAAAAACAACATCTCGACTCAAACCAAAACCAAACCAGAGATCGAAACATCACATACCTGAAACCACACCCACACACAAACCCACCCACCAACCTCACGATGGGCTCCTCCAAAGACACCACAAGCGACGCCGAGTCCGGCTACGCCTCCGGCTCCTCCTCCCGCGCAACTCTCCCACAAATCACCTTCACCAAGCCGCAACTGAAGCACATCAACTCTCAACTCTCCCGCATGGAGCCCCTCGCCATCCTCCGCTGGGCCAAGACCACCCTCCCCTCGCTCTTCCAGACCACCGCCTTCGGCCTCACCGGCCTCGTCACCATCGACCTCCTCTCCAAGCTCCAAGCCGAGGACCCCTCCTCCCCCGCCGTCCCCCTCATTTTCCTCGACACCTTCCACCACTTCCCCGAGACCCTCGACCTGCTACAACGCATCCAGGCCCGCTACCCCGACGTCGCTCTCCACACCTTCTCCCCCGCCGGCCTCGCCAATGCAGCTGAGTTCGAGGAACGCTACGGTCCCAAGCTATGGGAGACGGACGCAGATCTGTATGACTGGGTCGCCAAGGTCGAGCTCGCCGAGCGCGCATACTCCGATCTCGGCGTCGCGGCAGTCCTTACCGGCCGCCGTCGTTCTCAGGGCGACAAGCGCTCCGATCTCGGTATTCTCGAAGTCGACGACGCTGGGCTGGTCAAGCTGAACCCCCTCTTCAACTGGTCGTTCGCGCAGGTGAAGGCGTACATCGATGAGAACAACGTGCCGTACAACGTGTTGTTGGACCAGGGATACAAGAGCGTGGGTGACTGGCACAGCACGCAGCCTGTGGCGCAGGGAGAGGATGAGCGCGCTGGAAGGTGGAAGGGTCAGGAGAAGACGGAGTGCGGGATTCATAATAAGAGGAGCAAGTACGCTGTGTACCTCGAGGAGATGGAGAGGAAGGCGAAGGCTGAGGCCGAGGCTGCTGCGGCGGTCGCTCCTACGCCCGTGGCGCCGGTGGAGATTGTGATCTGAACGTTGGATCGGAGCGAAGCGGATTTGATTTTTGATGGCATTCATGACGGCGTTTTGGGAGCATAAAGTCACGGCGTTGGCGGATCCCTTTTGGCGTTTAATATCTGGGGGGTGGGCATAATATTGGCCCTATTCCGTGGAGAAGCGGGATAGATTCTGGGCGAAAGAGAAATGAACATAGATGAATTTGATGGCACTGGGGGAGGAGAGAGAGTTGTATATAGAAAAATGAAGCAGAGTGGTACTTTAAAAATTGTCTTTGTGATGTGCTTGAGTGCGCCTTTCGATGATGCAGATGACGAGAGAAGTGAGGTTTGTGAATTGATGTTGGGAAGGTGAAGGTGGTGATGCTAGATACGGGTCCCTCACGTGCGGAAGGGTCAGGGGACCTTATCTACAGCGGGGTACGGCGGCTCGGGACGCTTCTTATCGGTCCAAGCCCCGCCCCAACTTCCGCCCTGACTCTCGCCGATATCGACATATATAAAAATCAGAATCAGGGGCTCTTCACTGCGCACGCCGAATCGTTGAGTTCTCGCTTTCTAGACAATTGGCGTTTCGTTTCATTTTCTTTACAGGTTTCGGGGGGATGTTGTCATAATGGTTCGATGACGACAGGTACGTGCCGCCTCGGTCGCTCTTAGCTGCGGTTTTTGATGCGGGAGAGGGTAGAAAGGCCGAGATGGAGGTGTCTGTCTCAGAGCGTTGAGTTTCATTCATTTGAGAAGTGTGAGTACAGTGCTACCTGGTTATAACGAGCCCATAATCAAACGTTTTCGAAAAAGTCGCTCTGGGATAATTTCGGGACGGCGACCGACTCTATAGCGTATCTGTATAACGAAAGAATTATCCTCTTCTCCCATACTGCCCCTTTCTTTTACCTGCGTTATATCTGGGTTCTGATGTGGATTAGGTGTAGAAAATAGTCTTAGATCTCAACGCAGCGGCACGTTCCTTCGCGTTGTTCCAGATGAACTGTTCCGGATGAGCCGATATCAAACCCCGAGCACCCTGCGAAGAAAGCTCCATCGATCCCAGTTTAGCCCTCCGCCATTCATAGCGATGCTCGTGATGCGCTTCTAGAAACCGACTGTCTAAGCTGTCTTGTACTCAGCTCTCATCTCGTCGCTGATTTGACCCTGCTCAACGATCCGTTTTATATCCCAGTCGGTATGAGGTAATGCCTGCAGATTTATGAGCCGCAAAAGGGGCCTTCAGAGTCAATGCAGCTCGAGCCAAGTCAGATATATCTCCAAACGCTCTGGGTACTTTGAAACGGCCTGGGGTATTCTGCATCAGTTGAGGCGGAGGTACTCAGCACCAGAGCTATATAAAGGCCTTAGATCCCCAGAATATAGACCCGTCGCAAACGGAACTGTCATCTCATACCCGCCTTCCACCGATTCACTTGACCCTTCGCCAATATGAAGATTTAAATCGTCCATACGACCTTCCTTGTTGGTCTCGCGACAGCAAACCCCAATGCGAATATGGCTATGAAGCAAGAGAAACAAGCGTGCGTGGGATATGGACAACTATGCGACGGATCCCCCCCATGCTGTAGTACATATGAGTGCTATGGTGGAGTTAGTTATCGCGTCTAGTTGTTAGCTATTACATGCTAATTAATACCTTTTTAGCCTAAACAACGACCTAGATGCTTCTAAGCGGTATGGGACGCTGTGTGAGAGTTGGTGGGTTATTGATGGAGAGGTTCTTGAGTCGTTGTATGGAGTTCTCTTGTCGAAAGAGTTTAAGCTCGGCCGACGAAATGGAAGATGGGGGTCGATGGAAGCATACCACAAATGTTTAGGATAAAGTACGGGTAGTGACAAATAAACCTGATATTTATTTAGCGCTGGCACAGAAGGGAAAGCCGACGCGTTTAGTGATACTGTAACCTACGGGTCGCATGGTGGTATAAGTCGAGTTCTCGTGAATGATCTATTTGTAGGGCGGGGGAGTTAAGATCTCGATACTAACTATTATATCCATTTCTACCTACAGCACTACTACCCTTCCCAGTAGAGCCGTGACGCACAGGGCTGAAATAGTATTCGGCTGATTTGTCACAAGAGGTGGGGTGTGGTACATGTAACTATCTTCAACCCAAGATGGCGGTACCAGGCAAGCCACGTTTGTTAATGGCATTAGATGTATGGTGTTTCACGACTAAATCATGGAATCTGACAAATTTCCCAAAAGGCAGAATTAAAAATAGCTTCCTAGCAGACTAGACTACCGTTTCCAACTAACTTTGCCAACTGTCCGCCTCCTTGCCTACATGAAGCTCTTCCTCGTCCTCCCCACTCTCATTGCCGTTCCAGTAGCCGCGAGTCCCCACATAGAACCAACAGGACCTCCACGGTCCCGTGGACAAGCGGGCAAGCGGGCAAGCCCTGTGACAATGGATACGGCAACTGCTTCTATTGTTTGTTCTGCCAGATGTACGTTTTTTGCCCCTTGCAATAGTAAAGCATTTTAAGTATTCCTGGCATCTGCTAAATGTGTTCTCGTTTGCCCAACCTAACGTCCTTGATGATAATACATGTTTTCATATTTAGTATACAATAATAAAACAAATGGCGAAACTGCTTGTATGCAATGTAGGGGTTGCGAGATATGGCAAGGTGTCATCAGGTAGAGGGTGGAGTCCTCAAGTCGTCGTATGAAGTTCCCTAACATAGTTTGCGCTCGGCCGACAAAAAAGGTGTCGAGAGGTTTGACTAACTTCTCAACATACTTGAATCAATGAAAGATTTGAATTTAAATATGTTGAAGAACACAACGACGCAAGGGGTCGGGACCAGCGCAGACTCTTTGGGAGCGCTTGACAGTTGTTCAGCACAGCAGCATATAAGTTGATAGTTCACCTTTTTTTTAAGAAAACTGGCAGTATCCCTTTTGCAAACGGAATTACCATCACTTCAGCCTACTTAGTCCTTACTACGATTTCATTGAACATGAAGCTGTTAATAATTCTCACAGCCCTACTCCTCGGGTCGGCAACTGCGAGCCCTCTCATGGATCTACCGGGGCCTTCGCAGCCATGTCTATCTTTAGGCAGTCGCTGTGACAATGGAATCGGCCACTGCTGCTCTGGGCAACATTGCTTATATGTAGGGTTTCCGCCCCGTGGACTAATAGAGAGTCTAATTATCTGTGGCATGCTAATGAATATTCATAACCAAATTTAGTTGTTTGACAGGCAGATTTGTATATTGGACTGGGCTACAGAAAACAGTTAAATAGAGAAGCTGTTATTTGGGGACAGGGCTGTGAAGTGATAGGGTGAAATGGGATAGAGAACAAAGTGCAGGTCCTTAAGTCGTTCTATGGAGTTCTCTCATGGAGTTTAAGCTCGGCCGACAAAAGGAGGGAAACTGGTCTCTAATTGCTGCGGCATTTGCTTCATAATAATCTGAAGATTAATGTCCATTGAATAAAAACTTGTTAAATCTATTGGTATCATACCAAGGCTAATATACCTACTACCGCGCCAACCCCTAATTCCATCTATTTCACACTTCCCAACACCACATCCCTATCAGCCTTTGGCTTCTTCAACACTCTCTTCATACACCCAAAATACGTCGAGCTGGCCGGCATCAGCATTGCGCCCGCCTGCGCAATAAACAGCCACACTGAAATCCAATCCGTGTCCGACTCAATCTTATTCCTCGCCACAATCAACTCCGTCCAAAGAATCAACGGCCAGCCAACCAACAGCGCCGCAGCCGCCCCAACGGGAATCAGCGGATACTTCCCCAAGTACCACGGCACTTTGTCCATCTCCTCCTTGGTGTACTTGGCCATCTTAACCGGCAGGTAGATGGACAAATAAAGACAGTTCAAGGCGAAGAGGGAGTCCGATATCTGCCACACGAGGATGAACTTATGCCACCCCGGGCTTAGTGTCCTCCACCCGAAGAAAAAGAACTGGTACACCCCATACCCCTCCTGCTGGTTCGTCGCCCAACTAGTCCACGCCGCCACGGTATTCAGGATAATCACCCCCCCAGTACCAAGGCCAAGAAAGATGCCCATGACCAAGTTCCCCGATGTCACGCCGCCGAGATAGGTGAAGACGAAGAGGAGGTTGAAGTGCACGGGCAGCAGGGAGAGGGCGTGCAGCTCGTGGCCCTGGATGGCTTGCAGCCATTGGATCTGGGTATACCAGTTGTAGGCAAGGAAACCAATGTTGCTGGGACAGTTGTTTCCGAGACCGGAGAAGAATTGGGCGGGGGAAAGCATGAAGCTGGTGTAGAGGAGCCAGCGGTTGAGCGGGCTGAAGCCATTGACGATGGTGACGGTTGACATCGTGGCTGGTGGTGTTGCGCAGCAAGATGGCTGCAGCAGAAATAAAGATAATGCGCGAAAAATCCCAACAGTGACCCGATCTCAGCGACTAAAGCCTGTTTGGAGTCAATCAAAATATGGCGAAAGGCGGTCGTATAATATGTGTCAGGGCGCGACTCTCCGAAGCCGAGTATGTTCTCACCTTGATTCAAAATCGACGACAGCAAAGTCGTAAGCACTTTAAATGTTATTCCTCCACAATGAATATGCACATATTGGCACCAAGAAACCAGATGAAATATAACTGCGCAACATTTTGCTGGGGGCGGAGTTGGCGCTATATACTCGAGCTGAAGAGGCAGTGCAGCAAGGCTGGCGAACTAAGCGCCAACGAATATCGGAGTCATGCAGGGATGGGATGAAAAACGATAGCGCATCACGCCCGGTTTTGCGGCTGAACAAGGCTTCAGCCTCGAATGGCGTCGGTCATATGAGTCTTTATTATCGACGGCCGGGTTATTGTAGAATTGCCCACCAATAGCCGATGACTGCATGGAAAGAAATATCGATGTGTGTCGCAAGGCTGAGAGACGGCTTGCTGCCTACGTCCAATTTGGCTCTTGATAAACAAGGTTCGGCCCAAGCCTTGACAGTATTTAGCGTTGAATGGGCTAGCCTATCAAATGTCGGCAATTTTCAGTACGTACCTTGTAGGGGCCAGACAATGTGGATGAATATCGGGGTCCAGACCAAGCCATGGTAGAACTCGTCGTCAAAACCACAAATATTAATGTAATTATGGCACGACATATGTTCCAGATGTAGAAATCAAGCCAGGGAAATCTTTAGTATACTTTTTTCGGCGTATTATGTGAGTGAATACATGAAACAAACCAAAACACACCCCAAAGACATACCTTTTGGTATTAATCTATAAAAACAAAAAAAAAACCCCGGAAATATCCCCTCTCCAACAAAGCAATCATACAGGCCAGCCGTATTTTTAACCTCCTGTGGCCGTAAACCCCCTTTTATCTCACCATGCACGATTTCCAAGGCGCCTTTATATAACCACCTTCATACCGCCGCAAACAAGAGTATAGCACTGGCTTTTGATTCATTCCAGATATCCGTAGCCCATGGCATGAAAAATCCGTCGGTTCTCCTTGGTTCAAAGGCGGGAAAGCAGTCTGACCAGAGCACCTCGCTCATCTGTGTCGTGTTCGAATCAATTTGTTTAACCCCTATCGAATCAACGTAGCTAGTAGATTTCAAGTCCACATACGTCCCAGTGTACATCCAAAGTAGCAGAATTAGGGCGACTATTGCGTACTTCTTAATAAGTCTGGATGCATAAGGCCTTAGTTTCAGCCGTCGTAAGCTCGCGGACCACATCCCGAATATACCAAAGATCGCTGCTGTCGTAATAATAGCGACCCCCACAAATTCAGTAATATTAATGCTGATATCTTCCAAGACAGGTACTTGTGGCAATTCAGAACACCCGATAAATTCTAGGGCGTCGCATTTTTCGGAGCTGATAACTTTCCTTGGTCAGTTTCCACCATCTATCCTCATTTTACCGAAACCATATTCAGCGGTAGAAGACAGTATTAATTGGGATATGTTAAGGGACCAGAATGCCGTCGTCCCTATGGCAGCAACCACTGACCACGAATCGAACTCAGCATCCCATGCGAAAATGTTTGTTATGAGCGACATAGCACACCCGGTATTTGTAACATGTGACGGAACTAGCTTGGTCTTTTTGATTCGGGCCACCCTAACAACCGCGACGATGCAGCGAAACATGTTGTAAATGATACCAGGAATCCGAAATTTGCTTGTCCAGGGCACCTTTTTATCTTTTTTTGGTGATGATGACGACGATATCAACCCTGCAACGGTGAAGATGAAGGAGATGAACCAGGAGGCCAAAAGGTAGGGCCAGGGGTTCGGGATCTGTCCTGGTAGATATACCCACGTGGCTGTTGACTCGTGCGAATAATTACTAGAGCCAGTATTTGTCGTTAAATGTCCGAGAGAAGAGTAAGGCCAGGATAGCGTCGATGAGTTGGCGGTAGGCTGTGCCATTGAAACGAAAAGACCCTTTGTAGTCGATGCTGAAACTAGGTATTAATATCAGTAAATAGTTGAAAGTAGTATTGTAATTGCAGGGCTCACACTTGCCTCGATAGCTACTGTCAGATATAAAAATATGAAGAGCTTTCCGCCTTCAAGTTTGACAAGGCTGTGGAACAGAGTATTAACAGTTTGTCGAAGCAAAACAAAAACAGAAGAATGGCGAGAGGTAGAGAGCGACATAATGAGAGTAGGACTGGACGAGAGTGTTGAAGAGATAAAGATAGAGATAGATATCGATATCGCGAAAACGATAGAATATAAAGCAAAACAGGAAACAAGTGCCAAATCTCGCAAAATATTCAAACAGCCCGGTAAGAGCCCGCTCGAGCGTCACTCGCTCACCGGTCGTCGCATCCTCAGCAAATCATCTAGAAGCGGCACGAATGGTAGCGGGTACCCAACCAGTAACAACCGCCCCTCACCCCAACAGTCGCAAAAGTCGCCCTGAATCTCCAAAAATGCGATTTTTTTAGAATTGGCATGGTTAGAAGATGGGAGACTAGAGCTAGAGCTGAGGATGAAAGTGCGAAATCCGAAATGAAGAAACGATTATTGACCACGCACCACCTGTACGGGAGACTCGTGTCAGGTACCCAACTCTCCCAATCGGCTCCCCGCTGGCGTCTCCTGGGCTACCCCACAAAACCCTAATCCAAGTTCCCGCAGCTACTTTAGCACGGTTCTGGAGTTCTGGGGAAAGCGATGCTGGTCCGTATTATTAGAGCACAAGGGCGTGTCTATTTGCTGTTCTTCAGGTACTGAAAGCCTCGGGTTACGGATAAAGTTACGGTAACACGTGGCCGTTCAGCTTGAGTGACTCTACATGGTAAGACGGAGTCTAAATAAGCATTTTATTCTCGAGGGCCAGCTATAGAACTCAATGACACAGCTCTCTCCAGCTTCCAGACCGTAAGTTCGGCGCGCCCTACCATCCACCATCCTCCATCCCCATCCTCCCTCAAACACAAATCCCCCCACAATCCGCCCCCCCATTCTCCGGATCACACCCATCATGCGGGACATCATAACAAAACAATCCCATCGGACAACTCTTCCCCACAAACCCACCACACTCAATCCCCACCTCCGGCAGACAAATCCCCGGCCCATCACACGCCTGCCCACAACTCTCAGGCTGACGCGGATCATCAATACACACCTCCCCCTTCTTGCAGATCGGCGGATTGATCCGGTGCCCGCCGCATGACTGGTAGGTGTTGGTGAATTGGCAGGTCCCGAGGCAGGTGTTGGGGTTGGTGCAGGAGGGCTTGTTGGGGACGCAGGTCATGTCCTCGGAGCAGCGGGCGATTTTGAGACCGCAGGGACGGCCGAGGTCGGAGGCTGTGGCGAGGGTGAGGACGAGGGAGGTGAGGGTGAGGAGGCGGGGGAGGAACATTTTTAAGGGTTTGTTTGGTTTGTGTGTGAGGATGGTGGGATGGGTTGTGTGAATTGAAGTTTTTTGGGGGATTCAGGAGATGTGTCTTGGGAAGTGAGACAAGTGAGACAATGGAAGAATCTTTGACGAAGCGGAATCGCGTGGACCTCGACCCCCTTTTTATATTCTCCCAGTGCATTCTCGAATACGAGTCGGCGCAACTAATCCCCTCCACCACGACTGTATCCATACCGGCTATGCAAATCTTACACACCATGGTTAAACTCGTGTTCTCATGCCAAGCAGCTCTCCCGTCTCGCCTTGGCAGCCCAAAATCGCTATATCTTCGGAAACGAGCGCAAACGATCCAATGGGTGCAGTCAAAATAGAGCTGTTTAAACATAAGATCAGCGAGCTGACTCTAATTTACCTGCTAGACGAGGTAATATCGAGAAAGTTTACCCCGCAATGGGTAGGGGGGAGATTGGGCTGACGGCTGAGTTTATTTCTTGGCGGGGTACGTGGAGGGGTAGGTTCGTGAGCTCCCTTGCTTGGAGGGAGGGGTGCGCCCTTACTTGACGAGGGACGAGGATTATCCGTTAGATATGCCAAGGGGGGGCGGGGAGAAGAGAGAAAAGAGGCGGGTTTCGTGTGGTACTGTACGTATAATATACAGCCAGCTCGGGTGGACAATGGGCGAATCTATGCATGATCGGGCCGCTGTAATCTCTGTACGAGGGAGATGAGTGAGATCTCCTCCCTTTCGTTCGGGCGATGACGGCGGGCATGCAGTGTATATCACCCAATCCAGCCACACAGTGTAACTGTAATCAATCTTCTGACTGTAATATTGACAAAAAGCTGAAAAGAGATGACATGAAATAACTTGGAAATAACCCATTGGGTTTTCAGCCGGTGCAGAGGAGGTTGGACGCCGTTTGCTGCTTGGGTAATCGCTGGATGCTGGGGCATAAGCTCCGTTGTCGCAATGCTCGAGTAGTTTAACGCATGTGGCGAAACTGCTTGGATATGACCGTATGTTTTGTGTGACGGGGTTGGGAAAGGGCGTCTTGTTGTATAGATCGGCGGACTCGACTTGAAAAACATCGGGGCTAAGAGCAGGTACGCAGTCAATGGCCGCCGCAGCTTCTTTTCGAAGTCGTCCTTTCGCCTTCGCGTCCAGCTATAGTCCCTCATTCTCTTCTCGTGTGAATTCTACAAACCACGTCTTAGAGATTCGAGGAGACAGTTGCAGCATTTAATGCGGTGGTTGTTACTGGTTGCGAGATTTCGCTGGTATTTGAAGGTTTCTCTCTTCCATTCTCCTCTTTTCTGCTGCCCATCTTCTCTCGTTATCTATCGCTCTCTTTCTAACAACTCCCAAAATTCTTCCCGCTCCAATAGCGCAGCCCGCGTCAACTTATCAGCCTTGTCCTAGTCGTATAGCATATGCCGTGCCACACTCTTTACTACCTACGATTCTAGCAACGGCTCGGTCCGGACTAGGATTCTCCCCACCGCCTCAACCGCATACTTCTCCGTCAGACACTCCGACCGACGAGATGTCGTCGATTTATACTCTTATACTTCCTAGACCCCTCGCTATTGGCAATCGCGCAGGGTGGGAGACGCGCGCTAGTGGCGATCACGCAAGAAGGTATGGTGTATATCCACTTTTGGCTCGAATAGGAAGGTGGTTCTGTCGTTGTGTTTGCTGGGTTTGGGGTGGTGGTTGTGGGTGTCACGGGTATGGTGGTAGATGAGGAAGTGTGAGAGGGGATGGGGGTAGTGGGAGGGAAGTGATGATGGGAGAAGGAGGGAAGTGATGGTAGGATGGGGTTGTTGGTTCTTGTTCACATCTCCTGCTGCCTGGCCTCGTGTGGGCAAGCGGCACTGGAGTTGCGGTGTTGGAGATGTGGGAAGACGGAGTTGGATGTTGGAAGTATCAACAAACTTACTGGCTACTCACACAAAATGTGTTTGCGCTGGCTGTGAAGAAGGCAACAGCGACCGCGGCCAGATGTTGTGTTGGATATCGGCGTGCTGGCGTCTGGAGATGGCCTATGAACGACTATGAGGGTATGTATTTACCTGGTTTACTCTCTGTGTATGCCTTTCAAAACGCGTGTATGGCTGCATCGCATGAAACGCGATGCAGGCAACAGCGCATATGAGTACAACTGACGGATTGACTCATACTGTATGACGAAGACGACAACGACGAGTCGCCAGTTAGGTACGAGTATATATGGGCGGTAATGTATCTATATATACACACTCGAGTATACGCGCGCCAAGTCTTTTTTGGGGTGTTAACCGCCAGACACAACCAAACCCCTTGCGTAATGGTGTAGATTGTCATACATGTCGCATATCTAGTGTTAGCTGTTTCCGTTGTTTCCGTGCGCGTGTTTCCGGATTTTATTTAGATTTAGATTTAGATTTTACAATTCCGTCAATTCCGTCAGTAGAGTAGAGTAATGCGAGTACTGTTCATGAAACCTTATCGCTGCGAGTACCGAGTACTATTTGTATGGGATAGTCGTACCTTGGTACATCCTCGGCGGTAACTATGGTACTCTAGTATTTAGTTGGCGGGCGGGAGTTGGCAGGCGGCAGAGGGGAAGGACGGAATCTACTTTAGTACTGTAATACAATACTGTGGTAATAGAGATAAACTTAGTAGTATTATATCTCAGCGACAATTCTCTACACAATTATACGCACTCCATACAACTGTGGAGTCGTGAATAACCCTCACACACACCGTTTCAATCACGTGAACCCTCTAACACTACACAAACCGCACATACGCAACTCTTGTGGCTGGTCCATTAAGTTGCGGTGTGTACTCCATACATCCTGCAGTACTTCGCCCACTATCTCCAACTTCATTCGCTCTTCGTTGGTCCATTACAAGGCTGGCCCAGTTGTTCTTCGCCCAGCCTTCTCCCCCCATCCCCGCAACCGCCGCTTGATTCGCTCCCGTCGACCATGACAGGACCACTAGGGCACCACGCCAGTGACGAGCACTAGCAACTGGATGCCCGATCTGAAGCTAAGCCAAGTCACACCTATAACGACCACTACTACTCCAACTCAACTTCATCCTTCCTTCCTCCATCAACACACAAAACAACATCACCACAACAGCTACACAAACATACAATCACGAACAAACCCAGCTACAGCTTCACCCACTGCTCATCCACCTTCTCGCCAGCTCCATCACCACCCACCAAGCAGCCCATGCGCACCACAACTGCCGCAACCCGCTCCGCCTAAGCGCCTACCCGTCTCCTCCACACCCGGCCTCTCGATCGCCGATGCCACACCCCCCACCGACATAATGCCATCATCCCTCGCCGCCGACGCCGCCACCGAGCCCAGCGAGCGTCCCTCCGAGCGCCGCGCCCGCGAAAAACGCGAACGCGACCCCAACAAGCCCAAGAAACCTCGCTCCTCCAAGCCCCGACCTATCGACCCGGAGACGGGACTGCCGGTGCGGAGACGCAAGCGCGAGAAGGAGAAGGAGGGGCAGGGCGACATTAATGCAGAGTCAGAGCCCAGTGCGTCGATGGCGGATCTGGTCCCGGAGCTGTCGAGGACGGCGTCGGCGCCGGGAGCAAGCAGGGAGAGCTTGCCGTATCCAAGTTTAAGTAAGGCGCATAGTAAGGATGCGGTGTATAGCAGGGTAGATTTGAATAAACCGGATGTGTATACGCCGGAGCCGACGGATATTGATGCGCACAAGGCGAGGGGGTCACAGGAGAGTTTAAAGTCGAAGGGTGCGAGGGGATCCCAAGAGAGTTTGAAGGCTAAGGGAGCGAGGGGGTCGCAGGAGAGTCTGAAGAGGGATGGGCCGCTCACACCGCCAGATACGGAGTTGTCGGCGCAGAGGAAGAGCAGCACGTCGACACCGACAAGAGCGGCCAAGATCAGGGAGGAAGAGGCGAAGGGGTCAAGGCCGAGCTCGCGAGGGTCAGAGAGATCGTGGTTTGGACGGCCGAAGGTTATTAGGGATGACCGGTCGAAGGTATCTACGAAATCGAAGGACTCGAGAGGCACGGCGAGGAAGTCGTCGAGGCCTAGGGTTGATGTCGTGGAGGTCGTGGAGGTCGTGGAGGACGACTATCTCAGCGATGAGGGACAGTCGAGGTCAGGATTCGATTCGAACGCCACATCTGTTGCTCCAAAGCGTACACAACCCCAACAAGTCGCAGCGGGATCTGGAGGACGACCACCAGGTCTAGATACCGACTCAGGGCAGAGCAACCGCGAGTCCGCATCTCCACGCACACCCACAGCAACACCAAAATTCGACGCCCACGATCCCAAGAACTTCGCACGCGACTTCAGACCCACACCTTCACCATTTGTGAATTTCGAGGCTCCCGGCGGCCAACAACAATCCAACTTCGACTCACCCCTTCCCCCGCCCCCACCACCACCACCCATGGTCCCCATCAACATCCCCCGCGTCGACTACCTGATGCAAAACGGCGGCCTCCCCCGCCCCATCCCCAAAGTCCTCCTCGCCGTAACCCCCTCCCACACCACCACCGCCTACCCCGGCCGCGCCTCCGTTCCCCCCCCTCCAGACATCGAAAAGGTCTTCGGCCCCTTCTACAGCCTCCTCGACCAATACGAGACGGTGCTCGACAAAAATGGCTCTGTGGCTGTGGCAACAGGCTATCGCTCCATCGCGCGCAAACTCCTCGACCGCCTTGAAAACGTCTTCGCCCGCGAACTCTCCGCCGAAGGATGCACGTGCATAATGTGCTCCTCCGACCCCGACGCGCGCCTCTACCACTCCCGCGCCCTCGGCTGGGGCGACGTTCTCGAATGGGTCAGCGGCCGCCGGAGTCTCCCCCCCTACCCCGCCTTCGATTTCGGCGCCACGGCAACGGGGCTGGGTCTCTCCCCCCTCACCGACGATGGTCGTCCTTCCTCGCCCCAGAAAATCGACCCGGACATCGCTGAGGAGTACCGCGAGCATTATCTCCGACAGAGTAAGAAAACCAAAGCGGTAGTCGATAAATGGCTCTCCGCCACCCCCGGCACCGCCGCTCCACCCCCGCCAGATATCGACGACGACACTCTCTCCTTCACAATCCTCACCCACCTTCCCTCCTCCTCCCGCCCCATCTTCTCCGCCCTCCTCGCCGGCTCCGCCACCGTGCCCACAACGCGCTCTCCCACCCCAGCGCCAAAAGTCCGCTCCGAATTCATCGCCAAGACAACCCTCGCGATCCAGCGGCTCTACCGCCTCCCAACCGCGCCACGCGATCCAGAAGCTGCGATTTACCTCCTCCATAACCCATCACTGCATCACCTGCTTACTACGCTGTCGCTTATCAATACTGCGGAGTGGGAAATCCTGATTTCGGGACGCTTTGATGGGTTTCTCTGGTCTGGCGCGGATCTAGACGCTTCTGCGATGTCCTCTCCTCCTTCTGATCCCAACTTCCCCTCCCCGCCCTCCCGCGGCCCAACGCCCTCCTCTGCCGCTCCTCCATCCCGCGGTCCCACGCCAGCGGGTCGGTACCCATTCTCCCCCCCTCCTCTCAGGAACGCATTCGACACCTCCCCGCCTCCAAGTCGCAACCCAACACCATCAGCCTTCCCACCACCAAGCATCCCCGGCACCCCCTTCCAAGGCGGTCGCCACCCCGTCTCCAGCGACGAAGACGCCGAGATCGCCGTCCTAGCCGAGATAGAACGCGATATCTACGCTGGCATGGAAGCACTCGAAGACGCCTTCGAAGCACTCCACCGCAAAGCCGAGGTCGTGCGACAAGCGCTCCGTCAACGAGGCGCTGGGTTAGCGATGGCTGCGCAATCTCGTCGTGGCGGTGTCGGGATAGGAGTCCGCGCTGCTACGCCTGGTGGGGAGAGTGCGGCGGGTGGTTGGGGTGGTGGTGGTGGTGGAGGGGGGTGGCAGGGAGAGGAAAGCGAGAGTGGGAGTGAGTGGGCGGAAGAGGAGATCGCGCCGGATGATAGTGCGAGTAATATCTCGAGTTCGAGACATAGGAGGCCGAAGAGGAGGAATGAGAGGAGGACGCCGGCGTTGGTGGAGGAGGAGGAGGAGGAGTGAGGGGAGCTTGTTAGTTGGGAACTTGATTACACCCCCCCCCTCAACTGAGTGCATATACTACTCGACTCCTGATTATTTGCTTTTTGCTTTTTGCTAAATCTACGAAACTTGCACGACGCGGTGTTCGGGGTGTTTTTGCTTTTGTCTCGGAGATTTGCTTTGCTTTGCTTTTGCTTTTACGAACAGCCATCTAAAGGCTATCTTGCTAGTTTCTCTTTGTCTTTGTCTTTGAGCATTTTACGGTGTGGTATATGTCGATCTGGACTGGCTGGAGAGCTGCATGCATTATGAGGGGATTACAGTACAGTGTGAGGGAAGGAGTTATAGTATTTACGAGTACCAGGATGGATACAATGAGGGAGAGAGGGGGTAGGATATGCATGATAACGGACAGACAGACAGATGGAGTGATGGTGGGATGGATGGATGGATGAATAGGATGCGATGACAAGGTGCGACTGTACTCTAGTATACGAGAATCAGATCGATGATTGATAGAAGAAATGCATACCTACCTTTGCACTTCTCCTGCTCCCCCTCCCCCAGTGCCCCGCGTGACCTGTGCTATTCATCTCTTCGCTTCCTTCCACAAGCTCCCTTCTACAAATTTGCGACTTGAGTTCCTGGAACGGGTATAATAAAGAACAGTCACCAGCACCGCTTACTGCCACGAGAGTAATCACCCACGCAATTCCACAAACACAATAACGCGTAACCTGCGTAAACAAAGCAAGCAAACCCTAGCCCTCGCACACACACACAATCACCCACACTCACCCAAAAGCACTAAAACTCACAAAACACGTAAAAATCCACACCCCAGAAATCCAAATCACGTGAATATTTGTTTACCCCTATTAATCACGTGAGATAACTACAGTGCATCATATTTCACAAAGGTCACAAAGGAAGAAAATGCCAATTTAAAGTTTTTCAATTGCTGAACTCTTCTTGCTGAACTGTGCGTGTGCGTGGTACAAACTCTCTGTGACAATGCCTGGTGCGCCTGTATACTCCTCCCAGAAATTATCCCAAGGCTTTTATCGAAAATGAAATGAGTTGAAGAAGAAGCGAAGTGAAAAATCGAATCAGAAGGGTTTTTTTTTGGTGCTCCTGGAATGTTTTTGTCGAAAATCGAGATCGAAAGGAAAGTCGGAAGAAATCGAAAAGAAAGTCGAATGAATGGTGCGTCGGTATCGTCGAGTGGCACTGTTTGTTGTAATATGCTCTTGTATGCCGAAGAACTGGGTATTATGGCGAGCAAGGATTGTTGAAAGAGAAATGAAATCAAGTAAAGTCAGAAAGAAAATCGAAAGAAGAGTGCGTCGGTATCGTCGAGTGGCACTGGTTTGTAATATGTTCCTGGTGGAAATGAAATCGTGGATTCGTGATGGTGCTTCTGGATGCTCTTTGGTGCATTGTGCGCAGGATGCTGTATCGGGTCTGAAAGCCGATGAAAAGAGAATCGTGCAGTATCGTGACGGCATCAAAGAATCGTATGCCCGTGAATGAATCGTGATCATAATGCTCGTATCTCATGCCAGAACCCAACCATGTCGTGAATGCGCCATGCAGTCCAGAAGAAACCTCATGCAACTATCCACAAAATTAGCCCAAATCCAATCACCAAACAATCACACAAAGAACTCACCTCAATCCAAGTTCCCAGGAGTCCACGCGCGTCTGTTCCTGGCAGAGCGACCACCACCACCACAGCATCCCGGGCCACAATAGCAGGTCCAGCATCCCCAAGAAAAGCAAAAAGGCTCGGCACCAGCCTCATGTGCATGATCGAAGTAGGTGAAGTTAGGATCCCCACCACCACCACCCCAAACAACTGGCATTCTCCAGCGATTCTCCCTGGACCAATCGGCCCAAGATTGCTCAGGCTGCTCCTCTTCCCCAGTGGTGTATGCGACCAGGCCTGCCATGCGCATGGGGCCTCCGTCGAGAGTCACGGGCTCTCCATCGGGATAGACGTATGCGGTTCCCTCGAGCATGGCGAGGGTGAGCTCGCGGTGGAAGGCCCTGTGTGCTTCGGTGGCCTCTTCCTCGGCTGCAACTGGGTCGGGAGCTGATGCGATAACGTCAGCTGAGATGGCGGATGCGGCGGCCTCGGATGCATCGGCAGCCTCGCGGTTCGACGCAAATCGATTCAGGGCCTGGAGAGCCGCAGTTTGGCGTGCGACGTCCGCGGGGTTTGCGCGTCGGGTGGAGGCCGACGGGCGGAGGTGAGCTGGGCTCGGAGTTCGGGGTGGCGGTGGTGGTGGTGGAGGAGGAGATGGGGTGCGAGGGGCCGCGGGAGAAGGAGTGCGGGCAGCTGGAGGGGGTGGGGGTGGCCTCTCCGGGACTGGCACCGGTGCTGGCGGTGGTGCTAAGAATGGGTTGAAACTGAGACGTCGGATGACGTCCCAGGACGCCGGAGCGTCCCACCCAGATGGTGGTGGTGGTGCCACCACCGCAGCACCGGCACCAGGGAGAGGTCGGAGGGGGATCCCCCGAGGAGGATATGCCGGGTTGTAAGCCGGCATACCTGGGAGAAGTGTTAGCTGGTGGAAACTGAAGGAGGGAGACAGAAAGACAGGGAATTGTGAGGACGAACGGAGTAAAAAAGGTTTGGTAGCCATCACGGTGCAGTGTGAAAACCGCACCGTGATGGTGAGAGGGGGAAGAGGAATGTATGTCTACGAAGTAGAAAAAGGGTGTTGAGAGGAATGGTGCGGTGGTGAAAACCGCACCGAGGTGGTGGATGGAGGGAGGTGAGGATTGATGAAGTTGAGAAGAGGATGAGGGAAGGAGGAAGAGGAAGTTGTTGACAGCCACGGTGTGGTGCGCATGTTGTGCACCACACGTGACTGTTGGGGGGGAGGTGAGGGGAGGAACGGTGCTGTGCGATTCACCGCACAGCAACGGAGGGAAGAAAGTGGGCTGTGAGGAATGGTGCCAAAATGGGCACCGCACAGCAACGGAGGAAAACGAGGGGGCTGTGAGAAACGGTGCGGTGTTGAGCACCGCACAGCAACGGAGGCAGGGAAGGGGATTGTGAGGAACGGTGCGTCACTCTGCACTGCAGAGCGACGCAGGTGGGAAAATGAGTTCTCAGGAACGGTGCTGTGGTGTCCACGACACCGTTCCTAAGAACGGAAATTCCAATCTCTGTCGCGGTGGCAGCAATGTTGCTGCACCGCAACGGAGAGGAATAAAATCAACCACAGGAACGGTCCTATGGTTGTCACCACTTAGCGACGGAGGAGGGAGAAAGTGTTCTTGGGAACGGTGCTGTGGTGTTCACAGCACCGTTCCTGAGAACTGAATTTCACTTCTCCATCACGGTGGCAGCAATGGTGCTGCACCGTGACGGAGAGGTCGAAGTTCGACCACAGGAACGGTCCTGTGGTGGGCACCGCTTGGTGCCGGAGGAGGAGGATGGTGTTCTCAGGAACGGTGTGGTGGTCGTCACCGCACCGTTCCTGGGAACTGGAAATTCTTTCTCCGTCACGGTGGCAGCGATAACACTGCACCGTGACGGAGAGCCCACAAAGGGGCGACAGGAACGGGGAAGGGGGAAAGGGGGAAGAGTGCCGGTGAATGGGCAACGACAGGACAGAACAAGAACTGTGAGCAAGGGGTTTTGGGTAAACAGAAAGAGGTCAAAGAAAGATCGAACAATAAAAAAATAAAACATACCAGTAATGCTCAGATATCCTTGGACATCAATTGGGATCTCTTCTTCGTCAGCCATAGCGGACAGTATGGCGGGCAGTATAGGGTGCAGTCGGTGTCGGTCTTTCGAAATGTGGTCGTCGGCGTTTGTGGACGGTTACCTCCGGCCGGGCGACTAAGCAGTCGTTATATACTAAACGTACAAAGGTACATAACTTCCCGATTAGGCAATATCGAGGCCAAAATCCTATGGAAAGCGTTTAGCGCCGTAACGCCTATCGAAGCGAATCTCTACTATGATGCTCCTCCTCTTAGCCAATCAGCGTCGGGAATAAGGACTCGGACTCGGGAAAACTATTGTTCTCATGAGTGAAAGGGCTCGCTAGCATTGATTTAGCTAAGCGCACTGCAATCGTATGTGAGTTCACTGCAGAGAGAGGCTTCTTGTTTTCTTTCCCTCTCCTCTCTTCCTCCTTTCTTCCTTATTTCTCTCTCCACATCCTCAACGTCTTCAAGGGGTCATTCTGTGACTTTGAAAACGTTTCTCCTTCATATCCTCCTTTAGATTCAGGAGGTTTGCTATTCTACTATCAAAAGGTATGTTGCCATTCTCATATGAAGCTATCTCCATCTTGAGGAAAGGTATAAACACGCGTTCCATAACATGATGGACACACAGAAAGCATCCTTCAAGGTGGATACGATATTGACAGTATGAGATGTGGCTTTGTACTTACTTCCTTTGATCATAGACCTCCAACAAACCTGTTGAAACCTGACCTACAGTGTATGTATCCTTCCGGTCTTTGTTTTGCTGTCCATTATTCACGTTTCAATCTACTATCCTCACCTTTTTATTCCTATCTCCAACTTCACAGATCGGACACCACCTATCAAAGATGGATGACCTGGTGGACAGTTGGTTCTGCCAGTTTCCATCAGTTGGGTCTCTTGGGCCTCTTTGACACTATGGGCAACACCCACAACAAAGAACCCACCTCAATGTTTCCCTCCCATCACCTTCTCACCACCTCACCATCTCACCTTTTTATCCTCTCTCCACATCCACCAACCCACCAAACTGACATCCCCCGAGCAGACACAATCCGCAACAATGTCAGCAGACGTTGCTGCTCCTGTTTTGCCTGATGGCAAGGAAGATGGCAAGGACGAGGAGGTTCGTAGCCCTTTCGACCCCAACCTCCCAGAGGATCCCCGCCACTCCGAGTGGATCAAGCAGAGCGGCCATGCCACCCGTGTCGCATATAACTATGCGGCCTACAACATGACCGAGGCCGAGCGCCGCGCCGCTGAGGGTGAAGGCCCTATTCTCGCTCCTGGCGACGTTCTCCAGGATGAGGGATGGGCCAACAACGCCACTGTGTATGAGTGGTGTGACGAGTTTGGCGACGTGGGCCCAGCTCACCCTGTTCTTGAGAAGCAGCTCTTCGGATCTGATGTCCACGTTACTACTGGCATCGATTTCTCTGGGTATGTTTCTTGCTCCTCCATTCCCGTTCTCTTCTAATCTTTTGCAGTGTTACCTCCATCAATGTTGTCCAAGAGGGCACCATTCGCATCAAGCCTGTTCTCAGCTTTGATGATGCCGGACTCCACCCTGTCATGCTTGCCAATGTTCGTCTGGCTGGCTATACCGTTCCCACACCTGTTCAGTGCTACACATTGCCCGCCATCTTCCAGGGTCATGATATTGTCGCCTGTGCCCAGACCGGTAGGTCTTCTCCAATACTCTCAACCATCACCCACAACCTGATAATCTTTCCTAGGTTCCGGCAAGACTGGTGCTTTCTTGATCCCCACCCTGTCCAAACTCATGGGCAAGGCCAAGAAGTTGTGTGCACCACGCCCCAACCCCGCGACTTTTGTCCCGGATTCTCGCAACTTTGCTCGTGCCGAGCCACTCATGCTCATCGTTTGTCCCAACCGTGAGCTTGCCGTGCAGATTTTCAACGAGGCCCGTCGTTTCTGCTACCGCTCGATGCTCCGTCCCTGTGTTGTGTATGGTGGTGGGCCCCGCCGCGACCAGCTCAACCAAATCGCCAAGGGCTGCGATGTTCTCATTGGAACTCCAGGTCGTCTCGTTGATTTCATCACAAATGAGCCAGAGCGCCTCTCTCTGTGCCGCCTCAAGTACATGATTGTCGATGAGGCCGATGAGATGCTCAGCCCTGACTGGGAAGATGAGTTCAAGGTCATCATGAACGGTGGTGGTAAGTCCTCCTCCAATCCCCAGATCGATCTTCACATCGATCCCAAGCTAACTCCTTCCCAGACCAGGAGGATGGCAACATTACGTACATGATGTTCTCTGCGACCTTCCCCAAGGCCGCCCGCGACCTTGCAAAGGAGCACCTTGCCAACGACTTTGTCCGCATCCGCGTCGGCCGTGCTGGATCCACATCCACCAACATCGAGCAGAACATCATCTATGTCGAGCCATCCGCCAAGCGCCAGGCCCTCCTCGACTTCTTGTACTCGCGTCCCCCCGCCCGTACCATTGTGTTTGTCAACAGCAAGCGTAGTGCCGACGAGCTCGACGACTACCTTTACAACATCGGTATGCCCTCTACGTCGATCCACTCCGATCGCACCCAGCGCGAGCGTGAAGACGCTATTCGCTCCTTCCGCATTGGTGCTGTTGGCATCCTCGTCGCGACCGGAGTCTCTGCTCGTGGTCTCGACATCAAGAACGTGATGCACGTCATCAACTTCGATCTTCCCAACGCCGACTTTGGCGGTATCGAGGAGTATACCCACCGCATTGGTAAGTCCCCTCCCCTTCTTCATCTCTCTCAACCCCAAACTAACCCCCCCTCCCAGGCCGCACCGCGCGCATCGGCAACCGCGGCCTCGCCACCTCATTCTACTGCGACCGCAACGAGGACCTGGCCCTCGACCTCGTCAAGACTCTCAGCGAGACCAACCAGCCCATCCCTGACTTCCTGCAGGCCTTCGTCCCCGAGGGCGGCGCCGCCGAGCTGCAGTTCGAGGTCGACTCCGACTTTGGCGGCGACGATGCTGAGGAGGAGGCTGCCGCTCCGGTGGCTGATAAGCTCATTGATGTCCTCGCCGACACCGTCAGCAAGAACCTCGTCATGAATACCCCCACCATGCCGCGCTTCCTGCCAGGCATGAAGCCACGTGACCCTACCGCTCAGCCAGAGCAGAAGGTCGTTGCTCCTGCGGCCCCTGCCGTCCTCGAGCCGGTCAACCCCAATGTGCCGCGCGTTAGCGCTATCGACATCAAGGGTAAGGGTAAGGAGATCGAGGTCCCAATCCCAACTGTCACCGTGACTGCTCCCAGCGTCACCGCCGCTGATGAGGATGATGACTGGTAAGCACCTCGCCTCGCCCTCCGCCGACCAGCATTCGATCCCTCAATCTGCTCGTCGGCTGACGCAAATGGAACTTGTACGATACCAATGACGCACCTTGCGATTGCGGGGTTAGATGAGATAGATGATGGCTAGTGCCCCGACTTGTTCTTTCTTCCTTGTCTTTCTCGCTCTCTTTTTCCTCGTTTTTCTCCTGCGGGGACAGCCAGGCTCTTGCTCGGATAGTTTCGCTGGATAGGTCACCGCCGCGCAGGGAAGGTGTTATCTGGGAATGCCCGATTCTCGGTTGGTCTGGATAGACGGGAGATCGGGAGGGTGTATGCTTTGTGGTTATGTTTCTTTGTGGGGTGGGGACGGGGGAGAGGGCGGGTTAGCTAGGTTGGTATGAGGGGGAATTAAAAAGTTTGTTCTGCGATACCCCTTGCTTTAATTTTGATTGTGATTGATGTGATGTTGTGACTTGCCTTGTCTGATCTTATGTATTATGGGGGACGTGATGGCACATGGCCACAAATCGTGGGGTTGTTCCCGCCATTTCTTGTCTCACTGGTACATGTAATTTAAGCTTATAACATCGCTATCGACCCGCCCCTCATTGGAGCCATAGCGTTGTCAGCTAGGCAGGGATTAGGAAACGACTCCCTAAAACCATTCGTGGGTGCATATAACATTTACGTGCATAGATCAACTTCCAGGAGCAGCAGTATAGATAGATACTCCAGTTCCGGAGGATTAAACAAGTTGGTTCTTGCTCAGGAAGTCACGCCTAGGATTCAACAACTTCGGAGGTAGCTTGGTAGGCCTTCAACGGCGACGTGGCTAGCACAATGGATCGTCTACCAGCAGAGATTATATATGAGATAATATCGCATCTAAAGGCACTCGAAAAGGCACACTATGGTCGATGGAGATCAAACCTCTCGCCCTATGCGACAATCAACAGGACATGGCAGAGCGTAATCGAGCACGAGACATTCAGTCGCATAAAAATCGACGCAGACACTCTCCCCGAGCTCATACCTCTTCTCAGCGGCGCAACAGGTGATCGTCGCATTCGTTCAATACGGGCGCTAGAATTCAACTATCTTCTTGATCGAATGGGCCTCCGGAGTCCTACAAATCTTAGCTGGCGGAGAGAGCAGGAACAGCTGGCAAATGGGTTATTTTCCGGGGATATGCGTGCTCTATTTGGTTTACTCAAGGGCTGGGAGGATAGATTAGGCGGGAGTGAGCGCGTGGCAGCAGAGAAACACCAGCTGTGTCTCTTTCTGGCAAGGGGATTGGATAGAGGTGTGCCAACCATGCCTCATCCATCACGGAGAATTTCAATTTCACCCAGGCCGGCGGATGCGCTGCCGGATGCGCCAGTAGTGGATCCCTGGCAAGAATATGAATTGGAGCTCCGCTACGGCCCCCGGCCTGATGTGCAATATATCGGCGACGAGAAGCTGCTGCCAGAGCTCAGTCTCGTGTCCTCGGTGACAGTATGCGAAGGTCATGGCATCCACCCTGAGAGTCTGATGCGGGTTCTCTCCCGGATGAAGTGTCTAGATTGCCTCGATGGGTATGTTTTTGACGAGATGGAGAATCCAGACCTCACTTGTGAATATCGGAAAGGTTTGTACCTGTCTCTCAAAGACTATAGTTATATGAAGTTTTCCAGCCCTAACTTCCTCCTCAGCTCTAGCTCAGAGTCTGCAACTGCTACCACGATCGCTCAGTGTATTCAACCTAGATTTCCTGTCCGATTTTTCCGAGCCGCTGACTTCGGACTCGTTGCTTGTTGACCCTCAGCGCGACCACCTCTGCATCAGCATACGAATTCTGTCAGGTCAGCTCCGAAAACTCAAACTTTCCGGGCTTCGAATATCATCCGCGGTCTTCGCAGGTAATGGCGATGGTTCTTATCCCGACTGGTCCAGTCTGGAAGAAATAAAAATCAGCTACCCCGAGATCTCGTCGACCGGTGAACCCCCTAAGCTACAACGGAACGAATGGTCAGCTAACCAACCCAGGCCAATGGTTCGCCAACCGCGCGCCCCCAGAAGTAGTAACACAAGACGACTCCTACTACTCCAACGACCCCAACGACTACAAAGATTGTACCTACGTCCCCTCAGCCGAGCCTCTCAACGAGCTCTTCGCCGCAGCTGGGAGGGCAAAACAGCACATGCCGCGCCTAAAATATATAGATTTGAGGCTAAGTATCGATTTTGGTAAACATATATTCTTGTACTATTTTAACAGGGAGAAAAAGAGGAATATGGTGGCCTCGTATAGCACCGGGGCCTTTGGCTTTAGTAAGGAGGTCGCTGAGGCTTGGGGGTTTAGTTTGCCTGAGGGAGAGACGCCCAAGGATGGAGATATGTTTATCAATGAGGTTATAGTAATGTAACGTGTAGATAATTATGAAAATACCACTAGCAATAGATAATAAGGTGAGAAACAGCGTACATTTTCGTGGTACGAAACCGACGCACAGTCGCTATCGGAAGGGTGTCCAAGAACAGTATGCGTTAGGATTACTTATCTCATAACTTAGTATCTACTAAAGTTAAAAGTTTATAGTTTACTAGTAGATTTTTTTTCTTAGCTTATAGCTATAGCTATAATTTAGGCAGGCACGTATGTAGAATAAAGTGGTGTAATAAGCACCTTAATTGTTATATAGAAAATAGGAGAGTGGGCTGGCACACTTGCACCGACTAACTCGATATGGCACTAGGAAATAGTAAAGGCATGAATACAAGAATGATGTGAGAAAAGAGCTCGTATCCCATATTCCCACGATGATTTTTGGGCGTGGATAAAACGTCACGACCCGAGCTGTAGTGAAGGGGGCAGTACGCGATAGGATAGAACCTTCTTACAGTCGCTATCAGAAAGGGGAGCAAGAACAAGTACTGGATAGAATAGGGTAAGTTTCCAGCAACTGGTACGCTTTCACGCAGGAGTCGGATAATAACGCCAGGAAATATTGAAGTCCAATAATAAAACGATAAAATAAAAATCCTACCCACCAAAATACAAAACACACTATAGCGGTTCACTATGCACATCATCTACTCACTCTCAAACACCAACATATAGAAAACGTAGTATATCGAACAGATCAATGAACAGTTATTAATGTATGTAGTATTCACACCTATGAATCACTACTCCTCCCCCATCCATCTCTCTATGGTATTCGATCGCGTCTTTCTCGCTGTTATTACAGTACCGCCACAAAACAAATGCTCTCTCTCTCTCTCTCTACTCTGCGCCTCAGGACGAAACAAGGTCTATCTCCTTTGCCCACTCACTCATTCATACATGCTGTTGCTGCTGTGGTGCCCCTGATTTATTTCTCTGCGCCGGATTAAGGGAAAATTGGACGGAAATGGGGGAATAAGGAAATTGGGGAGACGTCGTGTCGTTGTGTTTGTAAGGGGAGATGGCTAGCCGGCTACCAGGACCCATAATCTGATTCTTGTTAGTCCTTTGCGCGTTTTGGGAGGATTGCCGAAGCACTCAGCACCACAGGTGGTACCCGGAATAACTCGTAGGAGCCAAAAAAGGGGGGTTGTGAGACTCACAAAAAGAAAACCATCAACACCCCAAACATCTGCGCCACCAACCACCGATTCCCACTAACCCTCCCCCAATACTTCAACAACTCCCTCTGCGCCCCCTGCACATTATCCACCACATCCTCCGTATTCGCATCGATCCTCTGAATCATCTCGCTCTGCTCGCTCACCATCCCGGCCAACTGCCCAAAAATCCCTCCTAATTCCGAAATCGTCCGCTCGATCGCCTCGATCGCTTCCCCGCGCTGCTGGATGTACGCGTGCTGCGGCTGCGCTTCTTCCATCATGAGGAGCTGTTGGTCGCCTACTGGGTTGAGGGTGAGGAGGTCTTGCGAGCCGCTGCCGCCTCCTAGGGCGGGGTTGTAGGGGGGTGCCGGGGAGCCGCGCGCGGGGGTGGAGTAGAGGGGGGATGCGGATTGTCCCTCCGTCGGCAAGGCATGCGAGGAAACCGCTGACACGAAATTCTCAGTCCTGGATCTTGAGGCGCGGATGTTCTGGGTGCGGAGTTCTAGCACGTCTTTGAAGTTGGCGGATACGTCGGTGAGTTTTCCCTGCAGCAGGAAGACGACGTTCTTGGCGTGCTCGGTTTGTTGGGGCGCGGCGGAGGGGTTTTGCACGCGGGTGAGGGTTTGGAGGGAGGAGATTTGGGTGTTGAGCGAGGAGAGGTCTTGTTTGATTATGTAGGTTAGCTCGTTGATTTCGAGGGGCCGGTCGTCGAAGAGGGTTTTGCGCTTTGCGACTGCTGGGGTGTTAGCTTGGGGGTTCTCTCTCGACTTGGTTTCCGTCTTGGATTAAATTCGGCAGGGAGAGAGGGGTGAAGGGGGAAGGGGGGGAATACGCACGCTGAGCGAGTTTCTCAAGCTTCGCCATCGTCCCCGAGATCCCACGCCCGATCTCCGCCGCACGCCTTGCAAACTCCGATCGCCTTGGCTTCTCCGCGCTCGCAGGCGCATTATCGGCTTTCTGGGCGTTGCTGAGCAGCGACTGCCGCTGCGCGCCTATCTTGTTCGAGTGCCGCTGCTTCTGGACCTGCGTGAGGACCGAGTGGAATTCCGACGTGCGGTCTTGGATGGAGGTTGAGACGGCCATGGTGGACGTGTGGGGTGAGGTGGAGGAGGGAGGCGTAGAGTGTAGTGTGCTGTGGCCGAGGTGAGGTTTGGAGACTGGCTGGCCTCAATGGCGTTCGTGGCCTCTGGCCGGCCGGCGAGTGATTGGTTGATGTGTCACGGCAGCGCGGAGGGATGGGGGATAGCTGCTGTTGCTGGGAGGTGGTATTCTTGTCTGTCCTCAGTGTGTGTATGGCATATGTGGTGGTGGTGGTAGTATGTACGTCGTGGAGGTAATGAAATTTGCTCCTTCTTTTCTTGCGATTATAGCGATAGCTCTCCCGTATCTCTCTTGAAGGCGGCTGTAAATTTGGCCTGTGGCGATCTCTATCCTATCCCTTATCCCCCTATGTACCCCCGTACCTCTGGGCGCTGTTCGCAAAAAACGGCCGTGTCCTTTTGTGGCTTAGCACGAGAAAGGTGTGCATGTAGAAGAGGTACGTACGGGTTGCCGTAGATTTTAGGAAATTACCACGTGCAGGCCAGGGCTGATTGGGTGGAGAAAGACGGACGTAATAAAGGAATAAGAGGAATGAAAATTGTAATTTAGGGGTACAAGTGTGTCTAGTAGTAATTTGGGGGGGGTGGCAAGTATCTCGAATAATGAATTGAACACGAATACCGGCATGTAAGACAAGACATCTCTCCTTGTTCTCGTTATAGAAAAGATACTTCTAGGCTCGACGTTACGCACATACATATTATATGTACTTTCCCACTTGCTCCACATTAACGACGACGACACGACTCTCCCCTTCCCCACGTGAATCCTGTTGTATGTTGTGTGTGTAAATATAGAGTACCGTCCTAACACACTGTTGTGTTCCCTAGATGATACTAGAATACGAATACTGCAATTCTATTTATTCCATTATTCCTTTTATTCTTTTATTCTTTTAATTCTATACAATTCACAATTTATATTCCTCTATATCCATCATCCATCTTATTCTCACCTTTCCTCATCATCTCTTCTCAAATCTCCACATTTCTCCTGGCGCTGCTTCAAGTTACTGTACCTTAACATAGCCTTACCCAGCCACAGCTCGCCCGCTAAACTGTCATCCAATCCACCGAAAATCCACCCAATCCCACCATCCCACTACCCACCAACCACCCTCCACCGAACCCCGACCGACCCTCATTAGCCTACTACAGTAACTGCTGTACCCTGGAAATACTTGGGACTAGTTTTCAGCCGTATCGCGTTCCTTCGAACCTGAACCTGACCTTATTGCGTGGCCTTCGATCACCATTTCTCATCAAAAAAACAACCTCCTTGGGATTGTAAACTTTCGCTCTTTACTCCTCAGTGAATCGCATACATGACGGAACTGGCACTCTGAGGGCCGTAACAGTTTACACTGGCCGCAAGGCAGACACACAGCTATGTCGAAGCCATACCCTGATACCTTCGACTCGCCGTTGTAGGTTCCCTCTCCCCCCGAACGGCCCCGGATGCTCCAGGAACTGACGAAAAGACAGACCTTCACGCGCGGCCGCTGCTCCAGCTCCCGTCTCCTACCAGGCGAACGTCAACCGGCAGAAGACGAAGAAGTGGGTAGACGCGAAGCCCGGTAACTACGGTGGCGACGACTGGGGGGACGACTACGATGACGGCTACGGCGACGCTCCCCCTCCTCCCCCGGTGCCCAAAGTAACGGGTTTACGGCAGCCGGGACAGGGTGTGCGGAACGACGTCGGCATTAAGAAGACATATGGCGAGCTCCCGCATCTGCCAAAGGACGCGCAAGACAGGAGCTCCACAAACCCGCCCTTGCTTCGCCAGAGCTCCTTCTCGAGGGATGACGAGCGCCGAGCTTTCTCGAGCGGACCGTCGCAACAAGACGCTTTACCGAGCAATCCGGTGGCCGTCGCAGCTGCGACTCCGAGCCCTCCACTGCGCCTTGCAAGTCAGCGCAAGCAACTCCCTCCTCCAGGCACTGAGAGTTCGGCGCGGTCATCATACGCGGAGTCGAGCAGGTCGTCTGCTCATACTGCATCGGACGCGCGATCCGCGTCTGGCGATGCGCATAACAACTATCCCACACACGACGTTACCTCGCCCTTGAGGTCCGCCGCGTTATCCCCTCAAGCGAGAGCTGCGTCCCCTTTGAGTCGGTCAGACTCACCACCTGTGAATGTAGCATCTCCACCCGCTCAATTCTCTCCACGAAACACCACCTTAAACCAAGCAACGGTGCCGGATTCCTCGGCTGCAGCAGCCCCAGCTCCTGCTCCTGCCGCGTCGGTTGCGAAAGCCCTCCCTTTCATTCGACCTGCAGACATCTATAAACGTCTTGAGGAGGAACGACAAAGAAAGGCTTCCGGTGATTCTAGTATAGACTCAGCAGCGGCTACAAATCCCGATACACAGTCTTCACCAGCATTGCCCTTCCAGGCTGCAGAACCTGTGATTCCAGCACCCGTTGAACCTACCAATTATAACAGGGGCGGATACGATACATACGAAGAAGATGTACCTGATTACGGAAGGCAAGCCGATACATATGAAGAGGAGGCACATGACTATGGACGGAGGCAGGCGCCAATGCTCGAGTCTGTGCAAGAAAGGAAAAGCGAATATGGGTTCGACGACATGGCTGCAAAGTCGCCGGAGGCCGCTCAGAAGCTTCAGCAAGAAGTGCAGAAGCAAGAAGCCCCGGTTCAGCAATATCAGCCACAAATACAGGAGCCTGCGCAACAGGCCGATCCCGAGGCTGCATCTGACGCTGACGCAAAGAGGCGCTATTCTATGAGCCCGAAGTTACCAGACCTACACAGGATGTCTGGTTTCGGCTTTGATATGTGGTCCCAGTCAGCGCCCGACGCAAATGTTGCAAACTCTCCCGTTGCCGAGCGACAGGTGCCAAATGCCGGTGAACAACCTCTCCAAAGGCAGGAATCTCTAGGATTCACGTCAGTTGTGCACCAGGCGTTCGATAGGACTGATTCGATACCCGAAACACCTACTTCGCAGGGCACAAGCAACGTTCGACGCACTGATAGCGACAGCACTGGCACTGCCGGTATTAGCCCAATAATGAGCCGAGTGTCCAGTGGCGCAAACCCCGACTCTCGCGGACGAACGCAGGAGCCAAAAGATAACTTGACTCCGGTAATTGCCGAAGAGAAGGAACCGGACTCTCGGAGAGCTTCCGCCATTGTGGCAGAGGAACCTAACCAGACGCCGTTCCACATGGGTCACCGTCGGGACCTGAGCGCACCCAGCAATGGGAATAGTCCCGCGAGGTCACCACACTTGGAAACTGCCACCTTGGCTCCCCAGTCAGGGGAGGTGGCACAAGTCGCTGATGAGACTCGTCCGATACTTCCGACAGCGGTTTCGCGACTTTCGCGGCCAGACCTGCCTGGTGCTTGGAACTCGTACTCCACAACCGCTGAGTCAGCTGCTGGTGAAGTTACACAAAACAAGGATATTGATGAAGACCCGACTCCTGTCGAACCGTCCCAGTCCCCTGAGACAGCTACATCGCCGCAGCCTCTCGCAACCTCCGGTGCAGCACCATCCCCACCTCTTAAGGATGATGTGACTCTACCACCGCTTACAACTAGTAAGGCTGAGGATCTGCATGAATCTGCTCCAAAGGATGATTCAGAGACCCAGAACCCTCTAATGAAGCTTCCAACGTTGAGCACCAACGCCAGCCCGACAGACGACGAGACTGACAGGCTACGCAAGGAGATCGTGAGGAGCTTGAGTCCGCGCGATTCAACTTCTATCGCAGATCAGGACTGGGTTCCGCCACCAAACGCTGCAGCAAGGCAGTCGACTCTGGGTCTTCCAGCACCGAGTGCGCCTCGTGATAGCATGTATTTGCCGAGCGAGTATGACAACTATTGGGCAGAGACGGAGGAGGATGCGCAGGTAGAGTCTCAGACCCAAGAGCAGACTGCGCCAGTTTCGGATGCAGCTGCTTCGAGCTATATAGCTTCCACCGGGCTCCACAATGTCGAAGAGTCTGAGGACATCCCAGCAATTGCTCCTTTGAGCCCAAAACGCGCGTCAATGCTTCCTGTTGAACCAACCCAGCATACATTGGAGCGTAAATTCTCATGGGAGGCGGCGCTGCCAGAGCAAGTGACGACTGTGCCTGAGGATAGCCAGTCACCACCTGTGATTGTGTCTCCTCAGCCTATCGTTGCTGAACTAGAGGCTGAGCAGGTTTCAGTTCCGGGGGCTACTGTAGCTCGTTCGGATTCTGCGTCTCCTGCGCCGCTATCTCTTCGTAGTCCTCATGCGTCTGGTGCTCAGCCAGAGGACCACAAGGATAGTGTCGGTTCGGAAGGCATCGTTGCCGGAGCTGTCGTAGCTGCTGCGGTGGTTGCCCCTGCTGTTAGTACCATTCGACCTGTGTCTGCTGATTCAGAGGATGTTGGTTCTTCTTCCCAGGCGCCACTTCCGTATAGCAAGGCTATGTCTACAGAGGGAACCGACACCGTATCTCCGATGTCTGCCAAGGTTGAGCCTGTCAGGTCTCAGTCACAGCAGATCAACTCTATGCTAGACATCGGCGGGCCTCAAACAAGTCCGCCTCCACAAGATGGACCGCGACAATCGCTCCAGCAGAACGATGTGCCTCGTCCCCAGATCCCCGTGGACCCCACAATGCCCAAGCCATTCAAAGAGATCATGTCTCTGAATAGCCCACAGCAGCGCATCAACGCTTACAACGAGAGCCGCCAACAATTCGCAACCATGGACTCCGGGCTAGCAAACTGGATGCACGCCACCACCGCCCTACCCCATCTCCAAAACCCACTCGCCTCCGCAGGTGCCGGAGCAGGTGCCCAGGCACAACGTCCAAAGTCCGGTAACATCCTCGCGCCCCAACCACAGCCATACTACCAACAATACCTAAACGCCAGCACGCCCACCGCATCCCCTCCACCGCAAGCGCGCTACAGCGGCGGCACACCCACGACGGGGACGCAGGGCTTTGGGTCGGCCAGCAGCAAGACGACACAGCAGGTGCAGCAGGTGCAGGCGAAGTCGAAGGAGCTGCTCCACACGGCGGGCATCTTTGGGGGGAGGGCGAGCAAGGCGGGCAAGGGACTGCTGGCGAAGGGGAAGAGCAGGTTCAAGGGTTCGGGAGATAAGGTAGACTGATCTCTCCTTGACTTCACACACACAATTCACGAGCCGGAAACCGCAACTGGGCGAGGGCGGCGCAAAGACACAATTTGCTTTACTTGTTTTTTGTTGCGTTTCTTTTCTTCACTTCTTTTATAAACATTTTTTTTGTGGGCACATAACTTTATTATGTTATCACAAACAATCTGGGAGGATTTTATTATCTGAAAGAAAAGGGCCTAAATTTCGGGTTACTTGTTGGGGCCGTATAAATCTTATCCAGGCCCCGCGCTAATCCGGGGCCATGTTTTTTTTTCTCATTTTTATAATGCCTCTTGCTAGGCGATGAAGAGATGATTTATTACTTTGATGGAAGCGGAAGAAAATGAAAGGAACCCGTTTTACCTGCTTAGCGGGAGGGGAAAGGGGGGACTTTTTGTATGATTATGGAATGGAGAACCACTACTTTTTCCTGACAAACAACGAGAGATGACAAATCTCTGGCTGCTTCCCCCAAAATACTTCACAACGTGTTTCCTTTTAACTTGTCCTACCTCCTCCTCCTCATACATCCCCTCCCTCTCACAAAACAAGAACTTGTAGAAAAGAAGAACTCTCTCTAACATAAACCCTTCTCCCTAGGACGCAAACAGCCCCACCACCATCGACACAACCAAAGCCGGCAAATCCTCCCGCCGGGCCTCCTGGGCCTTCTCCCTCTCCTCCAGCCCCTCCACCGCTCGTCCATCCACATTCAGCGGTGCGGAGCCCTCAGCGCCGTTTGGTCAGACGACCCAGAATCGAAGCTCGGAGTCGAGTGATTCCCTGCTCGCTACTAGACGGCAGTCGACGTCTAGCGAGCAGACGCCTGCGATGAAGATGTTTGCTCCTGCTGGTCAAACCGCTCCTGCTGCTGTCGCGCCGGTAGCACGAGTGGTAGAGCAGGCTCAGAATTTCCTCGAACTCAACCTCCCCACCTCCTCAACGCTACGGGACGCAAGATGGGGCTCTGAAACCGCCGCCACCTCCACTGAAGATGGGAGTGCACGGACCCGCGAGGGCGGCGTCGCTGAATTGGCTGCGGGGGAGGGGGGGGATATAGCGCCCCCTGTGCCGATTGGGAAGTATCAGCCTAGTTGGGATCCTTATAACGCGACTCCTATTGTGGAAGAAGAGGGGTTCGGGTGGGAGAGTCCGCCGAAGGGATCTGCGGTTCCTGTTCCGGCTAGGGGGTGGAGTGGTGTCGATGAGACTGTTGTGCCGGAGACGGTTCCGGAGACAGACGTTGAGCGTGAGGTCCCTGCGGAAAGAGAGGTCCCTGGGGAGACAGAGGGAGGGGGGTGGGTAATGGTGGCGGAGGAGAGTGTGAGGAGGATTATGGGAGCCGTGGCGAATGGAGCGAGGCCGGTGCATGAGAGGGGTGACAGTGAGGTTTCGGCGATGACGGTCGGGCCGGCGAGTGAGGGGCAGGTGGTGTTGGAGAGCTTGGAGGAGGGGAGTGAGGTGCCTGTTGTTGAGGAGCCTGCTGTTGAGGAGCCTGTCGTTGAGGAGCCTGTCGTTCAGCCCGAGCCGGTCGCTGAGCCCGTTGATGAGCCAGTTGATGAGCCAATCGAGGAAGAGCAAGCCGTCGAAGACCCAGTCGCTCAGCCAGTCGAGGAGCCGATCGAGGAAGAGCAAGCCTTCGAAGAGCAAGCCGAAGAGCCAGTCGAAGAGCAAGCCTTTGAAGAGCCAGAGCCGGTCCTCGAGGAACCAGCCGTCGAAGAGCCAGTCCTCGAAGAGCCAGAGCCAGAGCCAGCACTCGAAGAGCCAGCCGTTGATGAGCAACAAGTCGCCGATGAGCAAGCCGCCGATGAGCAAGCCGCCGATGAGCAAGCCGCCGATGAGCAACAAGCCGCCGATGAGCCAGCCGTTGATGAGCCAGCCGTTGATGAGCCAGCCGTTGATGAGCCAGCCGTTGATGAGCAAGCCGT